TCGTTGATCGGTGCCGAAATCGTGACGCGCGGTTGGCTTCGGGCCGCATTCGTCGCCTCGGGGTGTGTCGCGCCGTGGTCGTCGTCTCCATCGTGGCGGACGACGCCATCACTAGCCGCGCTCGCGGGTTGCCCCACACTTCCGTGTTGTGATGTCTGTGGTGCGGGGTGTACCGGAGTGCCAGGTGCTTGAGATTGTGCTTGCTGTGCTCGTGCGACGTCATTTTGAAGGGACGTGCGTTCTGCCGTCAGCGCCGCGATTTCTTCGGAGTTTTCGCAAAGTTGCCGCAGCAGTTCGTTCAGGTGCTCCTGCGTGAGGGTCGTGATGTCGATATGCTCGGCCATTACGAAGGGTGTCGGCTCGTCTTAGTCTAGGCGCAGTCGTGGCTGCACGCGTTTACGAGAGAAGGTGATGACAGCGGCTCCTAGGGGCTAAGGTGCGTGAGTCCCTTCGAGTGAAAAATCAAAAGTTGATTTCCTGGGGTGCGGAGATGCGCGGTCCGAAAGAAAGAAGCCATGAATACCGAGTTTTACGGGTGCAATGAATCGAGGTAGCGAGGATTGCACTAAGTGTCAAACAAGTACAAAATGTGAGCGAAGGCATGAGCGAACATTTATACGCGAAACATGCAAACGGTAACGCGGTCCGTGCGAGCTAGCTAGTGCTAGGCTGGCATCGAGGCTCGAGCTAGTCCCGAAGCGTAGGCCGATACGGCCGGGCCAGTGCATGGTTTGGTGAAACAGTGCGCGCGAAGTCGGCGAAGCCCTGTTAGCAGTAACGGGCGAACAACGGCTGCTGCTGTACGCGATGTTGCAAGATGCGCTAAGGAATGTCGAGAAAATTCCTTGCACCTCCGCTCATGTGAGCAGGATAATTTGTATTGTGACAAATCAGCATTATTCATATCTTGTATGGTTGCTTGATAACGGATTTTCCGCAAACACGGAGTTGTGATGTTTTGGACCCCCCCTTGACATGTGGAGATCCATGCTTGGGCCTTCTTCGGGAGAACAAGAGGAAGAGGACTAAATGATCCAGAGGATGAATAGTACTAGGCTCGGAAGCCCAAAATCACGTGCGACCCCCATGCGACCACGTTGAGGGCCAAACCTCGCGGTTTGGAAACATCAACTTCATCTTGTCCTCTTCAGCGGCTCGAGATTCTGAGCCGTTGCCCCTACAGTTCATCGACTGCACAGTAATCACAGGCAAAAGTTGCCTCACTTTCTCCTCGCCATGCTCTGGCGAGGAGAAAGTGAGGCTCAGTGGACAAGAATATTTGTTGGGCATCTGGGTTTCTACTTATTGATTCAGGGCGGACATGTACGAACGAAACTGTACCTTTTGCAAGGGTTGTTACGATTTGGAAAATATGTTTTGGGGTGGAGATGAATTGGGAAGTTGGGAGAGCACCAGAGATGGTAGTTGCGATCTTGACCCCTGCGTGCGGTGGTTGTCGTTTTTGCTCAACTTGGGTCGTTGACTGTGCGCGCCCCTGTCATTTTGTCCAGTTGGCGAATCTGATTGTGCATCTGTCGACAATGTACGATGTTGCAAGTGGTGTGTTGTCGTTTTTTACCTAGGCTCGGTGCAGAGCAGCATCCTCATCCTCATGTTGAGGGGCTCCCGAACAGGGCCTTGTGTTTGGCAATCTATGGCCCAGTTCGGCAGGCATTAAAAAAACGGTTTCCCCGGATGGGCTACAGTGAAACGACCACCCTGGAACCTTCTTTGATAAGCTCTCGAAAGGTTATATAGGCTCGATATAAGCGGATCATCGCCGAACCAGACAATAATGGAATGCCAGCCCAACACCCCTGTTAACGCTGGTATTTTCCAGCAGAGGAACCTTCCTCAAACCATATTTCTCATGCAAACTGTCCATTTTCTCATCCGCCGTACCATGCGGCCTCGAGGTCCTGCACCATGCGGGGGATCATTGATTCGGGGCAATTACACCTTGCCCTGAAAAAAAAACAAATCCCGGTCTTTCTCACACCTCTTCGTGCCCGCTGGAAAATCACACATCACCAACACATCATCACTAACATATCGAACGATCAGTTTCCCTTGCCCGATTTTTTTCGACGTCCACCGCTGGTTTGTAGGGCTGCCCGTGCTACCAGTACAGTGATTATGCGCTCCATCGGCGCAGCTGCATACGGGCTTCTCCGAAGTGTCGTTTCGGTTGATGCCATTAATCTTGGCCCATTTTTCCGAAGTTTCACTGCAGCTACAGTCAGTTTTAGATATGTTTCTTGGGACCCTGCCCATAATGGCGATAATGGCCATAATGCCTGCCGAACTGGGCCTATATCTGGGTTGAGCGTCTCTTAGGACGCGTAACAATTGCAACATCGAGGGAGGATCGCGGTCACACACCGAAGCTGTGATAATCGATCTCCTCCGAGTCGGATGTTTCGCGAACGTCTTAGGTTCGATAGTGAGCGGGGTTAGAAGCCTTTTTGAAAGTTGGGAATGCAATACGTATGTTTTGAGTGCGGTGACAGATCGATTTGGAAGAGACATCGCGTTCGGTGACCTGTGACGAAGTTTTGCGAACTTTAACGAAAACGGGATACAAGTCACAGCGAATTACTGTACAGCCCAAATATCGATCTGCCGCAGGTTCGATGTCGCAATTGTGTGACGCGTCCTTATGGCGTGTGCGAAGTAGTTTCGACGTAGTTACCCTGCTCTTGTTGGGATACAGTACGATCATACGATCAGGGTGTGGGCCCAATCGAGGTTGATCGCCTCGATCAGAAGCGATCAACAAATTCGAGGAGGCCTGGAAGCCAATTTCGGGCAATCGGGGGCAATCAGCTGATCGCGATCAGCTGATCGCCCCAACTCAATCACATCCGATTTTCACCCCGATCAAACTCGATTTTGCTCAATCACCCTCGATCAGTTGATTGCATGTGATCGAGGGCCATAACGATGGTTACGAAATGTTACACTGGTATTTTAGCCTCATGAACCCCTCGCTCATGCATGGCACATGGCGAGAACTCTAGAGGGGTTGACGATATTACAGGGAAACAAATTCGTTCGCCAGGTCATGTTCAGTCGCCAATCTCGCGTGAGTTGGATAAGAATTTCCGCGTAATGTTTATGCTCTTGCCGAGCAACAGCTTTAAAACTTCGACGAAAAACGTCGCTGATCGGGCGGCTCGAGCAAAGTGATCACAAGCAATCCGATCCGATCAGATCACAGCCGATCAGACCCGTTTGGGCCCACGTCCTCACTTTCCTGCTGGAACAGTTGGCCAGGTGCCCATTCTTGGGTGTGAAAACAGTATGGCTCGGAAACTGTAGAATACAATATTGTTCACACGTTTTCGGATCCACGAGATTTACAGGGGGCAACCACCCAATAAGGGCGTGTCTTGTTCCAGTTCTCTTGGGGAAGAGGCAGTCTGGTGGGTACTGTACAGGTAATTTTCACGGCTCAGTTTGTGGTTCTGTACCGACAGCCATGTGTATCTGGTTGTCAGGACATAAGAAACTGCCTGGAATGGTTTGATAGGCATGAGGAGGCTATAACGTACGGTACAAAACGGTAATTAGCGGTGGCGATGACCTTGGCACCTTGTCTTTGAAGTGAACGGACTTGTTCCTAGCTAACCAGCCCAACTGAACTTTCACTGCTAGCTCACCTCCTCAGCTATGGCGACAAAGGCGTTGCCTGTCGTGAATCTCCACCAACCAGCTTCAGGAGGTGCCATCGCTCGGATCTAAATATTGCAACTCGCTGCATTTTAACGCTCGTTTTGGACGATGCATCACTTGCCCGTCTCATTAGCCGGTGTGCCACCCTACCAGTCCCTTCGAAAGCACCTGGTGATTAGGCGTTGTAGATATCACGCACGTGAGCTTAGCAGCAATTACTGTGCCTCTGTCCAATGAAGCAGCTGACGAACCTTCGTTGCAGAATTTGTGGATACGAGTGCATGGAAACGAGTGGTCAGGTGGCGGTGTCAGCGGAGTTATCCCTGTCCACGTCAGCTAGCCCGCCCTTCACAGCCATGTTCTGCTTCTCGTTCCTTCGGTTCGGAGCAGTTTTTCATGCCTCGTTTCGTTGTTTCAGCAATCCATCTCCCAAAACTGCTGAATCTTTTCAAAACGCGGAGGCGCAGGCGCGTCGTAGCAACTCACTTACGGCTAGAGAACGACATCCGATCAAATAGTATCAGATCCCGTGGCTGCTTGTTTAACAAGCGTCAACTTCGTCGTTTTACTGTAGTGCGAACGAAGGCGACTCGGTGATCAAGCCTCTGCCCTACGATGGGCCGGGACAAATCCGCTCCTCCAATAGTCGTGCGTGTTCCCTCCCATAGAGGCGATCCTTGGCGGCCTGTTCACGATAACAATCCAGAACTCCTCTGGATGAATCCGTCCCATCATCGGCCCCACAAGAAAGTGGCTTTAGAAATACGCTAACGCACCTTTGATTGGAAGTATGATCTGACTACTACCCGCGAATCCGACCTCTATTCACATCTTAGTTGCTTTGCTCCGTCCCGACTAGGAGCATGGCGCTTTGCCAAAACGACGCTCTCCGTGCGGCGCGCAAGCGATCGCGGGATCAGGATGAACTGCACGAGGTATCTTCAAGCGTCGCCGCGAAATGCGGCGCAGGATACGCCAGGATGGCTTCTGCCGAAAGGTAATGCATTATTCGAACGGGAGAGAGAGAAGAGACGAGTTTCGGGGGTGACTGATTTATATATTTACCACGCGTGTAACCCTAAAAGTGACTGTATTTCCACCTTAGTGGTCTCGTAACATGTGACACAAATCACGTCCGCACAATCTCATCAAACCTCCATCCCCCACATTCCATGTGCCACGACGACTCTTGCAGAATCGTGCAGATTCTGCGAATCCCGAGCTTCAAGGGCGATCCGAACACGCAAGTTGATCGAGATCATGATAATCATGACGCTTCTAGGAGCCTGCAGGCACGCGGAAGCCACGAGAGGCCGAGCCAGAGCATGGACTCTTCGTGGCCCGGTTCTCAGCTTCACCAGAGAATAGACGGTTTGGAATCTCGAGAGAAACAGCGACTGAGGTTCAGAAGACCTGAGGAAAGGCCCGAGACACCTGAAAGTCGGCTGGAGACACCTGAGAATCGGCCTGAGACACCTGAGAGTCGACCTGGGAATGGCGGCGGCGACGGCAGGGGGAAGCAGCGCGACGGCAAGAAAGTGCGCATGGTGCAATACCCCTACAAGCCGCTGCTGCCACGCGATGGGTTCAGCTGGGTCAAGTACGGTCAGAAGAAACTCACCACGGGCGACAACATGATGAGGTGCGTGTCTGGACCGAACTGGGAAGCCGTGGATACGGATAGGGTTAATGTGGACCTATTTTGTCGACGCTTTGCAGCCGCTCTGTGCTGCTCTTCCTCTCTCATTGGGAAACGCATCAATCATTCTCCTGCTGTTCCTGCTCTCTTCTTTCCGTCCCTCCCATGATGCCTGCAGGCTCTACTTCCAGTGTGGCCTGCGCACGTCCCACGCCTGTCCTGCACGGCGCACCGTGGACCTCAGTTGCTGCGACCCCTCCGCTCCTCTGCTGCTCAACTACCACTGCACGCACAACCACCCGCCTCACTACCACGCCGCTGCTGCCACTACCACTACCTCTCCTGGGACGCTGCCCAAAGGCCCCTCAGTCAAAGACCGCGCAACTGTAACGAAGGATTCTGCAGCTGTGACTGCTGGTGGTGCTGCTACTGCGGCTGCTGTGGATTGTGTTAACAGCAGCCCGGCGAGCAAGCGGGCGGCTGTCAAGGAGGACGCAACGGCGGCAAAGGCTGGTTCCCCTGCCTCCTCTCCGTCATGCCTGCCAGCCCGGGTTTCCAGTCCAGTCAGCTGCGGCACGTGGGGGGCTCCGTCCGTGCCTTCACTCTCCACACCCTCCCGCCCCGGCTCGAATGCGTCTTCTTCGTCCCAACACGCTCCCGCCTCGGCTGTTGCCGACTGGCGGGCTGCGCTAGCAGCACTGCTGATCGGGTCGCCTGTGCCTGCTGCCGCTGCTCTTCCTGCTCCCGCTCCCCGCCGTGCTCCTTTTTCCTCTATAAAGCCTGCTCCTGCGCCAGCCAGTGCAGTTTCTCCCTCAGGGAGTCATGCGCCTGATGCGTCTCCCTCGCAGGCGCAGCCTCAGTCGCACCCGTTGCCGGCTGAGGTTATTGCAGCGCTGGCGCTGCTGGTGCAGTCAGCACTGGAGGAACGAGGGCTTCTGGGGGCAGGAGAATCTGGATCTGTTCCGGCTGAAGGCACGCCACAGCAGCAGCAGCAGCAGTTGGAGCATGAGCAACAGGAGGGGCTAGACACAGACTGCCCGGCGCCAGCCGCTCATCTGATGCCGGCCTTCCAGAATCCCACAAATTGCCCTCAGCAGAGTTTCGCGACGTCTGAAAGGCCAAACGACGCGAATTTCTTTCAGGGAATGAGCCCTGGCTGTGATGCTACTGCTGCTGATGCTCTTGCTGCTGCTGCTGAATCACACCTGATGAACTGGGAGGAGTCTGGTGAAGCAGGAGCAGATCTGCTTGGGGATGCACTCACGTGGCCCAGCGATTCATGGCCCGATGGAAGTCAGCTACTCGTTTTGAAGCAGTGCATGAATTCTGCAGCGCACAGTGAAACACCTATTTTGTTCGCAGGCCAAAGTTGCTGTAATGATCCGCAGGGTGATGGTTTTAGGGTGATTGGAGCTGATGCGGCGGAAGAAAGGTGCACCACTGCAAACCAGCAGCAGCTTGTGATTTGTGAGGATGCGTGTGGAGCAATTCAAGTTGCTGCACGCCCTTTTTGTGAACCTTCAAAGGGCTTCCAAGATTTTTGCAAGGTGCCAGATATTTTTATGGCGACTTGTGGATCGACAGATTCTATTGGAAGCTCAGGACAGAACTCGTGCAAGGACTTGGCAGAACTTTTACCCTCCTTGAGCCCATCATCGAGTGTTTTTGATAGTTTGGACGAGCTTTATGATGGTGAGAGTTGGTAATCCTTTTTGTTATTGAATCACTAAAAATTTTATTATGGAGGAGGCTGTTTTGTCTTAGTAGGTTGCGTGTTTTTGCTATTCCTTCTGAACTGACGGATCGATCGTCAACATCGAGGGCAACCACGTACGGATATGAACGCTCCGACAGTGGGACGATGTTTGAGCCCCTTTTTGCCTGTGGCGACGCAGGGACGATGTTTGAGCCCCTTTTTGCCTGTGGCGACGCAGACGAGACGACCGATCGCGAAATGGGATGCTCAAGTATGCATCATCTCAATTTTAGTTTCTTTCTGAACGTTTTAGCATTACGAACGTTAGCATTTCTGAACTTTTTCGGACACCGGTACGTGTACTGGGAGACCTGACCTCTCAGCGAGTACAGTTCTGTTCTCCCCAACTATGGTGACAAAGGCGTTCCTGATCGTGCCTTCTTCACTTCACCTCCCAGTAAGCACAGTACACAACACAGTTCTGCGCTCCCCTCCCCAACCATGGCGACAAAGGTTTTGCTGGTCGTGCCTTCGCTTAAACCAGTGCATTCCCGGTGTGATCGCTCAGATCTAGCAGATGCAATTCGTGCAATCGTCGTAATTGGATTTTACAAGCAGTTGCTCGTCGCATTCACCATTGTGCCGCCCCACTAGTCCTCTGGGAACTAACGGGAGTGGACCTCGTGATTAGGTGTCGTTATTTAGATCACGCACGTGGGGTTTGCAGCATTGCCTAGGGAAGCAGCTTCCTACCAAACCTTCGTTTCAGCATTCGTGGATGCGAGTGGTCAGGGCGTGGCGACACTAGCGGCGTTATCTCTGTCCTTGTCGGCTTGCTGTCCCGACATAACCAGTTCTGCTTCTCGTTACTTCACAACAGTTCTGTCAGATTGCTCACGTACGAAATGAGGTCGAGAAGCTCTCCGACCCGAAATTTCTGGATCGCAGAAGTGCCACATCGTCTCGGTGACCCCTCGTCCTAGGAGCCCATTGGTTTTAGTGGCCCTAGAATACGAAATCCGAAAGGATTATCGTATCCCATCGTTTGTCTGTTTGCATGCGTAACAAGAATCGTCGTCGTCGTTTTACTGTAGTGCGACGAAGGCGGCACGATGATTAGCCCTCCACCCTACGATGGGCCCGAACAAATCCGCCTTCCTAATCGTCGTGAGCTTCTCAAGAAAGGGCGTGCTTGGCGGCTTGCTCATGACAACCTTCTCAGTGAAGTGAGAGAATGTGATAGAAATACACACGCCCGTTTTTTCAAGTTTCATCTACTTTCACATTCAGACCTTGGCCCGAATTCAGATATATCGACGCTTAGCAGCAAAACCTGGTTCCGTCGATACTAGGAGCGAGCATGGAGTGTTGCCAAACCGACACCCTCCGCGCGGCGCGGAAGCGATCGCGAGATCAGGATGAGCTGCGACATTCAAGCCCCGCAAAACGCGGCGCAGAGCACGCCAGGATTGCAGAAAGGTATGCTCTACAGCACCTGAGTAAACGGAAGAGCGAGAATGGGGGGAGAGTGAACGGGGTGAGGGGGGACAAAGGAGCAGAAAGTTAGTCGCAGGGTTACTAAGTGTGTACCCTAGTGGGTTCGCAGCAGGGGTTCGTCCCGTGTAGAATAGGGCTCGTGCGGCAATTCTTGTGACACAACTCGTGCAACCTCTAATTTCCACGCCATTTCGTGCCCCACTCCGATTGAACCCTCATCCCGTGCAGCTCATCTTGCTTAAAGGGCGACTTGGATACGCAAGAACAAGATTATCACCATAATGCTGCCAGAAGCAGTGCTTTTGGGAGCCAGCATGCAACCGGGAACCTGAATCAGCCGCACCAGCGTGACGGGAAGAAAGTGCGCGTGGTTCAGTACCCGTACAAGCCGCTGCTGCCACGCGACGGGTTCAGCTGGGTCAAGTACGGGCAGAAGAAACTCACCACGGGCGACAACATGATCAGGTGCGGGTCTGATCGGGATTGGGAAGCCCCCTTTGGGCCAATGTGCCGCTCTTCCTGTTGGGCTGTTCCTGTTAGAGGGCCCTACGACAGCAAGGGCCCTCGATGACCTTTGACTTGGCAGGTCGGCGCCTAACGACTGAGTCTACTCGGCACCGACGCACGAGTTCGGTGGCGGTCATTAGTGACTACGGGTGACTGTGAGCTACTGCAGCGAACTCGGCGGAATCAGTGCTAGGAATGACGAGTCTTGGGGGTCGTAGGTACCTTGCTTGTGAGGCACGCTGCTCACTTGCTGTGTTGGCAGGAGTAGCGTGCACGGTGAGACATTCCGGTGCCGAGTTGGGTTGGAAATGTGCGGGGCGCGTTCACCCACCTGCACAGCACTTTCGTGTGGGTTGGGTTACTCGCAGCGCCACGCAACAATTGTGCAACTCTTGCTTGCCTATATATGTTTGTGTTTGCTTGTGTGTTTGATAATTGATATTGCAATTCTACTTGGCCCAAATGCTACTTCAATTCTCACAAAGTCCTTAGAGGCAAACGCTACCAAAACTCTACCAAGTTGCTGGCGCAACATCATTCCCATAGCAGAGACTCTCTCGCTATCGCTACGCTCTCTAATATATTCCTTCAAAAACGCGGCGCAGAGCACGCCAGGATTGCAGAAAGGTATGCTCTACAGCACCTGAGTAAACGGAAGAGCGAGAATGGGGGGATAGTGAACGGGGTGAGGGGGGACAAAGGAGCAGAAAGTTAGTCGCAGGGTTACTAAGTGTGTACCCTAGTGGGTTCGCAGCAGGGGTTCGTCCCGTGTAGAATAGGGCTCGTGCGGCAATTCTTGTGACACAACTCGTGCAACCTCTAATTTCCACGCCATTTCGTGCCCCACTCCGATTGAACCCTCATCCCGTGCAGCTCATCTTGCTTAAAGGGCGACTTGGATACGCAAGAACAAGATTATCACCATAATGCTGCCAGAAGCAGTGCTTTTGGGAGCCAGCATGCAACCGAGAACCTGAATCAGCCGCACCAGCGTGACGGGAAGAAAGTGCGCGTGGTTCAGTTCCCGTACAAGCCGCTGCTGCCACGCGACGGGTTCAGCTGGGTCAAGTACGGGCAGAAGAAACTCACCACGGGCGACAACATGATCAGGTGCGGGTCTGATCGGGATTGGGAAGCCCCCTTTGGGCCAATGTGCCGCTCTTCCTGTTGGGCTGATCCTCTGACACAAGTTGCTCCTTACCTCAAGGTGCGTCCAGGCTGTGTGCACCCTGCGCACGTCCCATGGCGACGTTAGCTCAATCAGTTCTAACCAAGCTGACCCACGCCCTTCCCTGTTCCTCCTGTCCTTCTCTCTCTCCCTCCCCACCCGTCCATGACTCCAGGCTCTACTTCCAGTGCGGCCTGCTGGGACCCCTCCGCCTCTCCTGCTCAACTACCACAGTTCCTTCTCTCTCTTTCTCCATTTCCTCCCACTCATGATGCCTGCAGGCTCTACTTCCAGTGCGGCCTGCGCACGTCCCACGCCTGCCCCGCACGCCGCACGGTGGACCTCAGCTGCTGGGACCCCTCCGCGCCTCTGGTGCTCAACTACCACTGCACGCACAACCACTTGCCGCACTACCACGCCGCTGGTGCTGCTACCACTCCTGCGCCACTGCCCAAGGACCGCGCAGTCAAGAATTGCTTGGTCCGAGCGATCAAGCGCGCTGTTGTCAAGGAGGAAGCAACGACGGCAAAGAGGTGTTGCCGTTCTGGCTCGCCGCCGTGCCTGCCGGCCCTTGCTTCCAGCCCGATCAGCTGCGGCAAGTGGGAGGTTCCGTCTGTCTCCGCGCTCTCCCCACCTGCCCCCAATGAATCAACCTCGTCCCGCCACGCTCCCGCCTCGGATGTGGCGGACTGGCGGGCTGCGCTAGCAGCACTGCTGAATGGGCCGCCTGTGCCTGCTACCGCTGCTCCTCCTGCTCCTGCTCCCCATCGTGCTCCGGCTTCCCCTGATGAGCCTGCTCTTGTGCCGCCGAGAAAAGTGTTCCCCGCAGACGACGTTGCTCCCTTGGAGACCCATTCGTGCCCGTTGACACCTGAGCTGCTTGCAGCGCTGGCGCTGCTATTGCAGTCAGCACTGGCGGAAGGAGAATCTGAATCTGTTCCGGCTAACGACTCGCCACAGCAGCAGCAGCAGCAGCAGCAGCAGCAGCAGCAGCATGAGTTGCAGGAGGAGCTTCCATGCTTGGAAAACACAGACTGCCCATTGGCAGCCGCCTCCCTGATGCCGGCCATCCGAAATTCCACAAATTGCCTTCAGCAGAGTTTCAAGACGTCTGAAAAGCCAGCCGACGCGGATTTCTTTCAGGAAATGAGCCCTGGTGTTGAAGCTGCTGCTGCTGCTTCTGCTCTTGCTGCTGCTGCTGAATCGCACCTGGTGAACTGGGGGGAGTCTGCTTCCATTGGAGCTGATCTGCTTCGGGATGCAGTCACATGGCCCAGCGATTCATGGCCCAATGCTGGTCGACTACTCGCCTTGGAGCAGTGCGCGAACACGCTGCCGCACAGGGAAGCACATTTGTTGCTCCTAGGCCAGAATTTGTGTAATGAACCACTGGGTACCGGTTTTTGTGAACGCTCTTACAGGTGGTTGATGTTTAGAGTCCCTTTTAGTCTGGCTAAGCAGACTAACAGAATAAAGTGAGTAAGGCTCAAATTATCTAGGACTACATGATAATGTGCACACAGTATATTTTGAACACCTGTAAGGAATTTTCTCGGCATTCCTTACGGAGCCCGACTACATCGCGTACAGCAACAGCCGTTGTTCGCCCGTTACTGCTAACGGGACTTCGCCAACTTCACGCGCACTGTTTTGCCAAACCTCGCACTACTGGCCCGGCCGTGTCGGCCTACGCTTCGGGACTAGCCCGAGCCTCGATGCCAGCGTAGCACTAGCTAGCTCGCACGCACCGCGTTACCGTTTGCATGTTACGTGTATAAATGTTCGCTCATGCCTTCGCTCACATCTTTGTACTCGTTTGACACCTTAGTGCAATTCTCGCTACTTCGATTCATTGCACCCGTAACACTTGGTATCAGAGCCCCTTCTTTCGGACCGCGCATCTCCGCACCCCAGGAAATCAACTTTTGATTTTTCACTCGAAGGGACTCACGTACCTTAGCACCTAGGAGCCGCTGTCCTCGCGTTCTCTCGTAAACGCGTGCAGCCACGACTGCGCCTAGACTAAGACGAGCCGATGCCCTTTGAAATGGCTGAACATATCGACGTCACGACTCTCACGCAGGAGCACTTGAACGATCTGCTGCGACAAATCCGCGAGAGCGCCGAGGAAATCGCGACGCTGACGGCAGAACGCTCGTCCCTGCAAAATGACCTCACACGAGCACAACAGGCACAGTCTCAAGCACCTGGCACTCCGGAACAGCCCGCACCACAGGCATCACAACACGGAAGCGTGGGGCAACCCGCGAGCGCGGCCAGTGATGGCGTCGTCCGCCCCGACGGAGACGACGACCACGGCACGACACACCCCGAAGCGACGAATGCGGCCCGAAGCCAGCCACGCGTCACAATTTCGGCACCAACCGACGGTTCGGCACTGCCGTCACCAATGCCGCTGAAGCCGCAGCGTCCGCCATGCTTCGATCCCAGCCAACGGGGTGGTCCTACCGTTCAGGCGTGGTTGTTCACGATGAACGTATTCTTCGACCTAGGAGCCGCTGTCCTCGCGTTCTCTCGTAAACGCGTGCAGCCACGACTGCGCCTGAACTACGACGAGCCGACGCCCTTTGAAATGGCTGAACATATCGACGTCACGACTCTCACGCAGGAGCACTTGAACGATCTGCTGCGACAAATCCGCGAGAGCGCCGAGGAAATCGCGACGCTGACGGCAGAACGCTCGTCCCTGCAAAATGACCTCACACGAGCACAACAGGCACAGTCTCAAGCACCTGGCACTCCGGAACAGCCCGCACCACAGGCATCACAACACGGAAGCGTGGGGCAACCCGCGAGCGCGGCCAGTGATGGCGTCGTCCGCCCCGACGGAGACGACGACCACGGCACGACACACCCCGAAGCGACGAATGCGGCCCGAAGCCAGCCACGCGTCACAATTTCGGCACCAACCGACGGTTCGGCACTGCCGTCACCAATGCCGCTGAAGCCGCAGCGTCCGCCATGCTTCGATCCCAGCCAACGGGGTGGTCCTACCGTTCAGGCGTGGTTGTTCACGATGAACGTATTCTTCGACGCCAACTACGTCTCGGAGAATACGGCGAAAATCCGATACGCCGTGTCGTTGCTGCGAGGACCCGCCATGGATTGGTGGCGCGTCATCGTCACGAAGCCGTTAGACTACGCGACTCTACCGACACGGGAAGGACAAACCGGACCCTGGGCGCCGTCGTATTTCGTGGAGGTGCCCCAGTATCGCACGTGGGACGCGTGGTGCGCAGGTCTGCGTGCTCGTTTCGAGCCAATCGCGGCTTCGATCGCGGCGCGACAGAAGCTCCGCACTTGGCGCGAACTCGGTTCCGTCCAAGACTACACGAGCGGATTTCTGGCGCTATGCGAGCAGGTGGGATATATGCACGAGAGCGAGCGCATCGACCGCTACATTGGCGGCCTGAAGCAGGACATCGCTCAGGAAATCCAGCTTCGCGGCGTCACCGACTTTCAAGAAATTCTCGCTATGGCGGAGAAACTTGATTTCTTCCGCCGACCGAGACCGGGGTCCTACGGAAGCAGCCATTGGGGACATCGGCCTCGGGGGACGAACGAGGGCGCCACGATACGTGTCGTCGCCGCAAATGCCACTGCCGCACCGTTCAAAGGGCGCTGCTTTGCGTGCAATCGGCCGGGACATCGCAAGAGCGAATGCCCGGAAAACGCTAAGGGAAAGGGGGAAGCTGAGCAGCAGAAACAGACCAAGCAGCAGAGAAGCGCTGGGAGTCAGTAGCAGACGGGCCCTCTACTGACAGGTCACGCCGCTCGCCCGACCCAACCGACCCTCACCGAGTGATTGTGCCGGTTCACGCAATCGACCACAACCGGCCGAATAAGGAGGGTACTACGGTAGACAGCCCCATACTGCTTAGTGGGAAAATCGGGACGGACTTAGTAAATATCTTCGTAGATGGGGGAGCCAGCCACAGCCTCATCAACACTGCCACAGCACGAAAACTACGACTGCCACTGGACAGATGTTTACCTGAGATCGACGCAAGACTGGTAGATGGCACACCGCTGGCGATACGGGAACGCGTAGACCGGGTTCGGATTCGATGTGGGGGTAACTTCACGTTTAGCCAGGAAATGCTCGCAACGACCCTCGACGGAACCGATATTTTACTCGGCCGTGATTGGCTGCGACGACACAATCCGCGAATCGACTGGACGACAGGTGACTGCACCGTGCGAGTGAACGGTAACAACATCGCCTTACCTCGCTGGGGCTCGCCTGAGTCTTCGTCGGTGCGTGTCAACGCGATCACGATGAAACGCGCCGTAGCGGCGGGAGCTGACGTGTACGCCGTCGACATTCGGGAAGCCGAGGCAGCAGACAAAGGAGGGGATTTACAGAAACTTCTGGCCGACGTACCGAGTGACCTGGCAGCACTGTTGAAGCAGTGCAGCGACATTTTCCCGGACGATTTACCGACGGGACTGCCACCTCAGCGACCGCACGACCACAGGATAGAGTTAGAACCGGGGGCACAGCCAACAGTACAGCGACAGTTCCGACTGACCCAGCCCGAACTGGACGAACTGAGGAAGCAGCTCGATTACCTGCTCGAGAAGGAATTCATTCGCCCCAGTTCGTCGCCTTTCGCAACACCGATACTGTTCACACCGAAAAAAGACGGGGGATTTCGCATGTGCATAGATTACAGAGCACTGAACAGGGTTACCATCAAATCCCGTTACCTCATCCCGCGAGCTGACGAACTGATCGACCAACTGCGCACAGCCCGGGTTTTCTCGAAAATCGACCTCCGAGGGGGTTACCACCAGATTCGCGTCAATCCGCCCGACTGCCCTAAGACCGCATTTCGCACACGCTACGGATCCTTCGAATACACCGTCATGCCCTTCGGACTGACCAACGCCCCCGCCACGTTTCAAATGACCATGAACAAAGCTTTCCGCCCGCTCTTAGATAGGTGTGTCATAGTATACCTGGACGACATACTGATTTACAGCCCTGACAGAGCACATCACTTACAGGACATCGAAGCAGTTTTTAAAATACTGAGTGAGAACCGCCTACTGACAAAAGCGTCCAAGTGTGAGTTTTTACAGGCCCGCCTGGAATTTTTGGGACACGTTATTTCAGCTGCAGGAGTGGAAATAGACCCGAAGAAAATTGCGACGATTCAAGCATGGCACGCGCCGACCAACTTGACCGAGTTGCAGAGTTTTTTGGGGTTCGTCAACTACGTGCGCCGGTTCGTCCCCGACATGGCGAAGCTGACTGCCCCGCTGACAGACCTGCTGAGGAAGGGGGTTGAGTACACGTGGGGGGAGAAAGAGCAAGCTGCCTTCTCGGCCCTCAAAAACATTTTGTGCTCACCGCCCGTGCTTCACATCGCAGATCCACACCGTCCGTTCAAGCTCGTCACTGACGCAACTGACATCGCTGTGGGAGCAGTACTGTTGCAGGATTTCGGGAACGGCCTCCAGCCAATCGCGTACGAGTCCCGCAAGCTGCACCCGCCCGAACGCAACTACCCGATACACGACCGCGAAATGTTGGCGATCGTGCACGCGTTCAAGGTTTGGCGGTGTTACCTGACTGGCGCCGACGTGACAGTACGGACATACCACCGATCACTTCAGTACCCACGCGCCCAACCAAGTCTCAATCCGCGACAGATTCGCTGGTTGGACTACCTCGAGTCCAACTTCCACTACACGGTTACGTACAAGAAAGGCGCCTCCAACATCGCCGACGCACTCACTCGCCCTACCGCCCAACTCCATGCCATCCTACTCGCCCAAACCAACCCGCTTTTAACAGGCCTATTCACCCACGGATACCGCACGGGCCCATTTTTCACGACCGGAAATTCACAGCAACTGGCAGAAGCTAAAGGAGTTTATTACGTAAAAACAGGCACCAACCGCATCTGGGTACTCGCGTACTCACTACTGAGGGAGCTGCTACTGCAGGAGGCACACGACGGAATGACCTCAGGACATTTTTGGGGTAGAAAAAACGCGACAGCAACTCCAGCGGTATTACTACTGGCCGGAGCTGTTGACCGACGTGCAGCAGCACGTGGGCTCGTGCCCCACGTGTCAGGTGATGAAGAGCTCGAGGAAGCGGAAGGCGGGTCAATTGCAGCCGATACCACCGCCCGAGCGCGCCTGGCAGCAGGTTACCATGGACTTCGTCATAGGGTTACCTTCGAACCCTGGGGGTAACGACGCGGTGATGGTCGTCGTTGAGAGGTTGACGAAGATGGCACACTTCGCTGCGTGCAAAAAGTCGATCTCAGCCGAGGAGACCGCTCGTCTGTTCATCGCAGTCGTTGTTCGCCTGCACGGGATACCAGCAGCGATTATCAGCGACAGGGACACGAAGTTCACCAGCAACTTCTGGAAGAACCTCTGGGAGCAGTTTGGAACCAGGCTACGGTTCAGTTCGTCGTACCACCCCGAGACCGACGGTCAAACGGAGCGGACGAATCAGACGATGGAGCAGTTGATTCGTGCCACGTGCGACGACCCCACGACTTGGGAGCAGCAGCTGCCGCTGATCGAGTTCGCGTACAACAACGCCACGTCAGCAACGACGCAGCAGTCCCCCTTCTACCTGAACTACGGGTAAAATCCGACAGTGCCCATGACGCCGAGTCCGGACAACCCAACACCACGTGCACATCAATTCGCCAAAATTCTGCACGCTGCCCGCACCAGAGCCGCAGAAGCAATTAAAAAAGCAAACGTCATCGCTAAGCGCAACGCCGACCGCCACCGCCGCCCAGTCACATACCAGTCAGGGGATTACGTACTGCTCGACACGCAAAACCTGCGACTGCCCAACGTACCGAAACTTCGACCGCGCTACTGTGGCCCATTCCAAATCAGCCACATGATCACGCCAGTAACCGCGCACCTACTGTTACCGACCGACTGGTACATCAGCCCTTCGTTCCACGTCAGCTTGCTTCGCCCATACATCCCAACCACAAGCCAACTGCCTCGCCACCGCCCGCCATCCATGACTCGCCCTGCATCGGAGCCGATCATCGAGCCCGAAAAAATCCTGAGCCATCGGATTCGCCACCCCACGAGAATCAGGAGGATTGAATTCCTCGTTTGCTGGAAGGACCGCACGCCAACTGAAGATAGCTGGGTGCCCCTGGCCAACATTGAAAACCACCCTGCCCTGCAAGTGTACCTGAGGAGCCGGGGATTCCGCGATATACACGCACTCGCGTAGCGGAGGGGGCTTCTTGAGGGGGGGGGGGGTAGTGTAAGGAATTTTCTCGGCATTCCTTACGGAGCCCGACTACATCGCGTACAGCAACAGCCGTTGTTCGCCCGTTACTGCTAACGGAACTTCGCCAACTTCGCGCGCACTGTTTTGCCAAACCTCGCACTGCTGGCCCGGCCGTGTCGGCCTACGCTTCGGGACTAGCCCGAGCCTCGCTGCCAGCGTAGCACTAGCTAGCTCGCACGCACCGCGTTACCGTTTGCATGTTCGCACATAAATGTTTGCTCATGCCTTCGCTCACATCTTTGTACTCGTTTGACACCTTAGTGCAATTCTCGCTACTTCGATTCATTGCACCCGTAACAACACCCCAATCAACAGAATTGGTTTAGGATGCGTCGCTTCTCTCGATCTTGCACGATCGATCTTCAAAAACCGATCGTTCACCGCAATTAGAACCTGCTTGTTACATCTAAAACATATTGAAACATTTTCAACACTGTAAACATTCGATCCTTTGCCGGATCGATCGTGCAAAATCGAGAGAGGTGCCGCGTCCTTAGGGCGGGGTGCATCATGCTATTTTGCAGGATCGCGATCCCAAGCGAACCCTTGTTACAGTGTTTTGTCTTTTGCGCACAGTAACTACTGTAGCGTTGCTGCACCACGACCCTGGGGGATCGCGAAAACTGCCACCCAACCACCCTCGATCACGCGGGATCTGAGTGCCTGCGATCCCACGCGATCAAGGGTTGGAGGTGCACCACGTGCACACCGATCCTTGTTCGCGAGAAAAAAAATGTCGCCTAACAACAAAACGAAACGAGAGTGAGGTGAGGACGACATGGTTACGGAACGAACGCTGAAACCAAAATGTACAGGCGACGCCTTGACCGCGTCTCATTGGTAGTTGCAGGTGGTGCATCATAGGGGGGTGCCATTGGGTCGCAGGGGGCCCCGAGCAGGCCCAACCCAACCGGATTCCACAGAGTTGCGGTTCTAGCATCGCGATCAAGCATTTTCATGCAATTTCAGCATGATGCATTCCGCCCTTATTCTCCAAAGCGGTTTAGCGTCAAGCGTTTTACTGAACCGAATTTACTGTATCAACCTTTTGGGACACTGTTACGGGTGCAATGAATCGAAGTAGCGAGAATTGCACTAAGGTGTCAAACGAGTACAAAATGTGAGCGAAGGCATGAGCGAACATTTATATGCGAAACATGCAAACGGTAACGCGGTGCGTGCGAGCTAGCTAGTGCTACGCTGGAGCGAGGCTTGGGCTAGTCCCGAAGCGTAGGCCGACACGGCCATGCCAGCAGTGCGAGGTTTGGTGAAAACAGTGTGCGCGAAGTCGGCGAAGCCCGGTTAGCAGTAACGGGCGAACAACGGCTGTTGCTGTACGCGATGTAGTCGGGCTCCGTAAGGAATGCCGAGAAAATTCCTTACAGACACCCTCAATTGGCAACTTGACGTGAGTGTAAAGTACACAACTGTTCCGTCAGATTGCTCACGTAAGAAATGAGGCCGAGAAGCCTTCTGAGAGCCGAAGTTTTTGGATCGCAGAAGTGCCCCCACCTCAGTGACCCCTCGTCCTAGGAGCCCATTGGTAGCGGCTCTCGAGTACGGTATCCGATAGGGTGATCGTATAAGATTGTTTGTCATCTTGGAAAGGTAGCGCGCCTCGTCTTCGTCGTTTAACCGTACTACGAACGAAGGCGTCTCTATGAATGGGTCCGGGCCAGGGCTCACGGTAGCAGGGTGCACATCCGGAATTTCATCAACATTCCGGATGTTTCTTCCAGATTTCAAAATCCGGAAGTTCCGGATTTTGATGGGATCGACTGAGTAATCATCCGGACACATCAAGGGTTTTTTTCAGACAGATTTAAGCGCTTAAGGGTGTTTCTATAAATCCTTCGTGCCGGATTCGATTGGTCGCGTCCCTGAGTGAGACACATCTGCGATGCCAAACAGGTGCAGTGCAACTTCACAATTTACTTGTGTTTTCCGCACCCACTTTCAGTACTGTGGGTGTTTAGGGTGTTGGAGTGTTAGGATCTTTCACGAACTCGTGAATCACGTCAGACCCACCAAGGATGTAAAGGTGGCCCTTGCGTGGAGGGAAGTGCTCTCTCGAGTGCTTCTTCCTGTCTGTGTTCTTCACTTGTATTTTGCTGCAGTTGCGACTCGATGGGCCAGAGGGTGTTATCAGAAACATACTGACTTCGGGTAACCCTTGATGGAATACGGATGAAAAGGGTAGAATTTTCACGGGTCCGGAAATTTACGGATGTTTACGTGGGGGCCCCGGAGGTCTCAAAAAACGAAAAAGTAGCCCTGGTCCGGACAAATCCGCTCCTCCAAGTCGTAAGCGTCCCAGGAAAGCTTCTTGGCAGATTGCTCATTACAAGCTTACCGGAATCACACCCTTGCGAGAAAATGCGATAGAAATACGCTGACGCTCCTGCTCTTTGTATTTGTGACATACTGACGAGTCCGGAGTACCGAGTCCTGAGGCGATAATCGCTGTCACCCTTCGAAGTAGACCTTTCTCCATCACCCTTCGACGGTAGCATGGAGCACTGCCGAGCTGATTCTTTCCGCGGGTCGCGCAAGCGATCGCGAGATCAAGACCATGAGCTGCGGCACGGGGGATTTTCAAGCGCCGCAAAACGCGGTTCAGGACACGCCAGGATGGTGTTTGCAGAAAGGTAGGCTCCACTGGATGCATACCTGAGTAACGGAAGGGCGAGAATGGGGCGGTGTGAAGGGGAAGGAGAGAGGAGAGTGGTGCAGCGGCAAAAGTTAGTTCTAGGATTTCGCTTGTACGACAGACTCTGTGGAGGCCGTGCCGCGCGATTCTTGTGATGTAACTCCTGTATGAATCTCAATAAAAAACCTCTGATTCCCACACCGTTCCGTGGTCACTACAAATGACTCCTTCCTGTGCAGATCATGTTGCATTCAGCCGCAAATCCTGCAAATCCCGAGCTTCAAGGGCCGTCGGGACATGCAAGATCGAGATCCTGATCAGCTTGATGCTTCTGGGAACCTTCAAGCAACTGGAAACCTCGAACAACCTCCGCACCAGAGCATGGACCTCGCATGGACCGGCTCTCAACTTCACCCGAGAAAAGGAGGCTCGGGATCTCAAGGAAATCGACCCGAGACACCTGAGAGTCGGCATGAGACACCTGAGAGTCGGCATGAGACACCTGAGAGTCGGCATGAGACACCTAAGTGTCGGCATGAGACACCTGAGAGTCGGCATGAGACACCTGAGAGTCGGCATGAGACACCTGAGAGTCAGCATGAGACACCTGAGAGTCGGCATGAGACACCTGAGAGTCGGCGTGAGACACCTGAGAGTCGGCATGAGACACCTGCGAATCGGCATGAGACACCTGCGAATCGGCATGAGACACCTGCGAATCGACCTGGCAGTGGCAGCGGTGGAGCGGACCGTCACGTTGACGGCAAGAAAGTGCGTGTGGTGCAGTATCCGTATAAACCGCTGCTGCCACGGGACGGGTTCAGCTGGGTCAAGTACGGGCAGAAGAAACTCACCACGGGCGACAACATGATCAGGTGCGGCTCCGATCCTCTTTTGGTCTTTGTCTTGCCTGTCTTTTGAACCGCACTGTGCCGCTCGTCCCCTCTCGGGTCAATCGCCCACTTTAAGAAGTTTAGCAGTGCTGCCATTTGCTGCTTCTCCCCTGTATGCTGATTCCTTCCACTCATGCGTCCACCACGCTCCTCCCTGCGCTTCCTGCTCTCCTCTCTCCCTCCCACCCATGATGCCTGCAGGCTCTACTTCCAGTGCGGCCTGCTGGGACCCCTCCGCCTCTCCTGCTCAACTACCACAGTTCCTTCTCTCTCTTTCTCCATTTCCTCCCACTCATGATGCCTGCAGGCTCTACTTCCAGTGCGGCCTGCGCACGTCCCACGCCTGCCCCGCACGCCGCACGGTGGACCTCAGCTGCTGGGACCCCTCCGCGCCTCTGGTGCTCAACTACCACTGCACGCACAACCACTTGCCGCACTACCACGTCGTTGGTGCTGCTACTACCTCTCCTGCGCCTCTGCCCAAGGACCGCTCAGTCAAAGTCCGCTCAGTTAGAACGAGGGGTTCTGCTGCTGTGCCTGCTGGTGCTACCGCTGCTGCTGCTGCTACTGCTGCTGCAGATGGTGCCGACAGCAGCATGGCGAGCAAGCGAGCGGCTGTTAAGGAGGAAGCAATCGCGGCAAATGGGACTGCTGGCAGACCGCTGCGATGCCCGCCGTCGTTCCTGCCAGCCCTCGCTTCCATCCCAGTCAGCGGTGCCACTTGGAAGGATAAGTCCGATCGTGCACCCTCCCGCCCTTCTTCCAATGCATCGTCTTCGTCCGGGCACGCTCCCGCCTCGGCTGTGGCAGACTGGCGGGCGGCACTGGAGGCACTGCTCAGTGGATCACCTGTGCCTGCTGTCGCTCCCACGCCTGCTCCTGCTTCCTCTGATAAGCCTGTGCATGCGAGGGAGAGTACGGTGTCTCCTTTGGGGAGTCGTGCGGCCGCTGCTGCTCCCTCGCCTGCTCCTGCCTCCTCTGATAAGCCTGCGCATGCGCGGGAGAGTACGGTGTCTCCTTTGGGGAGTCGTGCGGCCGCTGCTGCTCCCTTGCACCCTCAGTCGCACCAGTTACCGGCTGAGGTGATTGCAGCGTTGACGCTGCTGGTGCAGTCCGCACTGGCGGAAGGAGGGCACGTGGGGGCAGAAGAATCTGAGTCTGTTCCGGCTGAAGGCACGCCACAGCAGCAGCAGCAGCAGGAGGAGGAGGAGGAGGAGTTACCAGGATTGGAAGACACAGACTGCCTCTTTCCAGCCGCTCCCCTGACGCCGGCCTTCCAGAATCCCACGAGTTGCCCTCCGCGGAGTTTCTGTATATCAGAAAACCTGGACGACGCTGGTTACTTTCAGGAGATGAGCCCTGGTGGTGGCGCTGCTGCCGCTGATACTCTTGCTGCTGCTGCTGAATTACACCTGGTGAATTGGGAGAAGTCATGCGACGTTGAAGGAGACCTGCTTGGGGATGCACTCACATGGCCCAGTGATTCGCCTGATGCCAGTCAACTGCTCACCTTGGATTCTGCGGCGCAGATTAAAGCGCCTTCTTTGTTCCCATGCCAAAATTCCAGTGACACTCTACCGGCTGATACGGTGGTGGACGAACAGCTTACGACTGCAAGCCAGCAGCAGCTTGTGATTTGTGAAGATGCGCGTGGAGCAATTCAAGTTGCTGCGCGTCCCGTTTGTGAACCTTTGTCTGGCTGCCAAGGTTTTTCCAAGGCGCCATTGGATGTTGGTGAACGTGTCCAGCATGTTTTTTTGGCGACTTGTGGGTTGACGGATTCACTTGGAAGCTCAGGACAGCACTCATGCGAACAATTGGACGAGATTTTGCGTTGTATTAGCCCATCATCGAGTGTTTCTGGTAGTTTGGACGAGCTTTATGATGGAGAGGGTTGGTAGTTTCTCTTGTTCTTGCTTCGTTAATGAAATGAAGGGTTCCTTCTTGGTGTACTGCTGATTCTTTCTGTTCAACGAATTGATGGACAACATCGAGGTCAGCCACGTGTGCAAAGATTCCCTCCATTTGTGAACGCTCTGACAGCAAAAAGCGCAAAGCTCCTCTCCTTGAGATCTGCCAAGACACGTCATCAGGCGGTCTCTTCCACCATCACCGTTTAGCCAATCAACGAGCGCTTCGTGTCCTCCACCCTCTGGGCGCAACACAGCACACACCTTCCTTGGCGCCGCCTAACTTGGCCCACCTTCCTTCGATGTTGTCACCTTTCTCTCTCTTCACTCTGCTCTTTTTGTACTCACCCCTCTCCCGCCATTCCCAATGCTCCCCTGCTCTTTATTTCTGTGCTCTCTCAGCTGCGTTCCGTAGGTATCTTGGCCTGATCGTTGGTTATGTCAGGCCATAATTCCTCGTGAAGCTTCCGCTTCGATTTTGGAGATTCTGATCGTCTGCTGTGAAGCTATTGTGTTTCTAGACCTCTTGCGTGGTTGTTGCATTTGATCCATCTCTGGTTGACCAGGCATCCATGCGAGAGACTAGGCCATGCGTTTATTGTCGTGATTTCCGGGTATAGAAGCATCGCGTGGACCCCTTTCTCTCACTGCGACGTCCAGCGAATTTCTGACATGACGAAGATTAGCAAACACGTTTGATGATTACAGCATCCGCGATATTGTACTATAACCGATAGTGGTTTTGCGCTTCGCCACAATGCTTCTTCGGCCAAGCTGCAAAGGACCTTACCAAGTAGTCCCGTCTGGGTCCCCTTCGTTGATCGGAAGATTTTCGAAACAGATAAGCACTACTTGCAATGGTAACCCAGGTGGCCTTGCATCTAGCCCTATCGCTATTCAAACCGCCGATTCATCCACTCAATACCCTCGATCCGCCAGGTCGTACCGTCCGATTTGTAGCAGTCGACAATGCAGTGGCGGAGATTTCTCCCCGTTGACACGTGTCATTGGGGGAGGGTTACGTCATCAACAGGAAGACGGAGGCGTGTTCCGACCTGCTGTAACGAATCTTGACAATCGACGGCGGAGTTCGACTCAATTTTCGAAGACGTATGCAAGGATCGGGACTCATGTAGCTTCATGCGTAAACTCAGCCGTAGGAGAAACGAGGTCAGGTGTCGATGATGATGGGTCTGCTGTAAGAGACAGCAGCAGCAACAGCAGCAGCTGCAGCATCAGCAGCGATGGCTCTACCTTTAGGAATATTCCGAACGAAGGGTCGGCGCCTGTAGCAGCACCAGACGGGACCGTTGCATGGGGTATCATTGCAAGGCGAGTGGCCGTCCTTGTGGTTTCCGCTGCAGTGTGCCTGACAGCCGTTCTAGCCTGCCGGCCAGTTCTAGCAGCGGAATCAGCCTCGGCATCCGCATCGCCGATCCTCCCAGCCTCGGCCGGAGCTCTGGTGTCGGATCTGACGCAGCGGGCTCGGGTATGGAGCGTGGGAGCGAAGCCGTCGATGATACAGCTGCTCAAGGTGCTGCGGGAGCAAGGCGTGCTGCTGGCGGTTCTGCTGAGCCTCTCCGCTTTCTTCTCCATGGCAGAAACATCTATCACCACGCTCTGGCCGTGGAAGGTGGGAGCTGGGATGGGAAGGGTGGGGTACGATTATAAGGGGTTGATGAGAGTAACGAGAGGTGACGGTGCTGCCGGGTCTCTCCGCTTTCTTCTCCATGGCGGAAACATCTATCACCACGCTCTGGCCGTGGAAGGTGGGAGCTGGGATGGGAAGGGTGGGGTACGGTAATAAGGGGTTGATTATTGTTGCTTCTAGAGGTCTCCGTTTTCTTCTCCATGGCGGAATCGTCCATCACCACGCTCTGGTCGTGGAAGGTACGAGCACTCAGATCAAGCCGCTCAGATCAAGCCGCTCAGATTAAGCCGCTCAGATCAAGCCGCTCAGATCAAGCCGCTCAGATCAAGCCGCTCAGATCAAGCCGCTCAGATCAAGCCGCTCAGATCAAGCCGCTCAGATCAAGCCGCTCAGATCAAGCCGCTCAGATCAAGCCGCTCAGATCATGCCGCTCAGATAATGCCGCTCTGTGCGTGACCCACATTCTCTCCCTCCGCGCCACCAGTGTGCCTGATCCGCAGTCCCTCCCCTCCGCTCCCTCCTCTCGTCAGGTGCGCGAGCTGACGGAGAAGGAGAAGGAGGGCAGTGTGTTCCAGCTGCCGCGTGGGGCCATGCTCCCCTTGGCCTAATCCACATGCTTTTCCTTTGTTCGCAATTGCCATTCCCTCTGCGCGCACCCCTGTTCTCTCCGTCCGCATCCCTGTTCCCTTCCCTCCGTCCTCTCGTCAGGTCCGCGAGCTGGCGGAGAAGGAGAGGGAGGGCTGTGTGTTCCAGCTGAGACTGGTCGAAGTGTGCTGCCTGATCCCCATTCTTCCTTTTCCCTCATCTACATGCTCTCTCTCTCTGCCCACAGGTGCGCGAGCTGGCAGAGAAGGAGAAGGAGGGCAGTGTGTTCCAGCTGCTGCGGCGGGACGTGACTCGCTTCCTCACCACCATCCTCATCGGCACCACGTAATGCCCACGTTCTCCCTTTCCGCGCTCTCTTCTTCCTCACGCATACCTCTCTTCTTCCTCACGCATACCTCTCTTCTTCCTCACGCATACCTCTCTTCTTCCTGCCTCACCACCATCCTCATCCACACCACGTTCCGCCCTTTGTCGTCTCCTTTCTGTCATTTCCACCCGAACACTGTCTGCAACCTGCTTCTGCCGTTCAGTCGTAGCACCTTTGCGCCCCCCATACCACTCTTTCAACCCTCACACGCTGTTGCTGCTGACTCGTAGCACCTCTGCACCCCCCATGCCACCCGCACATCTCTCCTTCCTACTTCATCACCACTGGCATTTGAAGGTATCCGCGTTTGCCTGCCATCTGCCATCTGTTCGTTCAACCCTCATACACCTCCTCTCCCCTCTTCTCGCTTCCTCTTCTCCCCTCAACCCCTACCTTCTCTTGCCCTGCCTCCAGCTTGGTGAACATTTGGGCAACGGCTTTGGTCACAGACGCCGCTACAGCGCTCTTTGGGGAGGCAGGGGTCAGCGCTGCTACAGGCGTGATGACGGTACGTGCTGTGGTGCTGCCACAGCCGTGATGCTTCAAACCTTGCCGACCCACATGTTCATCCCACCTTCTCGCTTCCCTCTTGACCCGTTCACATCCGCACTCTCTGATTTATGTCTCTTCGCATTCTCTCCTCCCCCGACCCCTCCCCGCTTTGCCCTTGCCCCCGCACCCTTACTGCGTCATCAGATCCTGCTGCTGGTCTTCACAGAAATCGCCCCCAAGTCCATCGCCTTTCCCCCTACACCCTTTTTGCCCTCCCTACCTCCCCGTGCACCCTTTCTGTCCTCCCTGCACCCCCGTGCCCCTGCTCCTGCCCGTGCCCCTGCATCAGATCCTGCTGCTTGTCTTCACAGAGATTGCCCCCAAGTCCATCGCCGTGCACAACGTTTGAGGCATCTCAATTGTCGCCCTTACTGTCCCCCCTTGGCCCCTATGCCATTGCTGCACCCCCTGCCTGCCCCCGCGCCCATCAGATCCTGCTGCTCGTCTTTACAGAGATTGCCCCCAAGTCCATCGCCGTGCACAACGCCACACAAGTCGTCCGTGTCGTGGTATGCACTTTATACTTGGTGGTATGCCCTCCAACTGTCGTGCTATGCATTTCTCTACCAGTTCCTACCCCGTTCCCCCGCTTTCCCTCCTGCCCCCTCTCGCCCCCTCCCGCCCCCTCCCGCCCCTCTCCCTCACGCCTCCCCCACTCCCGCCCTATTCTCCCTCTCTCCCTCCCTCCTCGCTTGTCTCTTCTCTTCACTCGCTCATTCTCAGTCCATCCTGTCAACCTTTTCTCCCTCTTCCTCCCGCCCACCCTCGCACCAGCTGCGTCCAGTGGCGTGGCTGTCAGTCGTGCTCTACCCTGTGGGTCGCCTCTGCACCTATGCCTCCAAAATTCATTCATCCACCTATTCCACTCCCACCTCTCCCTTCCTCCCTCCCGCCCACCCTCTCACCAGCTGCGCCCAGTGGCATGGCTGTCAGTCGTGCTCTACCCCGTGGGTCGCCTCTGCACCTATGCTTCCACGGGCCTCTTCCGCCTCCTCGGCCTCAAGACCAGCGGGTCAGTCAGTCCACGTTATGGCAATGCTTGCAGCACCGACTCAGGAAAGCCAAAGCGCGTCTGCGTGTGTCGCTGCTCCCCTGTGTGCCTTGAATTGTCCGTTCATTTCTGCCTGCCAGGGAGGGAGCCGTTCGTGAAGCAGAAGGAGCTGAAGCTGGTGCTGAGGGTGTGACTCTGAGACGTCTCACGGTCTCACCCATCTGTGCTTTCCTGTGCGTGTTGTACTGCCACGTGTCTCGTCTTGTATGATGCATCACCATGTGTGTGCTTTATCATCAGAGAACCGTTCGTGACAGAAGAGGAGCTGAAGCTCATGCTGAGGGGGGCGGAGATGAGTGGCGCTATTGAGGAGGAGGAGCAGGTGAGGGGGAGTAGAGGGGAGGGCTGTGGAATAAGAGTGGCGGAACAAGGGCAAGGGACAAGGGTTGGGGAACAAGTGTGGGGGATTAGGCGGATCAGGGAGTAGTGCCATACGCTCATGCTGAGGGGGGCGGAGATGAGTGGCGCTATTGAGGAGGAGGAGCAGGTGAGGGGGGAAAGGGGGTGTGTTGCAGTAAGCATGGCAGAATATGGTGGGTGGCAGAATATGCGGAATAGGGAGAAGCGCCATAAGCTCATGCTGAGGGGGGCGGAGATGAGGTGGCGCCATCGAGAAGGAGAAGGCGAGCGGGGCAGGGGGGATTTGAAATGGCAAGTGAGGAGTGCAAGGCTGGGCGGTGTGGACAAAGAGGGTATGGTACGATACACAGCAAGCCAGCCCCTATTTCCCATTCCCCCACCTCCAGTTCCGCACCTCCCATTCTCCCACCTCCCATTCCCCCACCTCCCATTCCCCCACCTCCCATTCCCCCACCTCCCATTCCCCCACCTCCAGTTCCGCACCTCCCATTCCCCCACCTCCAGTTCCGCACCTCCCATTCCCCCACCTCCCATTCCCCCACCTCCAGTTCCCCACCTCCCTCTCCCTACCAGGACAAAATAGAGAACTTGCTGGAAATCAAAGGCAGGCACCTATGTCCGTGAAGTCATGACCCCCCTGGTTGACGTGGTGGCTGTGAGCTCGTCCGCGTCCCTCATGGAGCTGCGTGCGCTGTGGGTGCGCCACCAGTAGTAGTACTCACTCCCCCACCTCCCAACCCCCATTTCCCACCGCCCACCTCCCATTCCCCCACCTCCCATTCCCCACCTCCCACACCCCCTGTCCCTCACAGGACATGATCGAAAATGTGTTGGAAATCAAGGATACCTATGTGCGTGAGGTGATGACCCCTCTAGTCGACGTGGTGGCGGTGAGCTCCTCCGCGTCCCTCATGGAGCTGCTCGTGCCCTTTCCGCTCCTCCTCTCCCCCACATCACAGGATATGATTGAAAATGTTCTCGAGATCAAGGATACCTACGTGCGTGAGGTGATGACCCCTCTGGTCGACGTGGTGGCGGTGGGCTCGTCTGCGTCGCTCATGGAGCTGCGGGCGCTGTGGGTGCGCCACCAGTACTCGCGTGTACCTGTCTACGAGAGGAGGGTTGATAACATTGTTGGCATTGCGTATGCCATGGACATGCTCGACTATGTGGAGCAGGTGAGACTTGGGCAGGTGGGATCTGGTGGGGATCGCGCATGCCATAGTCATGCTCGACTACGTGGAGCAGGTGGGTGGGGGTCTGTCTGGGGCAGGAAGTATCTGTGTGGGGTAGGTGGGATCTGTGTGGGGCAAGTGGCTAGGGGTCTGGCTGTGTGGTGCAGAAAGGGCGTATTCATGAAGCGCGGGTGGTATCTGGGGGCGGCAGCTCTGTGTGTGTGTTGGTTGCGCTGCCTTGGCTCATCTTTCCACCTGTCTACATATCATCAACCTGTCTCTCTGCCACTGCTGTCCACAGCTGAGTCATGCTCTACCCCATCGGCCCCCCTCCACTCCACCCCTCCCATCCTCCCCTCCCCCTCCCTTTCCCTGTCTTCCCCAAACCTGCCCAACCTATCTGAATCCCTCTCACTGCTCTCTCTCACTCCCTCTCACTCCCCACCTCTCACTGCCTCTTCTCACTGCCCCATGTCAACCCCTTCTTCTACCGCTTCCTTCCCAACGCCCCTTTCCCACCCCCTCCCTCCCTCTCGCTGTCACGGCCAGCCGGAGCTGCTGCATCGCTTGAGTGTGGGCAGGATTGCACACCGGCCGGCGTACTTCGTCCCTGGTGAGAAAGCACACCCCGACGCCGTCTTGTCTCTGCCACTTCTTTTCTGCCCTGCCCTGCCCTGCACCCTTATCGGCGACTTTTGAGTCGACTCAAAAGTCACCTCGTTCCCAGTTCATCACCAATCTTGCTCTGCTCTCCTTGCGCTGCCAGCCGCATCTCCTCATTCCAGTATGCAGCCTCTGGAGCACGCAGACAGCCACGCTGTGTGTGATAAGTCGAGTTTTGAGTACTCCAGAGGCTGACTCAAAACTGTGTGTGTACTCAAAACTCGACTTATCGCATGCAGCCTGTGGAGCACGCAGACAGCCACACAAAAAATCCACACCCATGCCTTCCCCCTTCCGCTCCCCCTCCCCCATCCCACACCCCTACCCTTTCTCTCCCCTCTTTCTTCCTCCTCTCCCCTTCCCCCATTCCCAACCCCGAACCTCTCCCCCCCTGACCCCGATCCATCCCCCACCCCGACCCTTGTCCCATCTCCTTTCCACTACCTGTTTGCACGCTGACATGTGCTGCAGACTCCATGTCGGTGTGGAACCTTCTGAGAGAGTTCCGCATTCGCAAAGTGCATATGGCCATCGTGCTCAACGAGTACGGCGGCACCGTGGGGGTGAGTCGCTATCCCCGCCTCCTGCTCTCCCTGTTCATTCTCGCTCTCTCTACTTCCGCATCCGCAAAGTGCACATGGCCATCGTGCTCAACGAGTACGGCGGCACCGTGGGGGTAAGTCTATTCCTTGCCCCGCGCGCTCTCTCTCTCTGCTTCCCTCTCTTCTTCTTCCCCCCTCGTTCTCTCTCCCACTCACTTGTATGAGTTGTGCATCCCCCCCCCAGTTCAGCTTTTGAGGCGCCTCAAGAAAGACCTTGAGGCGCTTCAAGAAAGACCTGAATTGTGCATCCACCCCCAGTTCAGCACAATGGTACCTTGCCCAGTTGCTCGCCCTCCTTCTCTCGCGCTGTGCTTCTCTCCCCCTCATTCGCCTTCTCTCGCGCTGTGCTTCTCTCCCCCTCATTCGCCTTCTCTCGCGCTGTGCTTCTCTCCCCCTCATTCGCCTTCTCTCGCGCTGTGCTTCTCTCCCCCTCATTCGCCTTCTCTCGCGCTGTGCTTCTCTCCCCCTCATTCGCCTTTTCTCGCGCTGTGCTTCTCTCCCCCTCATTCGCCTTCTCTCGCGCTGTGCTTCTCTCCCCCTCATTCGCCTTCTCTCGCGCTGTGCTTCTCTCCCCCTCATTCGCCTTCTCTCGCGCTCTGCTTCTCTCCCCCTCATTCGCCTCTCCCACTCACTTATGTCAACTGCGCATCAACCCCCACCCCACGTGCACGCTCCCTGTGATGCCCCAGATTGTCCGCCATGCTTTCCTCCTGTCCTCCCCTTGTGCTCTCCAGACGCCACGTTGCATGCCCCACCCGTTTCTCCATCAGCTCATGATACTGGAGGAGGATGCGGTGGGAGAGACAGTGGGGGAGAGAGAGAGAGACTAAGTTGACCTGAGTGCTGTTTGTGCCTCATGCCTTGCGTCTTGTGCTTTGCGCCCCCATGTTCCATGTCCCGTGCTTCCTTCCTCATCAGCTGGTGACACTAGAGGATGCGGTGGAGGAGATCGTGGGGGAGATTGCTGTGTGCCGTGTGCCTCATGCCTTGCGTCATGTGCTTTGCGCCCCCATGTGCTTTGCGCCCCCATGTGCTTTGCGCCCCCATGTGCTTTGCGCCCCCATGTGCTTTGCGCCCCCATGTGCTTTGCGCCCCCATGTGCTTTGCGCCCCCATGTGCTTTGCGCCCCCATGTGCTTTGCGCCCCCATGTGCTTTGCGCCCCCATGTGCTTTGCGCCCCCATGTGCTTTGCGCCCCCATGTGCTTTGCGCCCCCATGTGCTTTGCGCCCCCATGTGCTTTGCGCCCCCATGTGCTTTGCGCCCCCATGTGCTTTGCGCCCCCATGTGCTTTGCGCCCCCATGTGCTTTGCGCCCCCATGTGCTTTGCGCCCCCATGTGCTTTGCGCCCCCATGTGCTTTGCGCCCCCATGTGCTTTGCGCCCCCATGTGCTTTGCGCCCCCATGTGCTTTGCGCCCCCATGTGCTTTGCGCCCCCATGTGCTTTGCGCCCCCATGTGCTTTGCGCCCCCATGTGCTTTGCGCCCCCATGTGCTTTGCGCCCCCATGTGCTTTGCGCCCCCATGTGCTTTGCGCCCCCATGTGCTTTGCGCCCCCATGTGCTTTGCGCCCCCATGTGCTTTGCGCCCCCATGTGCTTTGCGCCCCCATGTGCTTTGCGCCCCCATGTGCTTTGCGCCCCCATGTGCTTTGCGCCCCCATGTGCTTTGCGCCCCCATGTGCTTTGCGCCCCCATGTGCTTTGCGCCCCCATGTGCTTTGCGCCCCCATGTGCTTTGCGCCCCCATGTGCTTTGCGCCCCCATGTGCTTTGCGCCCCCATGTGCTTTGCGCCCCCATGTGCTTTGCGCCCCCATGTGCTTTGCGCCCCCATGTGCTTTGCGCCCCCATGTGCTTTGCGCCCCCATGTGCTTTGCGCCCCCATGTGCTTTGCGCCCCCATGTGCTTTGCGCCCCCATGTGCTTTGCGCCCCCATGTGCTTTGCGCCCCCATGTGCTTTGCGCCCCCATGTGCTTTGCGCCCCCATGTGCTTTGCGCCCCCATGTGCTTTGCGCCCCCATGTGCTTTGCGCCCCCATGTGCTTTGCGCCCCCATGTGCTTTGCGCCCCCATGTGCTTTGCGCCCCCATGTTCTTTGCGCCCCCATGTGCTTTGCGCCCCCATGTGCTTTGCGCCCCCATGTGCTTTGCGCCCCCATGTGCTTTGCGCCCCGCCCCCATGTGCTTTGCGCCCCCATGTGCTTTGCGCCCCCATGTGCTTTGCGCCCCCATGTGCTTTGCGCCCCCATGTGCTTTGCGCCCCCATGTGCTTTGCGCCCCCATGTGCTTTGCGCCCCCATGTGCTTTGCGCCCCCATGTGCTTTGCGCCCCCATGTGCTTTGCGCCCCCATGTGCTTTGCGCCCCCATGTGCTTTGCGCCCCCATGTGCTTTGCGCCCCCATGTGCTTTGCGCCCCCATGTGCTTTGCGCCCCCATGTGCTTTGCGCCCCCATGTGCTTTGCGCCCCCATGTGCTTTGCGCCCCCATGTGCTTTGCGCCCCCATGTGCTTTGCGCCCCCATGTGCTTTGCGCCCCCATGTGCTTTGCGCCCCCATGTTCTTTGCGCCCCCATGTGCTTTGCGCCCCCATGTGCTTTGCGCCCCCATGTGCTTTGCGCCCCCATGTGCTTTGCGCCCCCATGTGCTTTGCGCCCCCATGTTCTTTGCGCCCCCATGTGCTTTGCGCCCCCATGTTCTTTGCGCCCCCATGTTCTTTGCGCCCCCATGTGCTTTGCGCCCCCATGTGCTTTGCGCCCCCATGTGCTTTGCGCCCCCATGTGCTTTGCGCCCCCATGTGCTTTGCGCCCCCATGTGCTTTGCGCCCCCATGTGCTTTGCGCCCCCATGTGCTTTGCGCCCCCATGTGCTTTGCGCCCCCATGTGCTTTGCGCCCCCATGTGCTTTGCGCCCCCATGTGCTTTGCGCCCCCATGTGCTTTGCGCCCCCATGTGCTTTGCGCCCCCATGTGCTTTGCGCCCCCATGTGCTTTGCGCCCCCATGTGCTTTGCGCCCCCATGTGCTTTGCGCCCCCATGTGCTTTGCGCCCCCATGTGCTTTGCGCCCCCATGTTCTTTGCGCCCCCATGTTCTTTGCGCCCCCATGTTCTTTGCGCCCCCATGTGCTTTGCGCCCCCATGTGCTTTGCGCCCCCATGTGCTTTGCGCCCCCATGTGCTTTGCGCCCCCATGTGCTTTGCGCCCCCATGTGCTTTGCGCCCCCATGTGCTTTGTCCCATCCTTCTCCCATCAGCTGGTGACACTGGAAGATGCTGTAGAGGAAATCGTGGGGGAGATTTTTGACGAGAATGACTCCAAGGTACGATAAGGGCGATGGGACATCCTGGTATCCCGGTATCCTGGTATCCCGGTATCCCGGTATCCCGGTTTCCCGGTTTCCCGGTATCCCGGTATCCCGGTATCCCGGTATCCCGGTTTCCCGGTATCCCGGTATCCCGGTATCCCGGTATCCCGGTATCCCGGTTTCCCGGTATCCCGGTATCCCGGTATCCCGGTATCCCGGTATCCCGGTTTCCCGGTATCCCGGTATCCCGGTATCCCGGTATCCCGGTTTCCCGGTTTCCCGGTATCCCGGTATCCCGGTTTCCCGGTACCCCGGTACCCCGGTATCCCGGTATCCCGGTTTCCCGGTATCCCGGTATCCCGGTATCCCGGTTTCCCGGTATCCCGGTATCCCGGTTTCCCGGTTTCCCGGTTTCCCGGTTTCCCGGTATCCCGGTTTTCCGGTTTCCCGGTTTCCCGGTATCCCGGTATCCCGGTATCCCGGTATCCCGGTATCCCGGTTTCCCGGTTTCCCGGTATCCCGGTTTCCCGGTTTCCCGGTTTTCCGGTATCCCGGGTATCCCGGGTATCCCGGGCATCCCGGGCATCCCGGGCATCCCGGGCATCCCGGTATCCCGGTATCCCGGTATCTTGGTATCCCGGTATCCCGGTATCCCGGTATCCCGGTATCCCGGTATTCCGGTTTCCCGGTATAGGTGGCTGTGTGAGGTATATTGACTTGAAGGGTGATGTGGTGACCTGTGAGGTATCCCGGTGTCCCGGTATCCCGGTATCCCGGTATCCCGGTAACCCGGTAACCCGGTATCCCGGTATCCCGGTATCCCGGTATCCCGGTATCCCGGTATCCCGGTATCCCGGTATTCCGGTTTCCCGGTATAGGTGGCTGTGTGAGGTATATTGACTTGAAGGGTGATGTGGTGACCTGTGAGGTATCCCGGTGTCCCGGTATCCCGGTATCCCGGTATCCCGGTAACCCGGTAACCCGGTATCCCGGTATCCCGGTATCCCGGTATCCCGGTATCCCGGTATCCCGGTATCCCGGTATTCCGGTTTCCCGGTATAGGTGGCTGTGTGAGGTATATTGACTTGAAGGGTGATGTGGTGACCTGTGAGGTATCCCGGTATCCCGGTATCCCGGTATCCCGGTATCCCGGTAACCCGGTAACCCGGTATCCCGGTATCCCGGTATCCCGGTATCCCGGTATCCCGGTATCCCGGTATGGATGAGCATATTGCCGAACACCCGTTCGGTTCGTCTCGAACATGTTCGAGACGAACCGAACGGGATTTTTTTTTGCCCAAAAATGTTCGACACGAACATGTTCGATGTTCGTGCGAACATGTTCGGTGTTCGCCCGCGTCGATATGCCGAGCCGCGTCGAGCACGAACACGTTCGTGTTCGACGCGGGACATCGACGAACACCTAAGTGTTCGTCGACGAATTGGCCGCGACCTAATTTAGGGTCGCGGCCAATTCATTTCAACTCGTTTTTTTTAGCTCCGCGACCCTGTCGCAGTCGCTGCCACCAGCACGCCCTCTACCACCCTGCCACATCCTCACCTCACCTACTCTACTACTAGCCTAGAACGGAAGATATGCTACAACGCTTAGGTTAGTCGAGTTGGGAACGACACTTACTAAGAAAACGTAGCCAGCAACTACTCCGCGCGCTCAAGTTGAAGGGCACCGATTAGGGTTCCCACCGTAATCTAGTGTTTTGTAATCTAGTGTTTTGTATTGCTCAGCCCTCGGAGGCGAACACGAACATGTTCCTGGCGAACATGTTCGTGTTCGCCAAAGTGTTCGAAATGTTCGCCTTCACAGGCGAACTTCGAACACCCCTTTGGGCAAAAAGTGTTCGGCGAACCGAACACTGTTCGGTTCGCCGAACGGCCATGTTCGAGCCAAGGCGAACGCGAACATGTTCGTGTTCGCCTCGTGCTCATCCCTATATCCCGGTAACCCGGTATCCCGGTATCCCGGTATCCCGGTATCCCGGTTTCCCGGTTTCCCGGTATCCCGGTAACCCGGTATCCCGGTAACCCGGTATCCCGGTATCCCGGTTTCCCGGTTTCCCGGTTTCCCGGTTTCCCGGTTTCCCGGTATCCCGGTATCCCGGTTTCCCGGTATCCCGGGTATCCCGGTTTCCCGGTATCCCGGTATCCCGGTATCCCGGTATCCCGGTTTCCGGGTATCCAGGTATCCCGGTATCCGGTATCCCGGTATCCCGGTATCCCGGTATCCCGGTATCCCGGTTTCCCGGTATCCCGGTATCCCGGTATCGGTTTCCCGGTATAGGTGGCTGTGTGAGGTATATTGACTTGAAGGGGTATAATGACTTGAAGGGTGATGTGGTGACCTGTGAGGTAATGCAGATGACCCGAGATTGTAAGATGAAGCGAGCAATTCTAAAGATGTTTTGGGGATCGTGAGTGTAGGATTTGGGGTAATTTCTTAAGTCTTCCTGTCTGGCCCGCTGCAGTTCCTTCCTGCTCTGTCATCCGCCTCTGTCTCCGCCTTTACCTGTGTGTCTGTGCCTGTGTGCGCATGCCAGCCAAACAGGAGGAGATTCGGCGCAAGTCGGGGTGAATCATCCAGAGGGCGGAGGGCGTGTACGGTGGGTGTGGATGCCACCAACCCCTCATGTGTGTGCCCCTGCCTCCGCCTCTGCCTGTGTGTGGATGGGCCTTCTGTGTGCATGTGCGTGTGCTAACAGGAGGAGATTCGGCGCAAGACGGGGTACATCATTCAGAGGGCGGAGGGCGTGTATGATGTGGATGCCAACACCACCGTTGATGACCTTGCTGACATCCTCCAAGTCGTGCTGCCGCCCGTGAGTCATGCTTGTGTTGCGCTGCTGCCCGTGAGTCGCACTTGTGCTGCTGCTGGTGCCACCGCTTCAAACCGGACTGTATCGTCCAGGCCTCACCAAGCTCCCCCGTATGATGTGGATGCCAACACCACCGTTGATGACCTTGCTGATATTCTCCAAGTCGTGCTGCCCCCTGTGAGTGCTGCTACCCCCTGTGAGTGCTGCTACCCCCTGTGAGTGCTGCTACTCCCCGTGAGTCATGCTGCTGCTCGTCAGTCACTCGCGCGCCAACACCACCGTCGATGACCTTGCTGACATCCTCCAAGTCGTGCTGCCTCCCGTGAGTCACCCTTGTACCTGTGAGCCACTCTTGTGCTGCTGCCCGTAAGTCGTGTTTGTTCCTCCTACAGCCGACACCAACAGATGTCTCTCACACCTCTTTCTCCCTTTCCATCTCCCCTTCTGCTCCTCCTTCTCCCATCCCCCCCGTCATTCTTTCCAGAGAGCTTCTTTCTACGAGACAGTATCTGGTTTCGTTTGTGAGGCGTTTGGGTACATCCCCCGCACTGGTGATACTAAAATCATTCGGCTGCAGCGGAAGGAGAGCGAGGAGGAGGAGGAGGGCGACGGGGCCGAGGAGGGAGGAGCGGGTGGGAAGGGAGGGAAGGGGCGGGAGAGGGACGGTGGGGACAAAGGGACGCGCAAGCAGCTGCTGCGATTCCAGCTCGAGGTAACCGGGTTGATGTGGCAGGCATGGGCTTGGGTGGTGCAGTAGGGTGGTGCAGTAGGGTCGCGCAGTGGGGTGGTGCAGTGGGGTGGTGCAGTGGGGTGGTGCAGTGGGGTGGTGCAGTGGGCTGGCGCATATTTGTGATGAACTAGCCGCCTTGTGTTGACAAATTCTTGATTAAGCTCCTCTTTCCAAGTTTACTTGTTGTGAGTTACCTTACAAGTTACCCTTTTCCACCTGCTTACATTGGTATCTAGGTCAAAATATACCTTCGTCCTTTTCCTCTGCCTCTCGCCTGGGTGACAGATTTTGTCCGGTAATGCAAGGAAGGTGGTGGCAGTGCGATTCGAAGAGCTGAAAGAGACGGAAGGGGCCAGTGGGGGCGGTGTGAAGGGAAAGCTTGGTGCGGGGAAGGAAGAGGAGGATATAGAGAAGGAGACAGAGAGGAAGAGAGAGAAGGACAGGGAACGAGCGTTGGTGGAGGAGTGGGAGAGTGAGAAGCGGAGGGAGGGGAGGAGGAAGGAGAGGATCAGCCAGGAAGTGAGGTCGAGGGGGTTGGGGGAAGTGGGGAGAGGGGAGGGGGAAGGGATGGGCGAGGGGGAGAGTAAGTGCGAGACGTGTGAGCAGATGAAGCTGGGGAGGGGGAAAGCGGGGGGGAGGGGTGTGTTACTGGATAGTGAGAGTGAGGGGGAGGAGGGGGAGGTGCTGATGGGTGGAGGGTGGTTGACAGGTGGAGACGGGGAGGAGGGGGGGTATTCTGAGGGTGTGTTGTATACAGACTCTGATATGGGGGAGAGGGACAGTGAGAGGGACGGTGTGGGGGAAAGTGGGAGTGAGAGGGGGAGTGGGAAGGAGACTGAGGGTGGGAGCGTGAGAAGAGGAGAGGGAGGTACTTTTGATGGTGTGAGGAATGACGGGGTTGGAGGAGAGGAGGAGGAGGATGAGGAGGGCTCGGATGGAGAGGAGTCAGACGGGGACGGAGAGGGGAGGAGGAGGGGGCAGTCCAGGGGCGGGCTTAACCAGGAGCAGGAAGAGCAGCAGCAGCAGCTGCAGTTGCAGCAGCAACACTCGCAGCAGCAGCAGCAGTTGCAGCCGGCACAGCAGCAGGCAGCAGCAACAGGGAATGAGGGCTCAGGGTTGGAGCATGGGCCGGCAGGTGCTGGTATGACTACCAGCTACAGCACGAGCAGCAGCAGCAGCGTCATGGTCAGCAGCAGCAGCAGCAGCAGCAGCATGATCACAACTGGAGGCATGGTAGGAGGGAGTGATTCGCCAGGCAGCAGCAACGGCAGCAGCTTGGTGCGAGGGGTGGCGTGGCGGGAGGAGGCGGTGACGTGGCGAACTGAGGAGGAGGAGGAAGAATCAGATTACAGCTCAGGGTCTGATGGTCATGTGGGGCTGGAGGGGGGCGCGGGAGGAGGAGGCGGGGGAGTGAGGGAGTTTGAGGGTGTGGCGATGGCTCAGGAGCAGTACGACCGGTGGGAGGAGAAGGAGAAGCAGGTGAGGGTTGGCGGCTGCTTGCAGAGGGGCTGGGAGGTAGCACAGGCTAGTTGATATGGGCGAGTTGATATGGGCGAGTTGATATGGGCGAGCTGATATGGGCGAGCTGATATGGGCGAGCAGATATGGGCGAGTTGATATGGGCGAGCTGATATGGGCGAGTTGATATGGGCGAGCTGATATGGGCGAGTTGATATGGGCGAGTTGATATGGGCGAGCTGATATGGGCGAGCTGATATGGGCGAGTTGATTTGGGCGAGTTGATATGGGCGAGTTGATATGGGCGAGTTGATATGGGCGAGCTGATATGGGCGAGCTGATATGGGCGAGTTGATATGGGCGAGTTGATATGGGCGAGTTGATATGGGCGAGTTGATATGGGCGAGTTGATCTGGGCGAGTTGATATGGGCGAGTTGATATGGGCGAGCTGATATGGGCGAGCTGATATGGGCGAGTTGATATGGGCGAGTTGATATGGGCGAGTTGATATGGGCGAGTTGATATGGGCGAGCTGATATGGGCGAGCTGATATGGGCGAGTTGATATGGGCGAGTTGATATGGGCGAGTTGATATGGGCGAGTTGATATGGGCGAGTTGATATGTGCGAGTTGATATGGGCGAGCTGATATGGGCGAGCTGATATGGGCGAGCTGATATGGGCGAGTTGATATGGGCGAGTTGATATGGGCGAGTTGATTTGTGCGAGGTGATATGGGCGAGCTGATATGGGCGAGTTGATATGGGCGAGCTGATATGGGCGAGTTGATATGGGCGAGTTGATATGGGCGAGCTGATATGGGCGAGCTGATATGGGCGAGTTGATATGGGCGAGTTGATATGGGCGAGCTGATATGGGCGAGTTGATATGGGCGAGCCGATATGGGCGAGTTGATATGGGCGAGTTGATATGGGCGAGTTGATTTGTGCGAGGTGATATGGGCGAGCTGATATGGGCGAGTTGATATGGGCGAGCTGATATGGGCGAGTTGATATGGGCGAGTTGATATGGGCGAGTTGATATGGGCGAGCTGATATGGGCGAGTTGATATGGGCGAGTTGATATGGGCGAGTTGATATGGGCGAGTTGATATGGGCGAGTTGATTTGTGCGAGCTGATATGGGCGAGTTGATATGGGCGAGTTGATATGGGCGAGCTGATATGGGCGAGTTGATATGGGCGAGCTGATATGGGCGAGCTGATATGGGCGAGCTGATATGGGCGAGTTGATATGGGCGAGTTGATATGGGCGAGCTGATATGGGCGAGTTGATATGGGCGAGTTGATATGGGCGAGTTGATATGGGCGAGTTGATATGGGCGAGTTGATATGGGCGAGTTGATATGGGCGAGTTGATATGGGCGAGTTGATATGGGCGAGCTGATATGGGCGAGCTGATATGGGCGAGTTGATATGGGCGAGTTGATTTGTGCGAGGTGATATGGGCGAGCTGATATGGGCGAGTTGATATGGGCGAGCTGATATGGGCGAGTTGATATGGGCGAGTTGATATGGGCGAGTTGATATGGGCGAGTTGATATGGGCGAGTTGATATGGGCGAGTTGATATGGGCGAGTTGATATGGGCGAGCTGATATGGGCGAGCTGATATGGGCGAGTTGATATGGGCGAGTTGATTTGTGCGAGGTGATATGGGCGAGCTGATATGGGCGAGTTGATATGGGCGAGCTGATATGGGCGAGTTGATATGGGCGAGTTGATATGGGCGAGTTGATATGGGCGAGTTGATATGGGCGAGTTGATATGGGCGAGTTGATATGGGCGAGCTGATATGGGCGAGTTGATATGGGCGAGTTGATATGGGCGAGTTGATATGGGCGAGCTGATATGGGCGAGCTGATATGGGCGAGTTGATATGGGCGAGTTGATTTGTGCGAGGTGATATGGGCGAGCTGATATGGGCGAGTTGATATGGGCGAGCTGATATGGGCGAGTTGATATGGGCGAGTTGATATGGGCGAGTTGATATGGGCGAGTTGATATGGGCGAGTTGATATGGGCGAGTTGATATGGGCGAGCTGATATGGGCGAGGTGATATGGGCGAGCTGATATGGGCGAGTTGATATGGGCGAGTTGATATGGGCGAGTTGATATGGGCGAGTTGATTTGTGCGAGGTGATATGGGCGAGCTGATATGGGCGAGTTGATATGGGCGAGCTGATATGGGCGAGTTGATATGGGCGAGTTGATATGGGCGAGTTGATATGGGCGAGCTGATATGGGCGAGCTGATATGGGCGAGTTGATATGGGCGAGCTGATATGGGCGAGTTGATATGGGCGAGTTGATATGGGCGAGCTGATATGGGCGAGTTGATATGGGCGAGTTGATATGGGCGAGTTGATATGGGCGAGTTGATATGGGCGAGTTGATATGGGCGAGTTGATATGGGCGAGTTGATATGGGCGAGTTGATATGGGCGAGTTGATATGGGCGAGCTGATATGGGCGAGCTGATATGGGCGAGTTGATATGGGCGAGTTGATATGGGCGAGTTGATATGGGCGAGCTGATATGGGCGAGCTGATATGGGCGAGCTGATATGGGCGAGTTGATATGGGCGAGCTGATATGGGCGAGTTGATATGGGCGAGTTGATATGGGCGAGTTGATATGGGCGAGTTGATATGGGCGAGCTGATATGGGCGAGTTGATATGGGCGAGTTGATATGGGCGAGTTGATATGGGCGAGTTGATATGGGCGAGTTGATATGGGCGAGTTGATATGGGCGAGTTGATTTGTGCGAGGTGATATGGGCGAGCTGATATATGCGAGTTGATATGGGCGAGCTGATATGGGCGAGTTGATATGGGCGAGTTGATATGGGCGAGTTGATATGGGCGAGTTGATATGGGCGAGTTGATATGGGCGAGTTGATATGGGCGAGCTGATATGGGCGAGTTGATATGGGCGAGTTGATATGGGCGAGTTGATATGGGCGAGTTGATATGGGCGAGTTGATATGGGCGAGTTGATTTGTGCGAGGTGATTTGGGCGAGCTGATATGGGCGAGTTGATATGGGCGAGCTGATATGGGCGAGTTGATATGGGCGAGTTGATATGGGCGAGTTGATATGGGCGAGCTGATATGGGCGAGCTGATATGGGCGAGTTGATATGGGCGAGCTGATATGGGCGAGTTGATATGGGCGAGTTGATATGGGCGAGCTGATATGGGCGAGTTGATATGGGCGAGTTGATATGGGCGAGTTGATATGGGCGAGTTGATATGGGCGAGTTGATATGGGCGAGTTGATATGGGCGAGTTGATATGCGCGAGTTGATATGGGCGAGTTGATATGGGCGAGCTGATATGGGCGAGCTGATATGGGCGAGTTGATATGGGCGAGTTGATTTGGGCGAGGTGATATGGGCGAGCTGATATGGGCGAGTTGATATGGGCGAGCTGATATGGGCGAGTTGATATGGGCGAGCTGATATGGGCGAGTTGATATGGGCGAGTTGATATGGGCGAGTTGATATGGGCGAGTTGATATGGGCGAGTTGATATGGGCGAGTTGATATGGGCGAGTTGATGTGGGCGAGTTGATATGGGCGAGTTGATATGGGCGAGTTGATATGGGCGAGTTGATATGGGCGAGTTGATATGGGCGAGTTGATATGGGCGAGTTGATATGGGCGAGTTGATATGGGCGAGTTGATATGGGCGAGTTGATATGGGCGAGTTGATATGGGCGAGTTGATATGGGCGAGTTGATATGGGCGATTTGATATGGGCGAGTTGATATGGGCGAGTTGATATGGGCGAGTTGATATGGGCGAGTTGATATGGGCGAGTTGATATGGGCGAGTTGATATGGGCGAGTTTGATATGGGCGAGTTGATATGGGCGAGTTGATATGGGCGAGTTGATATGGGCGAGCTGATATGGGCGAGGTGACACGGGCGAGTTTTCATATTGCCCACTCCCTCTGCTCCCTCCGCTCTCTCTGCTCTCTCCTCTAACTATGGTTTCTCTTCATTGCGTTTTCTCCGTTGCCGCCATATTCCATTCTCACCTGTGTAATGTGCCATGTCCCATGTGTTTGTCGGGCAGGTGGAGAGGAGGAGGCAGAGGAGGAAGAGGGAGAGAAGTGAGGCGCAGGCAGAGTTGAGGAGGCAGGCGCTGGGCATAAGTGGGGGAGCGGACGCTGCCACACAGCTGTCTCTGCACACTGAACCGCTCAGGCTGAGACTCAGCCGCCCAGATGCTCTGTCAGAGAGCGAGAGGGAGTGAGGGAGGGTGAGGGGGGAGGAAGGAGTGAGCCAGAGCTGAGGAGGCAGAGCTGAGGAGGCAGAGCTGAGGAGGCAGAGCTGAGGAGGCAGGCACTGGGCACAGGGAGAGGAGGGGTCGCTGCCACACAGCTTTCTCTGCATTTTGAAACGCTCAGGCTGAGACTCAGCCGCCCAGATGCACTGTCAGGGAGCGAGAGGGAGTGAGGGAGGGAGCAAGCGGAAAGGAGAAGTTTGGGAAAGATGGGATGGATGGCAAGCTCTGGTTTCTGAGAAGTCTCAAGAACCAACTTAGCTTCGGCATAAGCAGCAGCAGGAACAGCAGTAGCATAACCAGAAATTCGGACACAGAAATGCTATTTACCAAGATATTTCTGTTACCCCCTGTGACGAAATCAGCCAGGCTGATATTGGAGCACATTTTTACAGAGTATTGTATGGCCGGTTCAGTTTGATTTGCACAAAGGGCTAGAAATGGCGGTGCTGTGGTGATACGTTCCAATCCTGTTGAATGGCAGAAAGGCATTGAAGTTGTTGTCCTAGTCAATTGTTTAGTTCCTAGACAATGACCAAGTTCTGACACTGAGAAAGCTGGTCACTGGAAATTTGTTGACATTATTCGGTGTATCGTTCCAAGATTCAGTTGCTACATGTGCTGATTCCACAAGCTCGAGAAACATTAGCGCGTATGGGCCCAACCCTCAATGTGTTGGTATTTCGCGCCATTCGTATTTCGCGCCCTTTTCATGATCGCCCACAGGAAGTATCGTGTCCACCACGCCTCTCCTTTAGCCATCTAATCTCCTTTCCTCCGCGCCGCGTCTCTCCCCATGCGCCCGCACCGCCCGCTCGCTTCCCTTCTACGCGTCTTCGGATCGCCCGCAAGTGCCGCGCTCCCATCCACACTCGAGGCGCCACACCGATTGGTCAGTGCACTCAGAGCAGATTTCAGGACACGTGGCGCTTCTACAGCATGCCAGGTGGCTTTCGAAGCCACTCGCGTATGCGAGCGATCGAGCGCCAGCACAATTGCCTCTGAATGCGATACATATGGCGCTGCCGTGGCGAGCGCGGCTGCGCGCGGGGCGTCTTATAGCGAACAGTCTTGTAGCGAGGCGTCTAGAGAGCCCGCGTCTCAAGGTCGGCGCGGGGCGGCGGAGAGTGCAGAATCGGCGGAGATGACGCGCGGATGGACGGTGGCTGTGGAGGGAAACATCGGCGTGGGGAAATCAACGGTTCTGAGTGCTCTGGGCGCACGATTAAACAGGTGGGTAAGGTCGCCCTCACCCTCTTATTGCTCTGTGCTTTGGGCTTATTGCCCTCTTATTGCTTACCCACACCCTCTCTCCCTCACTCTCCTCCCCTCTCACAAATCAGGATCCCAACTCCTTTTCCCAGGTCTCTTCCGTTTTGCTCCCCTCTCATCCCCAACCCCCTACCGCACCCCACTTTCTCCCCTCCCAACTCTCCCCCGCCTCCCTCTCCCTCCCCCCTTCTCCCCCGTCTCCTCCCCTCCGCTTCCTCCTCCTCCCCCCCCCCCCCCCTCTCTCCCCCTGCAGTGACATGGCATTGCGGAGAGCTGTCACTGGCGGTGCTGACGTGGCGCTTCAGCCCGAGCCGCTGCGGGAGTGGCGCAACGTGCGGGGCAGCGGGGAAAATGCACTGGACGCATTTTACAAAGACCCCAAGAGGTGGGGGAGGGGGGGGGACTGGGGGAGAGCCACAAGAGGTATTGGGGGAGGAAAGGGGGGATGGGGATAAAAAGGAGGCTGTGAGTGGCGCAACGTGCGGGGCAGCGGGGAGAACGCGCTGGACGCGTTTTATAAAGACCCCAAGAGGTGGGAGAGGGGGCAGTTTGGGGGAGATTGGGGAGGGGTGAGTGGGGAGCGGTGAGTGGGAAGGGGTGAGTGGGGAGCGGTGAGTGGGGAGCGGTGAGTGGGGAGCGGTGAGTGGGAAGGGGTGAGTGGGGAGCGGTGAGTGGGGAGGGGTGAGTGGGGAGGGATGAGTGGGGAGCGGTGAGTGGGGAGCAGTGAGTGGGGAGTGGTGAGGGGGGAGCGGTGAGTGGGGAGGGGTGAGTGGGGAGCGGTGAGTGGCGCAACGTGTGGGGCAAACGCGCTGGGGGCGTTCTATAAAGACCCCAAGAGGTGGGGGCGGGGAGAAAGGGAGGAGGGGAAGAGTACTGCATGTTTCAGGGTTGCTTAGAGCTTTCAGAGGCTTTTCTTCATGTCCTGCATCTCCCAGTACCGTCCCATACTACCATCACCACCCCTCTGCCTTCTCCCTCCCCTTCCTCTGGCCTTTCCCCCCTCCTCCCCTTCCCTCCCCAGGTTAGCCTACACCTTTCAGAACCTGGTGTTATCTCCCGTGCGACACAATACCTCCAATCCCACCGCCACTGCCACCGCCACCGCCACCACCCTTTCCGATTCTCTCCCTTCTTTCTGACCCCCTTCCCACTCCCTCTCCCCCTTCCCCTTCCCTTCCCCCCCCTATCAAACCTTTCGTTAGGTTCGCCTACATCTTCCAAAGCCTGGTGTTCGTCTCCCGGGCCTCTCAATACCGCCAAGCACACCGCCACCACCCCTCTGCTCTCTCCCCCACTCTCTTGTCCTCTGTCCCGCTCTTCCCCTCTCAGGTTCGCCTACACCTTCCATCAAGAGCCTGGTGTTCGTCTCCCGGGCCTCTCAAAATCGCCAGGCCAAGCCAAGCCCACCGTCACCACCCATCTGCCCTCCGCCTCTGCGAGCAATCCCTTTTCTTACTCCCTCCCACCCTTTCGTTTCCCCCTCCTCTCAGATTCGCCTACACCTTTCAGAGTCTGGTCTTTATCTCCCGGGCCTCTCAGTACCGCCACGGCTTGCAGCAACACCCCTCTGCTCTGCGCCTCTGCGAGCGCCCTCTTTATCTCCCTCTTCTGTGACCGCCTCGTGTCTCCCCCTCTCTCTCCACCCCGCCTCTTCCCTTGCCTCCCAAATCCCTTTCTCCACCCAGGTTTGCCTACACCTTTCAGAGCCTGGTCTTCATCTCCCGGGCCTCCCAGTACCGCCACGGCTTGCAACAACACCCCTCTGCTCTGCGCCTCTGCGAGCGCTCCCTCTTCTGTGATCGCCTCGTGTTTGCACCAGCAGCAGTGGCGGGGGGGCTGTTTACACCGCTAGAGGAGGCGCTCTACGATTCCTGGGTCGATGCCGTGCTGCCCATGCTCCCAGGCGTGGTGAGTTACCATTACCAATACCATTATCATGACCGCTACCACTACCATTACCATTACGATTACCATTACCATTCCAATTACTGATACCATTACCACTACCATTACCATTACCATAACCACTACCGCTACCACTATCATTACCGTTACCATTACCACTACCAGTACCATTATCATTATCAATACCATTACCATTACCATTACCATTATCATTATCATCACAACTACCACTACCACTACCACTACCATTACCATTACCGTTATTACACATTACCATTACCGTTATTACACATTACCATTACTACTACCAGTACCACTATCATTACTATTATCATTATTATAACTATTACCATTACTAGTACCATTACTATTACTATTACCACTATCATTACTATTACCACTACCATTACCATTACCACTACCATTACCATTACCACTACCATTACCATTACCATTACTACCACCGTTACTATTACCACTACCATTACCATTACCATCACCATTACCACTATTATTACTATTACTACTACCACTACCATTACCATTACCATTACCATTACCATTACCATTACCATTACCATTACCATTACCACTCCACTGTTCCTGGGTCGATGCCGTGCTGCCCATGCTGCCTAGGGTGGTAATAACCTGGCGTGAGTAGCTTGAATTGCGTGAGTCCCACCGCAGTCCCTCCCCTCACTAGAAGATGCTCTTTATGACTGGCTCGTGTGGGTCGATTCTATGCTGCCCATGCTTCCTGGGGTGGTGAGTACCTGGCTCGTGGATACCTGTCCTGAGTAAGTTATATATTCTTCTGTGACTGCCTATTTGCACCGGCAGCAGTGGTGGAAAGGCTGTTCGTGCCACTAGATCAAGCACTATATGACTTGTGGGTCGATCCGTGCTGTCCATGCTCCCTGCTGTGATAGTACCCCTCACAATTTCCCTCCAACCACCCCTCTCCCAACAGGTACCCAGTACACTCATCTACCTCAGAGCACACCCCACTGTGTGTCTGCAGCATCTAAAGCAACGGTGTGATCTTCCCTATGCTCCCACCGTACACCACTCTCCCCTCCCATCAGATGCCCGATGCGTTCATCTACCTCAGAGCTGACCCCTCTGTGTGCCTGCAGCACCTAAAGCAACGGTGTGCTCTGCCACTATTTGTGTTGCCGTCTCCCCCCCATCAGGTACCCGATGCCTTCATCTACCAGAGATCGGACCCCCCTGTGTGTCTGCAGCATCTAAAGCAACGGTGTGATCTTCCCTATGCTCCCACCGTACACCACTCTCCCCTCCCATCAGATGCCCGATGCGTTCATCTACCTCAGAGCTGACCCCTCTGTGTGCCTGCAGCACCTAAAGCAACGGTGTGCTCTGCCACTATTTGTGTTGCCGTCTCCCCCCCATCAGGTACCCGATGCCTTCATCTACCAGAGAGCCGACCCCCCTGTGTGTCTGCAGCGCCTGAAGCAACGGTGTGTGCTCCCCACTCCCCACTCCCCACTCCCCACTCCCCACTCCCCACTCCCCACTGCTCTCTCATCCCATCAGGTACCCGATGCCTTCATCTACCTGAGAGCCGATCCCTCTGTCTGCCTGCAGCGCCTGCAGCAACGGTGTGCTCTCTACCTCCTCCTCACCTCTCTACCCCCCACCTCTCTACCCCCTCACCTCTCTACCCCCACCTCTGCAATTCCTCCCTACTAAGTCTCTCCCTCCCTCCTTCCCTCACAGTCTTTGTGCCTGTCTGTCTGCCTTTGTCTCTGTCTCAGTCTCGGTAGACTCCTTTTCCTGACAGTGGCTGCCTCACAGTCACTATGTTGCTCAAAGTCTGCTTTTGATTTGACTCAAAAGCAGACTCCTTTCCTCGCAGTCTCTGTTCCTGTCTGTCTGTCTCTGCCTCTGTCACTCTGTTGCTCAAATTTTCCCTCTCCATGACCATCCACCCACTCACCCACACGCATCTCCCATTCGTGTATCACACTTTCCTCCTTTCAACCGTTCTCATCCCTCTGACCGCCCACATCACTTCTCGCCCCCACAGCTCTCGCTCTGAAGAGACCTCCGTTGACTTGCCACACCTTCAGCGCCTGGACGACTTGTATTGCTTCTAAGGCGCTGCGAATATCTTTCCGTCCTAATCCCACATCACCCCGCCCCCACAGCTCTCGCTCCGAAAAGACCTCCGTTGGCTTGCCGTACCTGCAGCGTTTGCACGAGCAGTGTCTTGAGTCGACTCAAAAGACACCGTTCTCATCCCTCTCCCCGCCCACATCACCTCTTCCCCCACAGGCACCAAAGAGACCGGTGTTGACTTGCCACACCTTCAGCGCCTCTAGAAGCTGTACTGCTTTTGAGGTGCTTCCGAAGTCCTTCTTTTTCCCTCTAACCCCACGCCTCTTCCCATGCAGCTCTCGCTCAGAAGAGACCTCCGTTGACTTGCCGTACCTGCAACGCCTGCACGAGTTGTACGACCGCTGGTTCCTGGAAGGTTCTCACCGGACAGATCCGGAACATGCGGCAGGTGGGGGGGGCTGGCATGCTGCTGTCGGTAGCTTTTCCAAACGCACTCCATATTCATTCCCGGGGTCTCCTCAGAATCTTCCGTGTAATTCTCTCCATTGTCTCCCTAGATTTCAAATCTCCCTGGCATTGTCTTTCCGTGTGATTCTCTCCACATGTTCTGCTGCATTATCCCCATAAATGCTTCACGTGTTGTCTCTGTGTGTGCACTCTCTGTGTGTGCACTCTGTGTGTGCACTCACTCTCTTCCAGCAGCCCCTTCCTTCCGTGCCACTTTGGACGGAGCCTTGACACACAGTGCACTCGATGGCGTGCCGGTGCTGGTGGTGGATTGTAACCAACACATGCAGCAGTGCGATGGTGATATTGTGGAGCCCCGTGGAGACATGGGTGAAGGAGGGGAAAGGTTGGGGAAAGGGGCAATCATGGGTTCGGGGTCGGGGGTAGCAGAGGCGTTGCTAGGAGCGAAGGTTGGGATTGGAGGGAGTGATTTGAAGACATTGCTGGTTGAGATTTTGCCGTTTTTGCAGCGACTGTGTGCACGAACGTGTGTTGAGTGAAGACTTTTGATGATTGTACATTTTGTAATGGTGCCATTGAGGGTTTTTTCCACCACACCTGTTCAAAAGAAATACAGTCAGAGAAAATGTTCAGCATATAATCCTGGTGTGTTGGGTGAAGAAGGGAGCCACAACCACAAGACCCACAATTGTTCCTAGATTTACCCTGAGATAATTCTTGATGCTCATAGGTACTAAAAAGTTACATCCATGTCTTCGCGAAGTGCTGCTATCGCGAAAGGCCGCGTCCGCCTGTTGGCAATCCCCGTACCCGACAGGCACCACCCCTCTGGCGACAAGTGGTCTGCTGCTGGTGCTGAGTGCTGACTGGTCGTCGGTTCGCCTGTATTCTCGAGGCATCCCTCCCTCGCTTCCTCGTTTTCCCCTTCTTCCCCCCTCCCAACCCAAGTCCCGCGCTCCCTTTCTCTCGCCTCCTCCCCTCCCCTCGTCGCCGCATCCACGTTTCTCGACTCTCGAGATTGCCGTTACTTCTCACCAAAAATCCAACTTCCTCCATTGCTGTCCTTTTCTTTCTCTTCTCCCTTCCCTCTTTCTCTTCTCTTTCCTCACTGCTCCTTTCTCGCCTTGATTTTATTCAACAGAAACGCATCACCAAGATTCTTTCTGGTTTTCCTTTCTCCGCACTGTGCTAAATGCGCTAGGTTTACCTGTTCTAGGGTAGGCATTTCTGGGGCTTCTCTGTCGACATCTTCCCCCATTGGGGTTCCGAATGCGATACGAGCGTAACTCAAGTAATAAGTTTCCCATGTGCAAGCACCCTCTTGCGCCGTTCCCCATAGTCTATGGTCGTTCGGCCAGCTACTTTCAGCCGGCTGCTTCGACCGGTTACTTTTAGCCGGCTAGATCAACGTGTTCTTTCAGCCGGTTAGTTCCCAATGGCGTTCCGGCAAGGCGGCACCGGCGAGTCACGGGGGGGTCCGGGTCGGCCGGACGGCCCTCCGCGAATAAAGGACGGCAGCTGGATATCTGCTGACGCTCGGAATCGACCGACTGGCTGGGCATCGCAGGTTCGTCGGTCTTCGCGTTGACAGCCCTTATAAGAACGTCCATAGCCTAAACGTTTTAAAAACCGCTTACTGTACTGATGCGTTTAAACATTTGACCATATTACTATGCAGTTTTCTCTTTTTGAGACGAGTCAACGTTAGACCACATTGCTGTATGATTTTTCTTGCTACTTCCATATTTCGGGTCTCATGGCCGCGCAAGTTCCGCATTCGAGTCGTCCCGTGCCGTGCTTTTGCGACGTAACGAAATTCTTCTCACGGCTTCGCAAATTCTGTCTAGCCGTTCCACTGTGAGCTCAATGCGGCTAAGCTGCGCACATTCCGTCTATTTAGCCATCCAACGTGAGCTCGATGCGGCGAAGGTTTTCCATTGCAGCCTCAAAATGTTAGTAAGAAATATCGATGTAGAGACAGAAATAGTGAGCCGTTTTTTTTGTCAGTGTGCCGTCCTAACGAAATATGACAAGCTCTACTCCTTCAATGGCGCTTAGCAGATGGCGGTTCGTCTTCCAATCCCTTGCGTTTTCCTCTGTCAGATGGGGCGACCAAAGCGCCTGAAGCAACTGCCTCGCGTTTTCATGTGAAAGAGCCAGGCGCTTTCTCAACTGCCCTCGCATTTCTGCCAGCTCCCGCACCCAATCTCCCCGTCCCCTCGCCTCGATCCCGCCTTCCCCCTCCCCTTCCCCCCTTTTTCCCCTACTTCCCCCTGCGCCAGATGGGCCGCGCGAAGCGGCTGAAGCCGCGCATGTGGAATAACGCACCTATTTCTCAAGTGTTGCGCATCCCCCCCACTCCGTCCCCCCTTTCCCCTGCGCCAGATGGGGCGCGCGAAGCGTTTGAAGCCGCGCATGTGGAAGAGCGCGTTCGACGCGGAGGGGCGTCTGGTGCGCATGCCTCAAGTGCTGAAAGCGATTCTCGAAGGGGTGAGTTTAAGGTCGACTTAAGGCCTTGTTCGCTAGAGGTGATGTTTGAATCACCAGGGGCCTCTGGTGTGCATGCCGCAAGTGCTCAAGGCAATACTTAACGAGTGAGACAGCCACCAGCCTTGTAACGCGGATGCGCTATCCATTGACAATATCCTTCTCGCCCTCGCACTCTTGACGCCCCACACTCCGCTTATGCTGTTTCTATGCCCCACCTACTGCAATTCTTCATTCACGTGTCTTGAAACTCCTGTATCGGATAGAGTCTATCCTGTCACTTCTCTCCTCTCCTCTCCTCTCCTCTCTTCTCCTTCGCTTCTTGTCCCCTTCGCGCTCTCGCCCCCCTGTGCGCGCGCAGGCAGTGGACACGTCCATACGCGGCGAGGTGCGGCTGCTTCTTTAAAATTGTTTCCCTCTCACCTTTATTTCCCCCTGTGGACTCGGCGCGCAGGGAGTGGACAAGTCGATACGGGGCGAGGTGTGGGAGTTCCTGCTCGGCTGCTGGCAGCTCAAGTACTGTCTCTTACAGTATCTGTACTGTAACTCCCTGTTCCTCTTCCTCTCCGTGTGCGCGCGCAGGGAGTGGACAAGTCGATACGGGGCGAGGTGTGGGAGTTCCTGCTCGGCTGCTTCTCCCTCGAGTCTACTGCGGAGGAGAGGAACTACGTGCGCGAGGCCAGGAGGTAAGCAGTGGCACCACGCAAGCGCTTGGTCATAAAATGATTCTTTGGAAGGTTAGGGGGAAGGTCGGTGGTAGCACAGATGTGTTTCTCCCTCGAGTCTACTGCGGAGGAGAGGAGCTACATGCGCGAGGCCAGGAGATTCGTTCTATAGGCTCCAGGGGTAAGGGAACGGCTAAAGGAAAGGCTAGGGGAATGGCCAGGGTGATGGTTACGGGGAGCCTTAGGAAAGGCGTGTTTTGACTAAGTGACTTTCGAGGCGACTCAAAAGTCTGACTTTTGAGTCGACTTTAAAGGAAAGGCTAGGGAAATGGCCAGGGGGATGGTGATGGGGAGCCTTAGGGAAGGCGTATTCTGTTGCATCGCAGAATAGCTTGGGGAGGGAGGAGGTGAGGGAGATAGAGGAGGTAATTGCGCTTCTTTGCAAGGAGCGCCACTGCAGCTGTTACTGCAGTGCCAACAGATGCACAGCAACGTGGGGTTTGGCCGCTAACCACTTGTCTGTCTTCCCTTTCTCCCCTCTCGCACCCCCTCCCACTACCCCTTTGCTCCCCCACCCCCCCTCTCGTGCTCCCTTGCAGAGAGCGTTACCAGCAGCTGCTGCTGCAGTGCCAGCAGATGCACATCAACGTGGGCTCGGGTCACCATGCCTGTCTTTCCTTTCTCCCCTCACACCCTCTTCCCCCTCTCCCTCGCACCCCCTTTCCTGCCCTAACGCCCCGAACCAACTCCTCCCCCCCTACTCCCCCCCTTTTCTCCCCCTCCCCCTCCTGTCCCCTCGATCCCTGCTTGCAGAGAGCGTTACCAGCAGCTGCTGCTGCAGTGCCAGCAGATGCACAGCAACGTGGGCTCGGGTCACCTGGCCTTTGCTGTGGGAACGCGTATCATGGACGTGCGCATTATCCACCCCGGAAACACCCCGGGCAACTCAGGAACTACCCCCGGAAGCAGCACCGCCAACATCCCGTCCCCAGCCACCACGTCTCCTAGCGGAGAAGCAGGGGGGAGCGGGGGGGGAGGAAGAGCGGGGGGCGGGAGCAGCAGCAGGAGCAACACTCCCCCCGATCGAAGCGTGCTAGGGGGGGCAGGGGCTAGAAGCTCAGCCAGTGGGGGAAGCAGCGACTTGCGATATCCCCCTTCTAGACAGTACTCTGAGAGGGGATCTGCTGGGAGTTCCACTCAGCTTAGACTGGATCAGCTTATAGAGGAGGGTGGGCCTCGACTGAGCTCCTTCTCGTCGTTTTCTTTCAGTTGCGATGTTGATGTGTTCGATTTGGATGACCCGAGGGGGTTGTTTGTTCGGCCGGGAGGGGAGGAGGAGGACGAGGAGGATTTGGAGGAGGAGTGGGAGGGTGAGGGGCAGGAGGGGATGAGGGATACGGACGAGGAGGAAGAGGAGGAGGAGGGTGGGGAAGGGGGAGGGGAAGGGGGGAGAGAAGGGGAGAAGGGGAGGCAGGGCGGCGGAGGAGGGGTTGGGGGAGGGAAGGGGGAGAGAGGGGGGAAAGGGGAGGGTGCGGAGGGGGACAAAGGGGGCGGTGGTGGCGCAAAGGATAGTCCTAGGGAAAAGAGGGCGGGGAAAGAGGAGGTGGGGGTGGGAAAAGGGGAACCGGCGGGCGGAAGGGAGGCAAGAGAGAGGAAGAAGGGGGAGATGCGGCGGAGGAGTGAGGACGGGGATAGGAAGCCTGGGGGGAGTGCTGCTGAGTCGAGTAGAGGGGGGAAAGGCGGAGGGGGAGGGGGGCAGGGGGGGGCGCAGGGGGGCGGGCAAGCGGGACCAGGGGAGGGGATGGAGGAGATGAGGGCAAAGTGGGCGCGGGAGAGGCAGCGGCGGGTGGATAATCTGGATAAGCTCCGCGCTCAGGACGCCTTGCCAGGGGGAGGGGCCGCAGGGGGAGGCGCAGGAGGGGGGGGCGCAGGAGGCGCAGGGGTAGGGGGGGCAGGCGGAGCGAGCAGTGGGGTTGCTGGTGTGGGGGCTGGGACGCGCGCAATGGGGAAAGCTGAGGCTGGCGCGCCAGGCATTGCTGCTAGCGCGGGAGAAGGGCCTGGGGGAGAGGATGCGGATGGGGCAGCAGCAGGGGGACTAGCAGCAGCGGCTGTAGCAGCCGCAGCAGCAGCAGCAGGGGGTGGGGGAGGAGCAGGGGCAGGGGGGGGAGCAAGGGCAGGGGCGCATGGGGAAGAGGATGCGCCTACAGGGGCACAAGGCGCGCGTTCAGGGGCAGGGGGGCAGGAAACGGGGAGGAGGCCGGGGGAAGGGGGGGAGAGGGGGGAGGATCAGAGTGGAGAGGGCGTGCGGAACAGGAGGAGGGCGGAGAACCGGAGCTTCTCTCGATCTATGAGCGCCCAGCCTGAGAGGATAGGGCGGAGGGAGAGACGGGAGGCGGAGGGAGAGGAGAGCGGTCAGTCAGGCAGGGGCTGGTTCGGGGATGGGATGATGGAGGGGAGTAGAGAGAGTGAGGGTGGGGAAGAAGGGGGGGAGGGCAGTGGGATGGAGGAAGGGGGGGAGCACGAGGGGGGGGAGAAGCGCAAGCAGCAGAAAGTGCGGTGGACTAGGCTGCTGCAGGGAGTGGTGAAGGATATAAAGAAGAAGGAAAGCAAACTTCCCACCTCGAGTTCAATTCTGGACAGTCCCTCCGGGCCTTCTGCTTCCTCAGGCTCATCCGGTGGTGCTTTCAGTGCTTCTGGGTTTTCCACCTCGTCCTCCCACCCATCTGCAGGTACCGCTCTGCACCACAGGGCACCGGTTCAGGACCACTACAGGTCGTCTGAATCCCAGAAGCAACAGTATTCAGATGTGCCTCTAGCAAAGAGTTTTAGTAGTAGCCTGCCGGCTGTGGGTGGGGAGGGGGATGTGGGTTCGCCTATGCATGCCGCATCTGGTGCCGACAGGTGGCACGCTGTGAGTGGCGGAGTGGGTGGTGGAGGCGGGGGGATGGGGCAGGGAGGGGAAGGGGGAGAGGATGAGGGGGTGGAGGAGGGGGCAGGGGAGGGCGGGTGGGAGGGCAGGGAGGGTGGGGCGGGAGGGGCGACGGATGGGGGAGCGGGGGGGAGGAGGCTGGGGAAGGAGGGGCGGCCGCCAGCGGGGGAGTTGGGGGGAGTGGGGGCGGCGCAGGGGGCGCACAAGGGAGGGGGAGAAGGGGGAGCGGGCGCAGCGTGGGTGAGGGGGATGAAGAAGGCGCATAAGAAGCTGATAGGATACCTTGGCGCATCAGACAGCTTCGGGGGGAGGGAAGGGGGTGGGGCGGGGGGAGGAGTGGGCGTGGGGACAGGAGGAGGGGGACAGGGAGACGGAGGAGGAGGGGGAGTGCTGGGCGGGGGAAAGGTTGCGGGGAAGCTAGGGGGAGAGGGGCATGAAGGGGGAGCGCTGGGCGGCGGAGGGGGAGGAGGGGGGGTGGGCGGAGGAGGGGGAGGAGCAGGGGGAGGGAGGGCGGGCGCAAGGAGACGGCTCCGGAAGGTGCTGAGTGCGGATTGGGGGAGCACGTCATTGGACGAGCTGCTGGGCGGCAAGGGCTTGGCTGCTAGCGCGAGCACCAACCTTTCGTCATCGTCTAGCCAACCAACCCGTCCGTCCACTGCTGCTGGCAGCACTGCTGGCAACGCTGGTGGCAATGCTGCTGGCAACGCTGCTGGTCTAGCTAGCTCTGGTACTCCTATCCCTGGCCACCTTTCCACTCACTCCCACTCCTCCACCCCTCCCCGGTCCACTTCCTCTGCTGCAGCCTCCCCGTCCCCCTCCTCCGCGCTCCTCCCGCCCTCCTCCTCCTCCATCCTCTCCCACCGCCCTGACAGTGCCGGCTCCTCCTCCTCCTCGCGCCGCTCCCGCAGTGCTGGCATGACCCTGGTTGACTTTGCAGGAATCACTGCGCCTTCGCCTGAGCCTGTAGCGGGGGCTGTAGCGGGGCCGGTGGCAGGGGCTTTAGCGGGGCCTGTAGCGGGGTCTATGGAGGGGGGAGAGGTGTGGGGGATGGTGCGGAGTGGTAGCCAGGGGTTGGGGCAGCATGGGCGGGAGAGTGCGCTGGGGAGCAGGGAGCGGATGAGCTTTGGGGGAGGTGGGGATATTGTGGATGGGCGGGAGAGAGACAAGGGGAGGGAGGGAGAGGGGGAGCGGGAGGGGGAGAGGGAAGGAAAGGATGAGCGTGATGTGTGGGAAGCGCTGCAGGCACGCAGTTCATTGAGTGATGGTACTGCTGCCAGTGGTGCTGCTGGTGGTGATGGCCCTGCTGCTGCTGGTGCTGTTAGTGTTGGTGTTAGTGATGTTGACGATTTTACTGCTGGTGCTGCTGGTGGTGAGCGTGAGAGCGCGGAAGATGCTGATCCTGCTCCTATAGCTGCAGGGTGCGCCATTGGCTGCAGTGTGGGGGGAAGGGGGGCTCCAGGGGAGGCGTCACTGCGTGTGTGGTACAGTGGGGGGGAGGGGAGGGTGGAGGGTAGGGGAGCGGAACGGGCAGCTGATGGGGCAGGTAGGCTGGAAGGGGTTCGAGAAGGGAGGGTGGGGGAGGATAGAGGAGCAGGGGCAGTAGTGGGGCCGTCACCGCTACCAGCAACGGCTGCTGTTGCTGATGCTGCTGCTGGCGCAGGTGTTTTAGGAGGGGTAGGAGCAGCAGGAACAGCAGAGCGAGTGGGGATCGATGCTAGAGGCGCAGTGGGGGGAACCGAGCAGGAGCAATCACTAGAAGAGGTTGAGGGACCGAGCACACCCAAAGGAATGGGGGAGGGCAGGGCAAGGCAGGGCAGGAATGAGCAAGGAGCAGGAGCAGCAGGAGCAGGAGGAGCAGGAGGAGCAGGAGGGGGAGGAGGAGAAGGAGGGGCAGGTATAGGCGTGGAGGAGAGTGTTCTAGAGGGCATTCACACGAGTGCAAGCACGGGAGGGGGCAGCCAAGCAGCAGAGCAGAGGCAGAGCATTCTGCAGGCTTACATGCAGAGGAAAAGCTTCAATGGAAAGAATCCTACAGCTGAGCAGGTGTGGGCTTGGATTCTAGGCCATGATGATGATGAGGAGGGGGAGGGGGGGGTGGATGGGAGAGGAGAGGGAGGAGCGGAGGCGAGGGGAGGCGCAGGTGGTGGGAGTGAGAAGGGGAGCAGAGGGAGCAGGGGGAGCAGGGGGAGTAGGGGGAGCAGCGGAGGGGTGGAGAGGGATGGGGGGGAGGGTGGAGGGGGGGGGGCGGGGAGGGGAGAGGGAGGAGAGGGAGGAGATGGGGTGGAGGAGAGTGGGAAGGAGGAGGAGGGCAAGGGGGCCGAGGGGGGCGAAGGGGGAGAGGAGGAAGGAGGGCAGAAGGCGCAGTTGACGGTTGATCCAGTGGTGGCGGCTCGGCTGGGCGTCACAGTGGAGCGTGTTGCAGACTGGCTGTGGACGCTGCACAAGATATGTGAGTGGAGTGCAGCCCCGTAAGATGTGTGAGTAGAGCATGTGAGTTTAGCAGAGGGAGATGACGTGTGAGTCACCACAGGGAGGGCGTCAGAGTGGACCGAGTTGCTGATTGGCTGTGGACGCTGCATAAGATATGTGGTTTGAGTCACGACCGTTGCGGTCACCTGTTGCCTTAGCTAAATCTCAAAGCTTGAAACCCTAATTTGCCATGTCTCTCCTTGCCCTTCCCCCCCCCAGTGGTGGACGTGGAGCGCACTGATCGACATATGGCGTTCTACCAGGCGGAGAGGAACCGCGCCATCATGTGTGACATCCCTGGAGCTCCCATGCCCTCTCCTCTCCACTCCCCTCCTCTCCTTGCTTCCTTCAACAGCGGCGGACGTGCAGCGCACTGATAGGCACATGGCGTTCTATCAAGCAGAGAGGAATCGCGCCACCATGTGTGACATCCCTGGAGCTACAATCCGAGACTCTGTCCTCTCCCTTCTCCTACGCCCACCCCTCCCTCTCGCCCCCATCACCAGCGGTGGATGTGGAGCGCACAGACACGCACATGGCGTTCTACCAGGCGGAGAAGAACCGCGCCACCATGTGTGACATCCCTAAGTTCAATAAAAGCCTGTAATTCTCTGTCCTCTCCCTTCTCCTATGCCCACCCCTCCCTCTTCCCTCCTCTCTCCAGCTGTCGATGTGGAGCGCACAGACACGCACATGGCGTTCTACCAGGCGGAGAGGAACCGCGCCACCATGTGTGACATCCTGGCCGTGCACGCCTGGATCGACCCGGCTACTGGCTTCTGCCAAGGTGCGCCTTGTTAGCAGCACCAGTATGTGTGAGGTACAGCAAGCTGTACAGTGTGGAGAGGACAGGCACAGCAGGCTGTGATGTGCAGTCTGGCAGGCGGAGAGCAGAGAGAGGAACCGCGCCACGATGTGTGACATCCTGGCTGGCCGTGTACGCCTGGATCGACCCTGCCACTGGCTTCTGTCAAGGTATGGTATCACTAGCATATCATCCTCATCACCATGCTTCACACTCACCCTGCCCCCCATGACGTCTCAATGCATCCCCCCTGCATTCTTACCTCCTTATGCCTCCCGCCTCTGCCCCAAACCACCTCTCCCTTCATCATGCTCTACAGCCATCCTGCCCTGTACTCTTATAATGTCTCCATGCCTAAGCTCCATCTCTCTTAATGCATCACCTCCCAAACCCCCCCTCCCCGACCATTCCTCCCCCCCCCCTAATCAACCAGGAGGCATGTGCAACATCCTCTCCCCCTTCATCATGCTCTACTGCCACCCTGCCCATCAGATCTTATCACGTCTAATTGCCATGCTCCCTGCATCATCTCCCTGTGCTCCCCCCCCTCACCAGGCATGTGCGACATCCTCTCGCCATCCATCATGCTCTACGGCCAACCCTCCCATTAACCTCATGGGTCTCGATGCGCCCCCCCTGCATCATCTTCCCCTTTCCATCCCTTCCTCGTACCTCAACCACCAGGCATGTGCGACATCCTGTCCCCCTTCATCATGCTATACGCCCATCCTGCCGACGCCTTCTGGTGCTTCGAGTGCCTCTTCTCCCGCATTGTAAGCCCTGTGACTGCCACCCATCCCATGCCACACAATGTAAGCCCTGCCACCCGTCCCACGCTTCACTGCCGCTGTCTCACAACGTCTCAAAGCTGGTGCTTCGAGTGCCTCTTCTCCCGCATTGTAAGTCATACCACCATAGCAGCATGGCAAACCCTAAACCCTCTTGCATCATTTGAGGCGCCTCAAAAGCCTCTTCTCCTGCATTGTGAGTGCCACGCCATAGCAACATGACGAGTAGTGTATCTTGCATCATGTACTTTCCTTCCCCCAGCGTCATAAATTTATGCTAGAGAGGCAGGTGGGAATTCTGCATCAGTCGACTCAAAGGTTCCCTTGTTCTCCTTCCCCTCCTCCCCCACTCCCCCCACTCCCCCCACCCTCCCTCCCCCAGCGGCACAACTTTGTGTTAGAAGGCCCGGTGGGCATCCTGCGGCAGCTAGCGGTGCTGCGGGACGTGGTGGCGCTGGTGGACCCCGAGCTGGCCTCGCACCTGGAGGAGCTGGGCGCCGACAACTTCATGTTCGCCTTCCGCATGCTGCTCGTGCTGTTCCGGAGGGAGCTGCCCCTGGTTGACGTGATCGTCATGTGGGAGGTGCGTGAAAGTGGGGAGAAGGTGGTTGGTGGGGGAGGTGCATGGTGAGCTGGCCTCCCACCTGGAGGAGCTGGGCGCCGACAACTTCATGTTCGCCTTCCGCATGCTTCCCCTTCCCCCGTTCCCCACTGCTCCCCATCCTCTGTTTCCCCCTTCCCCCTTAACCCCTTCCCCCATTCCCCACTGTGCCCTCCCCCTTCCCCCTTCCCCCATTCCCCCATTCCCCACTGTGCCCTCCCCCTTCCCCCTTCCCCCATTCCCCCATTCCCCACTGTGCCCTCCCCCTTCCCCCTTCCCCCATTCCCCACTGTGCCCCCCCCCTTCCCCCTTCCCCCATCATTCCCCACTGTTTCCCATCCTCTGTTTCCCCAGATGATGTGGGCGGCGGATTTTGACTCGCGAATGGCCTCAGTTCTCCTGCACCACCCCCCGGAGGGCCTCAACCTCGTCGCTGAGCCGCACACCTGGTCCACCGGCCCCCTCCCCCCCCTCGACTCCCCTACCAACGACGCCGCCACCACCCCCGTACCGTTCTCCACCGCTTCCAACCAAGGCTCGGGGTCGTCTCTAGGGGGGTTCGACGTGATGGGGCTGGGCGGGGGGAGGAGAGGGGGGATATGGCGGTCCGGGCAGCTGACGGCACAGGATGTGGAGGGAGGGGCGAGTTTGATGTCTCAGTGGGGAGAGGCGCGGGTGGGAGATGAGGATTTGGCGGTGTTCTGTGTGGCGGCCATTCTGAGGGTCAACCGGAAGAGACTGCTGCTTGTGGAAGGTTCTGACGAAGCTATTAAGGTGGGTCCTGGCTGTTGAAGCGGCCCAGATGTTACAAAAACAAATGAACCGCCTCAGAAACGGGACCTGGCCATGTTCTGTGTGGCGGCCATTCTGAGGGTCAACCGGAAGAGACTGCTGCTTGTGGAAGGTTCTGACGAAGCTATTAAGGTGGGTCCTGGCTCTTGAAGCGGCCCAGATGTTACAAAAACAAATGAACCGCCTCAGAAACGGGACCTGGCCATGTTCTGTGTGGCGGCCATTCTGAGGGTCAACCGGAAGAGACTGCTGCTTGTGGAAGGTTCTGACGAAGCTATTAAGGTGGGTCCTGGCTCTTGAAGCGGCCCAGATGTTACAAAAACAAATGAACCGCCTCAGAAACGGGACCTGGCCATGTTCTGTGTGGCGGCCATTCTGAGGGTCAACCGGAAGAGACTGCTGCTGGTTGAAGGGTCTGATGAAGCAATCAAGGTGGGTCTATGTTCGGAACGTCTGAAAAGGCCATGTGGAGGGGGGGCCGAGTTTGATGTCGCAGTGGGGGGAGGCGTGGGTGGGAGATGAGGACCTGGCGATGTTCGGTGTGGCGGCCATTCTGAGGGTCAACCGGAAGAGACTGCTGCTGGTGGAAGGATCTGACGAAGCCATCAAGGTGGGTCTTGCCTTCTGAGGCGCCTAAGGTATTATCTATATTCTGAGGCGCTTGATCCATTCTGTTCTGTGTGGCGGCCATTCAGAGGGTCAACCGGAAGAGACTTCCTCTAGTAGAAGGGTCTGACGAAGCCATCAAGGTGGGTTTATGTATGGAAGATCTCAAAAGGCCATTCTGAGGGTCAACAGGAAGAGACTGCTGCTGGTGGAGGGATCAGATAAAGCCATCAAGGTGGGTCTTGGCTCTTGTCTGCTCCTCCTCCCCCTGCTTCCATCTGCTCCTCCATCGGCTCTTGTCTTGTCTCGTCTTGTGCCCGCTCCCTCACTCGGTGCATGGGGGATATGGCGGTCAGGACAGCTGACGGCGCAGGATGTGGAGGGAGGGGGGAGTTTGATGTCGCAGTGAGGGGAGGCTCGGGTGTGGGATGCGGACCACCTGCATCCACCTGCGCTGCTTTCTAACCTCTCTACCTTTCACATTCATGCTCTCACCCCTCCCTGCCCCACTCAACCCATCAGATGTTCAACGATGTGGAGCTCGTATTAGATGTGGTTTCCTGCATCCATCTCGCCATCAAGCTCCGCACCAAGTATTTCCGAAAGGTGTGTACATGCAAACAAGCATCTTCTTATGTGTGTTTACATGTGCTAAATAGATATTGTTTATGTACATATGTATGGTTTTTATTATGTCAGGCCTGGCTTCTCGGCTCACAAGCTGATGCTCTTGACATTTATGTTTCCCCTTTCACACCAAATGCCCAACCCCTTATGCCTCCCTCATGCCCCTCCCTCCCTCCCTCCGTTGGTTAACCTCCATGTTATTCCAGGCTCCACGTGGCATCAGGGCTCGATAGCATCTCCTAGGCCATTCAGGCTCGATAGTACACTCAAGCTATGAGAAGTTTGCTTCACAGATCTGCCTTTTTTTCTGGGCGGTGAAGCATGGCGTCAATGAGAAAGGGCATTTCATGCTCCAATGCTATTTTTTTCCAAATGTTTGGAGCATCCTGTATTTTGAAATAAAAAAATAGTGGCTTTGCAGGCTATGTGAAGCCACACACCTGAGATTTAGCTCACGCTCTAGTCTCCTACCATGTGGTCTTTAGGGCTTTCATTGTAAGCTTGCTTGATTCCGAAATGTTAGCCAAATTGTTCTTTAGCCAGCAGCTACACTCTAGCCGTAACATTATCGGGGTTTTCGCTTGCGTAGCATCCTCCTCGTCGTATCCCTCCACATGTCGCCTAGTCGGTTCCTCGACTGCACGAAAACAACAAATTGCCGTCCGATCAAGATCGAATCGACGGCTCTCAGCAATCCTTTGATGCACTAGCGTGTCAGACAGTTCCCGCCAAATTCACTTATCCATCTGTCCACAGTCCACCTAGATTCTACCTCCTTGACTCAGCTTTCGTATATTGACGGCTAGCAGTAAAAAAACACTTCTCCAATAGCATGGTTCCACCGTACAACATAGCCGCGCCGTCAGGCATCCATGCAACTGCATGTAGTCGACCATGCTTGCCAAGTGGCAGAGCCAGTGTCAGGCACGCGCCCACCGCCATGGCTTTATTCAGTGCGAAGGACCTTTTTCGCTGTTCCTTGGAAATTAATTCCAGGTGCACGCACACTCGCACTCGCACCTGGTGTCACACCAGCAATGTCGTCCACTCCATCTCGCCGGGCTGCCTCGGATCGAGAGAGATCGTGCTTCCGCCATTTCACCGTTCTTTCTCTCCGTTCGTTCAATCCGGTTTGACTCGGTTGTGCTCGGCTGCACATGGTCCAGTCGGTTCCTCTCGGTCCCGCGGCTCGCGGTCGCGGAACGTCTAGCTGATCGCGTCGCGGATTTCGCTTTTCCCGCATTTCGCGATTCGATTCTCAACGATGCGCTCGTGTAGCTGCACGAAATGAAAACTGCTTCCTGTTGAGTCAACCCAGCAAAAGGAGGTCGGGCCGACTTGGTGATTTTTGAATTTTCTGGAGGGGTCGATTCACGCGGCTGGGGAGGTCTGTTCCCTTGGGCACTCGGCACACGTCCTTCTGAATAAACGATAGCCGTTGGGGTGCCAAGTTATCGTTAAGGTCCGTCCCAGCTAGCGCATCTGACCGCTTTCTCATCTGCTCCTCATGGCTTCCTTATGCGCCGCCTCGCCGCGTTTGGCGGCCATGGCGTCACCAGCTCGCCCAGCCACGGGCACCCGCGTTACAAAGTCACAACCCCGTGCTGTTCAACTCACATCCGCTACAGTCACACCCGTCCGGAGCGCCATACGCCACGAGGCGTATCGTGCCGCTCCTAGCAGCACACCCCTGACAGCCCAGCACCGTCTGATCCAGCTCCCTGTCTTCTCGCACTCGCCTCCAGCCGTGTCCAGACTCCAACCCGCCACTAGGCGCTGCACTGGAGTGCCAACGGGAAGAAGAGCCGTTACCAGCGCGTCTCGAGTGTCGCGAAGCGTGCCTCGTGCTGCTCACGGGGATGGTGCAACGGAAACCGCTGCTGGTGCCGATGCGAATGGAAAGCCTGAGGATGGGAGTGAGTATCTTGCCACTGATCCCCGGTCCACGCGCGGGGTGACTAAGTCGGTCGCGGAGGAGGCGAGGGGATACCTGGAGAAGGCAGAGGAGGATTTCCTGCAGGTGAGCCTTCAGGCCTCTCCTCCCCATCTGTTCACGCAGCACCTGAGACCAGCGATCATCCTCACCACCTCACACTCACTTTCTTAGCACTGAACCATTTTCGTCGCCCTCTAGATTCGACGTCTCATTATTCAACCCTGTCTTCCTCTCCCCACCCTCTCCCTTCCCCCCATCAGTTCCTGCAGCACCTGGGGCGAGCGCCACCACACTCAAATCGGCAATTCACCCCCTTCCTCCCTCCCTCCCTCGCTCCCCTCCGTTCCTCCCTCCCTCCCTCCCTCTCTCGCCCCCCTCCCTTCCTCCCTCCCTCCGTCGCCCTCCCTCCTCCCTCCTCCCTCCCGCCCACCATCAGTTGGGGCGAGCGCTCATCCTCACCACCACAGTGCACTCAATCGCCACTGCTCCTCCTTCCACTTTTCATACGTCGTCGTCCGTGCCCCCCCTCCCTCCCCCACCATCAGTTCACGCAGCACCTGGGGCGAGCACTCATCCTCACCACCACACACTCTCTCAGAACTGGACCCCGATTCCTGCCCTCCAGTTTTGATACGTCTCGTTTTCTCAACTCCACCTTCCCTCCTCCCCCCCTCGCCTTCCCCCCATCAGTTCACGCAGCACCTGGGGCGAGCACTCATCCTCACCACCATCCCTGGGGTTGTTTTGGAAACCCTTCGTGAGCTCTCAGGTGGGTCTGGGCACTCTCAGAGTAGTGGATCACTCTGGAAGGGAAAGCTGTGAAAGCTGCACTAGGTGACTTTTGAGTCGACTCAAAAGTCGCTGCATGCTCGTTGCATGGGCGATGTGAAGACGAGAAGCTGTTGTGTCTGAACTTAATTCTAATTTTGACGCCTCAAATGACCCACTGTTGTCTCCTCCATCCCTCATGCCATACCCTGCCATTTTCCCATCAACGCCACCAGGCTCGAGGGTGCAAGGCTGGGACGTTGTCTGGTTCTGCTGGGCGGCAGGGCTTGTCCTGGGGTGCATGGTCGGGGTGGGCGAGGTCATGCAGAAGCACCAGAGGCGGCGCGCTGCCGCCCGCCTGCCGCCCAGAAGAGTTGTCCTGACTGGGGGCTCCAGGGGCCTTGGCAAGGCTATGGCTCGAGAGTTCCTATTGGCTGGTGATGACGTGTTGCTGACATCAAGGAGGTTAGTGATGACGTGGCGCTGACATGGATCATCCATGTCAGCATGGATATGCCATAGAGTGGTCCGTATCCAGTCCACACTCACGTTTTTCCTTCTGTTGCACTGCCCAATAGGGTCCCACCGCTTCTCATCTCCCTTGACTGGACTGCACTGCAATTTTCAAGCAACGTGCCCCAAACCCTGACCCACCCCCCTTGTCTCATCTCATGGAACCTCGGCCATCCTTATCCCAGTGAGCAGGGGGTGGAGGAGGCACTGAGAGCACTGCAGCAGGACACGTGGGTGTTCCCCCCTGGCTGTTCCTTCACGCCCCTTTTTCAACATGTGCCATTTCATGCATCCCGCAGTGAGCAGGGGGTGGAGGAGGCACTGAGAGCACTCCAGCAGGACACGTGGCACATCACAGGGCGCGCCCCCCTGGCTGTGCTGGTCAAGGCTGGGTCCAATCAGACGGAGTCAACGCAGTCAAGCAGGTCAGTTTTGACTCAGCTCAAAAGTCACTTCATGCCATAATGCCATGATGATATGATTCCATGATGCCTTGGTGTCATGTGTTTTTGTATGCAGGGAGGTGTGGGAGCTGCCCCGGGCTCATGGGGAGCAGCAGCAGGAGAAGCAGCAGGAGAAGCAACAGGAGAAACGGCACCGTGAGCCGCAGGATGATCATCGACAGCTGTCTGGGCGGCAGAGAGTGGTTGGGATTGCCTGCGACGTACGGTCGGCAAAAGACGTCCAAATGCTTGCTGACGTGGCACGGCAGGAGCTGGGGCGAGTCGACATCTGGGTGAGTGAGCTGGCATTACCATGGGAACCCGGTGTTGCTCAGCGGCCTTTGCAGCCATGCCAATCAAATCAGCCCCATCTGTCCCTAGCATGCATGTTAGCAGTGCCTAACATGCCTCTGCACGTGGGGCCATTGTTGACTTGTGTTGACTCGCATTGGCTTTTGCTGACTTGAATTGGTTGTTGGTTTTGTTGAATGTGCGTACTGATGTTTTCTTGTTTTCACTGGTGTTGACTTGTGTTGACCACGCCAGGTGAACAACGCGGGCACCAACCCCATGGCGAAGCCCTTTGTTGACTTTGAAGACCACGAGCTGGAGCAGGTGAGCTGTGTTGACTTGGCATCTTGCAATAATCGACGTTGAATTGCGTTGACTTGAGGTGACAGCAGGTAAGAGGTGGCTCAGGTGAGAGGTGGGTTGCACCTATTTCTTGTGCGCAGTCCACCTCTCACCAATCTGCCGGGGCTCGCTCCTCACGGGCAGCAATGCACCTAATCCAGCACTAGCAGCCGTGTTTCCAAACCAAACAGCCAGCCATGTGTTCAACCTCTTCAGTCCCTGCCTCGCACCTCCACTCTCCCTGTCCATCCAGGTTGTCTGCACCAACCTCCTGGGTTCACTCTTCTGCACGCGAGCAGCAATGCGCCTCATGCAGCAGCAGCCGTGCGTGCCTCCCAGTCCAAACAGCCAACCTCAGTCCCTCTCTTTCCTTATCCCCATCAACCCTCCAGGTGGTTTCCACCAACCTGCTGGGCTCACTCCTCTGCACGCGGGCAGCAATGCGCCTCATGCAGCAGCAACCACCCTCCCTACCAGACCAAACAACCGGCCACGTGTTCAATTTGGAAGGCGCAGGGTGGTGGGGGGGTGCCACGCCACAGTATGCTGTCTACGGCGCCACCAAGTGTGCGCTCCGGCAGCTGGGGGCGTCGCTGGTGGAAGAAGGGAGACTGGAGGGGAGTGAGAGAGGGAGGGAGGTGGGGACTGGGGTGGGGAACGATTTATGGAGAGAGGGTGGGAGTGAGGGGGCAAGTGAAGGAGGAGAGGTGGAGAAGGGAAAGGTGAGGAGGGGAAGAGTGGGTATTCATGCGGCGTCCCCAGGGCTGGTGTTGACGGATCTGCTGCTGAGTGGGGCGACGGTGGCCAACAAGCAAGCATTCAACATCGTGGGGGAACACCCCGAGACAGTCGCTCGTGTGCTTGTGCCCCAGGTGATGTGCGGTGCTGTGCAGTGCTGTGCGGTGCTGTGCAGTGCTGTGCTGTGCTGTGCTGTGCGGTGCTGTGCTGTGCTGTGCTGACTGACGGGTGGGTCTAAAAGGGTTGGTGCTGATGGATCTGCTGCTGAGTGGAGCAACGGTGGCCAACAAGCAAGCATTCGACATCGTGGGGGAACACCCCGAGACTGTTGCACGCGTGCTCGTTCCCCAGGTGCTGAGTCAGGTGGTTCTTCAGGTGGCTCAGGTGTTGTCGTTAAGTGTTCCACAAGGTGATGTGTTGACTGATGGATAGCTCAGGTCGTGCAGACGCTTCATTCAGTGCATATGCCTGCTTTACTCAGGTGCCACGTCAGGTGTTGCTTCAGGTACTGCTTCAGGTACTGTTGCCTCAGGTGCTGACAAGTTGCTCTGATGGATCTTTCTAGAGCTTCATACATGATGTTTTGCTTTTCTTCTTTTCCTGCAAATCCGTGTTCTTCTGCCTGTATCAGATGCGCACTGTAAGGGGTACAGGGTCCACAGTGAGCTACCTCACACCGCCCCGCATAGTCCTGGCCATCCTATCTGCCTGGATGCGCAGAGGCCGCTGGTTTGACCAAGAGGTGAGGAAAAAAGGGGAGTGACCGGGTTAATTTTGGGTTTAATTCAAAAGTCACCTCACTACCTCACACCCCCTTTGCATATTCCCGGACATCCTGTCTGCCTGGATGCACCGAGGCTGCTGGCTCGACCAAGAGGTGAGGAGAAATGGGAGGTTGGATTTAAAGTTCAGATTAGGTTAGCAATAGCTGCCCTTTGTATAGGTTGCAGTGATTGGGGTGTTATTGGCTCGAGTGATGGTCTTTTGTCCATACCTCTCCTCAGTGCAGGGGCAAGCCGTGTATGCAGCCATAGTAAGTGAGTCAACAAATCTTCCCTTTCTCCACCTTTCTCTTCTTGCAGGGCCAGGCCGTGTATGCAACGGAGGCGCAGAGGCTGCGGGCGTGGGCGGAGGGCAGAGACAGGTCCCCCGTTGGGGCGGCAATGGATGCAGTTCCCAGCACGGCTTGGCTCTCCCTCGCCTCCTCATCCCTAGGGGTGTTTCTAATTGTCGCGTCCATGCTCCTGCAAAACTCAGGAACGTAGCTAGAGATTTGTCGGATTTAGAGGACTTGATGTGTGTGTTTGGTCCCTGACATAGCTTGTCTCCCCCTCACCTCCTCATCCCCTTAGCATGTAGCTCATTGTGGCGTCCATGCTCAAGCAGCACCGAGGGACATGTATAACTAGTTGTGTGTAGATTTTTAGCAGAGAGGCCCATCCATGCTCTCCCTGTCGGAGTTAAATTTCTGTAGCAGCACCCAGCAAGCTGAAGTACCGTACCCACTCTTTCAATACCGTCAAGGAGAAAATTATCAGATTGACAATGTCATTGATGGCAAGAGACAAATTTGTTAATATCAAAGCTAGACCATGGTCTGTCCAAATTTCAGACCCTGTGACTTCCAGTTAATCCAGAGGCCCCAAATTTGTAGCTTGGAACGGATCGGATGTTAACGGGAAATCAGAGTGCCTGTTCTCGGATGACTTCCAAGGTTGCCGCTTCGGTTTGGCATTCTCGCTGAAGTCATGGCTTTGCCATTCATCCGCGAGCTTCCAGAGCATGTGTCAAGGAAGGTCAGGTCTTCGGTTGTCGTCCCTTCACTATCGCAGCTTACGGAAGAGCTAGTTTGCAACAGCCTCGATGCAGGAGCCAGAGAGGTGAAACGCGTTGTAGGCTCATAGTAACTGCCGTGCCGGACTATTTTCCAGGTTTATTGTCGCAGAGTGATAATTCACGTTACGGCCTGTATTCAGGTTTCTGTGACGGTCGACTCATCAGCGGCGACGATACGAGTGGATGACGATGGTACTAGTTTGCTTATCCGTTGACCGACTAGGTGTATGCACTGGACTTATTACACGGTTCTCCTCCGTTTACAGGCTGTGGTATTTCGCGTGATGACCTGGTGCTACTTGGTGAGCGCCAAGGTACGTCAATAAAACTTCGCATCACCACTGGGTCGTGTCGTTCCGCCACTTCAGAAAAACACCTCCTTACCTTAGCTTTCTACACACAGCGACGTCGAAGTTGCAATCGACAACGGAGCTTGAAGCTGGTCCCACAACACTGGGATTTCGAGGCGAAGCACTCTACTCAATCATGGGCCTCTCCCTGGTCGAGATTGTGACTCGTCCTAAGGGGTCTGCTTGCACTTACTGCAAGATTTGTAAGGTGAGTCATTATTCTCTAAGGTGTTAATGTGTGGAATAGAACTTGATCTTACGGCCGCCTGACGCAGGGTGGAAGAACGCTCTCTGTTGGGATGACGAAGAAGCTGAGATCAACTGGCACGACAGGTGCGCGCACTGTCTGGTTTTTGCTGCTGTGAGTATCGCCTCATCACAATGGATTGAGTCTGGTCTCCTATGTGTAACGGGTTTCAGTGATTGTTCAAGACATATTCTTCAACCAACCAGTCAGGAGACAGCTAGTGGAGAAGAAGTTAGTCCGCTCCGCCGACTGTGTTTCATTCGTCCATCACCTTTGCTGTTTGTTTATAAAAACAAGACACTTTCCTGTTATGCACATGTCTCGTGCTTGTTGTTTACTTAGCCCCATGTTCGATTTGTTTTGTGTCTAGCTTATCAAAGGAGATTCAGAGCATCAGGGACAGAGTTGGTCATTTGGCATTCATGTATCCTCAAGTTTCATTCATGGTGTCGGATGTTGCTAGGTGAGAGCCGAAATGTGAACGTTTTCTGCGCAGGTGGGTTTTTAACAAAAAGTGTCAATCTTACATTGCACGTGCACAGGAGCAAGACTCTGCTATCCTTGCCTGGTGGAAGGTCGGTGGGTTCCAGCATAAAAGATGTGTTCGGAGCTACCATTTTTGAGTCAATGAAAGAGATTGACTATCAGAAGGGTGACTTAAGACTGTCCGGCTTCATCTCACGGCTGGTGCAACATGAGTCCTCAAGAGATATACAATACTTATGTAATTTTCCTCCCTCCCTCTAGCCCAAATGTTCTTGTCTCTCTGTGTTTGCTAACGTACGGGTGATTGATTTTGGCAGACATCAACAAGCGGCTGGTGAAGCACACTCGATTCCACAAATTGATGAACTCCAGCTTTGCCACATCGCTCAGCTTACACTCAGAAGGAGGCGCAGAATTAACTGCTTTTCAGGACTTGATGTTCGTTGTTAACCTGTCATGCCCACGGTCCTCTTATGACATCATGTTTGAGCCTACAAAGACATATGTGGAGTTTAAGGTACGCTATGTTGCTCCTTCATAAAATTCTGTTAGCTTTGCCAGTCTGCCAGATCACGTTTTAATGATTGGATGCCTGGATTGCAGAACTGGAAGGCTGTTTTGGAGTTTCTTCAAGAAGTCTTGGGTGCTGTGTGGCCTTCCAGCAGACCACCTTTGCCTGAACCTGAAGCAGGTTGGTGGCGAGAAGCCATGTTACAGATTATCAGACTGGCAGTCTGACTGACATTCTTTTGTTTTTGTGGCCCTTAATGTTCCAGGACTGATGATGCAACCCAGAAAGAAGAAAAGTCAGAAGTCATGGCAGAAGACTGATCCCAGTTACCGCCCAAGCCACCCTATGACATTAACCAGCAAATCAAGCAAGCACACACATGGTAGCAGCCACCTGTTTCTTCTTGAAGAATCAGGCGAAACGTCACATGAAGAATGCCCCGGCTCAGCGTACAAAGTTGATCGGCTAAAATCTACAATGAATCTGCGTTCCAGGGCTTTCCAAGGCAACATCACAAAGAAAGACAGCAGATGTGAAGAGAATACTGACCAAGCTAGGGCGTCCACTTTGCATGGAGATCTTGACAACTCAAGCGAGTGCACTCCTCGGCCCTTCTCTCAGCACGATTCTGATCCAGAGCTCTCCCCGTTTGCATCAGCAAGGGACTCGTTACTTCCGCTTACAAGATCGAAAGGGAGCTTGAGTAGGCCATTGGAAGGTCATGACACGGACTTGCCTGCTTCCGATGGGCTTGAGTGGTCCTTGGCTCTACAGGTCGGTAGTAATGCTGGCTGCATACTATTGGAGTGTATGTTGAGTAATATGTTGTATCTGACGACTTGTTTGCAGCTGCAGCCAGATGGGATGGACTTTGAAACTTCACGGTGTCTCTTTGGAAGAACAGGCCACGATGATCAGCAACCTCTGGAGCCCATGCCCAAGCGAAGAAAAAAAGCATCACCGGAAGAGAAACGTCATTCTGAAGGCGATGGGCCTTCACACTGGTCATCAATGATCAATCCAAAAGTGGTTTCAGATGACTTGATGCTGGCTGGTATGGAGCACCTTCAGGACATTCAGCTGCAGAGGCCGATGAATGAGTACAGGACCAGTAAATCAGCCTCCTTGAAGACTGCGCCTGATTTTCCTGCTGTTGGCTCGCTTGAGTTTCAACAAGCAGTCGAGTTCATTGATCCGCCTATTGAAACCCAAGTTGACCCATCAAGCAATCTGGAGCAATGTAACAAGCAGAAGGCATGGGGTCTGGTTGCCTGTGGAGGTAAGCAGATTGAATATATTATAAGTTTTCCAGTTCTGAAAATACAATTTCGGCTGAAACAGCATGTTGCTGACAAAGTTGCAGGTGCATCTGAGACAGCAAAATCAGCAAAGGAAAGTTTTCAAGAGCATGGCTTGACCCCTGGAGCTCTGGCTTCTTCACCTTTGGTGATTGCAGAGGAAACAGGCAGCGAGCAGAAGCATGCATGTGCACTGCCTATGGCTGAAAAGACTGCTGGACCAGTTGAATGCAGAGAAGAATCTGTTCCAGCACCAGCGCATCTGGCTATTGAAGAAGCTCAACACGCTGATGAAGTGGCAGGCTGTTGCTGCTCATCCAAGTGGAGAGATGGGCATGCGCCTGCATGCACTGATAAGAACGATCTAGGGTTGACAAAGTCTGTGAAGGAAATGTACCAGGTAAGGTCTTCAAAGCTCATATGAAGATATAAATCATTCACTTTCCTATTCGAAGCCTTTGCTTGCTGTAAATTCTGTGTTATCTTTTATGCAGCATTGGTGCAAGACCAGCCTTGGCGAGAAGGAAGAGGTGGAGCCAGAAATTCTGGACTTACAGACACTGGCTTCCAGGTCCATGCAGTTTGATAGTCACAGAAGGCAACGTCGCCCCCTGATTCCAACTTCTGCTTCCAAAGAGACACTGCTTCAAGCAAAGTGCCTGAAGCAGGTGGATGGGAAGTTTCTGATTGCCACTTCTGGCTCAACCGTGGTCGCCATTGATCAGGTAAGCAATCAAAAGATTCTGATGAGTGTGTTCTGTCAGCAGTGTAGTTCTTCTGACCACCTACATATATGTGTGCAGCATGCGGCAGATGAAAGGGTTTGTCTCGAGGAGCTCCGCAAGGAGGTGAGTGAAGTTGCTTGTCTGGTTGAATAAGTAAGGTTCCATATTATGCAATTCTGAGTCTCTTTGATGGTGTTGCAGGTTTTGGAGAATCAGTCAGCCGTAGTGCCACTACTCCTTGATACACCCTCTGACTTGGTGAGACACCATGTGTCAGCAATGTAGACCTTGAACGTCCCACCCTACCATTCATCAGATTAATTTCTTGTGTTTTCATTTTCCAGCCAATCACAGCAGGGCAAGAAGGGTGCCTGAGGTCATATCAAAGGCAAATAGAACGATGGGGATGGCGTTTTAAGCTCTCTACAACTGGCGACGCAGAAAAATCTTTCAGCACACATCGTTCGACTCAAATGGGAGCTGATGCTATGGCTATGCTTAGCCAATCAAGGCAAGTCCCAGGTTCCTGAACATTTTGCTTGCCATTGTTTTGTAGGGTAATAACATGTGCACGCTTGCTCCTGCAACCACTTCCGATGTCCCCATGTCCCCCTCTCAGACGTCCAGGCAAATCTCAGTGCACTCCATCTCGACTTATTGTACTCGCGGTATGGATGTAGTGTGCAAATGTATCCCTGTTTGTCCATTTCCTTTGAGAATCCTCGTTTCGTTCCAAAAATCCACTCACTCCCTTGATACTGCAGGTTCCAAACTTGCTGGGCACCACTCTACGTGCAGAAGACCTTCTCGACTACTTGCTGCAGGTACTGAACGTACTCACAGCTCATGCGGACTCCAATCAAGATTTCCTCTAGTTATATAGGCTTTCATCCACATCTATAATCCCCAATGTATATCCATGCCTTATGTGAGCTTGCAGCTTCAAGAAACTGGTGGCCTTGCATCTACACCGCCACGGGCAGTTGTGCAATTGCTGGCATCAAAAGCTTGTAGAGGTGAGCTTATTTTTTTTGTGCTTCCTGCGCATGTTGTTGTTCTGGTGGTTTCACAGTTGTCTGCTTTGTTGTGCAGGTGCCATCATGTTTGGAGACATGCTGAAGCCATCTGAGAGTTCCCAGCTCATTGAGTGTTTGAAGCACACACAGCTGCCCTTCCAGGTGGACACGTACATTGTTAGAAGCTGCTGTTTTTGGGTGCTGAAGATGATGTGCTGATGTATGGGTGCATTGCCATGTGTGATGCAGTGTGCACATGGGAGGCCAACCATGGTTCCGCTTGTGGACCTCGACGAGCTGAAGAGATTGGTTGAAGGCATCGAGTTGCAAGGCAACCAGAAACCTGGACTTGGAGAGGACTTGTGTTGAGATCCATCCACAGGAAGAGCAGTGCAGTTTTTCATATATTTCAGACCAATGCAGTATAGTGCTCACAGCTAGGGTACGGTATAAGATAGTGTCCAACAAAGTTGACATACTGGATGAGCCAGCAAGCCAATGACAGTGTCTGATAGATGCCGTGACAACTAGCACTTAATCGTTTTCGAACAGTATTGGATTGGACAGGATAGGCTACATGTCTATGTCAGGCAGCACAAGAAATGCAGTCCAAACGTTGTCCAGTTAGCCTACTCTAACAAAACCAGCACATGTAGTGGATTGTCCAGCACCTACTTCTTTTCAAGAACAGCCTTATGCCCTTCATCCGACACCAGAATCGCCACCAGAACCACCCCCAACATGGTCAAAATCAGCACAGTTCCGAGGTGAGCCAAATACCGCTGCGTAACGGTACGCCTCTCCGCGTTCCCCGCTTCCACACCTCCCTCCACCTCTCCCCCCTTTTCCTTCGCATCCGCCTCACGCCGAGCCATCTCAACCGTCCATTTCACCCTATCAAGATCCCCCTCCTTAACAGCCTTAACCAGCTCAGCCTCTCTATCAGCAAGAGCCAATCCCATAAGCTTTTTTCGGGACGGAGGGGGAGCGGGCCGGGACCAAAGGAACCGGGTGATTTGCCAGAGGAGTGGAGCGAGGTAGAGAGCGATAATGACATCAACCGAGTAGTGCGATCTCTCTCGGATGTCCCTTTGAGCGGCGTGCATCACCAGCACCCACACCATGGCAGACCCCCACCCTCGGTGAGCCTCCTGTGGTTTAGAATCACCATGCATAGAAAAGAGGGGAATGGCTTGGGTAAACTGGGTATTGTGTGAAGGAGAAAGGGCAGGTTATAGAATCAGCAAAATAAACGTATTCACCTATCATTATTTTTCATTTTAAATTATTTTTGGTGCCCTATGCCTTTTTTTTTCTCCTTTTCCCTTTAACCCACCTGCCAGGCGCAAGCCGTGAGCGCTGCAACGACGATATGACCACTGAAGGCAAGGTCGTTGCAGCCACCGTAGGGGCGGACGACGAAGCTGCTGAAAGCTCCAGAGGAGGCAGCAGCACCGTCATGAACGCGGGCGTCCATGGGACGCAAGAAGTCCACCAGAAATTGCAGCGAGCCCCAGTCAGGGCGGAACTCGGGCGGATAGCTCATCTGAGGGGCTGGGGAAGAATGAAGGGGAAAAGTGGCACAACTGGAAAATTTGAGTCCGTTTCATGGAACGCAGGAAGGCCACCAGGAACTGCAGCGAGCCCCAATCAGGGCGGAATTCTGCGGGGAAGAACTGGGTGGGGGCTGGGAAAGAAAAGAAGGGCAGGAGAAAAAAAAAGGCAGGAGAAAGGGCGCAAGGGAGGTAGTTAAGTCCATGGGACCGCAGTGCAAAACACCCCAGTCAGGGCGAGATTCAGGTGGAAAGGACTGGACGTGCGCTTGGGAGAGTATAAGGAGGAAGAAACAAGAGAGAAAGGGGCAACAAGGATAGCTGGGTCCATGGGAGGCAGGAGGGCCACCAGCCCCTCCAGCACACCCAAAGTCCGAGCAGAAACTGAGCAGAACTTGGGCGAAACGACTGGGGAGGCCGCTGGGGGCATTACAGAGAAGGAATGACGGGAGGAGGAGCACACGGGAAGGCCATCAGCCCCTCAAGAACACCCAAAGTCCGAGCAGAATTTGAATGAGAACGACTGGGGGGGACTTGTGCTGCCATGCCCCATCTGTTCAGACCATGGTTTGACTCTTGACGAGGTATTAGCTGGTGAAGTGGTTTCTTCAATCGTGTTTCCATTCCCGTTTTGTTCAGGTTTTACAGTTCAGACAAGGTATTACCTGAGGACAGGTCATTCTCACATCTGCTCTTATTTCAAACTTAGCACGTAAGCTAACCATCTGTGCGTGTGCATGTGTGCGTGTGCGTGTGTGCATGTGTGTGTGCGTGCGTGTGCATGTGTGTGTGTGTGTGCGTGTGCGTGTGTGCATGTGCATGTGCGTGTGCGTGCGTGTGTGTGTGGGCGGGGGGGGGGGGGGTGTTTGGGGGGGAGAGGGAGTGGGGCTTACCAAAAGCAGTATCCGTGGAAATCAGCTGATGCAACAGGTCGGGATTGTCGCTATACGGCGTCAGGTACTTGGCCGCCCAGGGATGCGGGTGCCGGGGACACGTGTCTCCAAACCGCGACTCCGCACACCACGGCCGCGGCGCGGGCAGAATCGTAGACGCAAACGTGGCAACGCGGAAAATTCGGCTCAGCCCGATGCTGAAGACGTAGCGTGAGCCGAGCGCCATGCCCGGGCCGGGAATCGCGCCGACGAGAACGGAGAAGGCGAGCAGCATAAAGAGCATGATGAAATCATGCATTTCCACGATGGGCGCGCGGAGGATCGCGGTGAGGGGCGCGGGGAGGTGGTTGTTGAGGCCGAGGAAAATCCACTGGCCCGTGTCAGGGAGAGACGTGACGGTTCTGGGCGGGACATGGAAGGGGGAGGGGGAAGGGGTAGGGGAAGGGGAAGGGAGGGGGGAGGGGAAGGACGATCGGCGCGAGGAGGTGGTTGTTGAGGGTGAGGAGGATCCACTACCCCGTGTCAGGGAGCGAGATGACGGTTCTGGGCGGAATGGAGAAGGGGGGAAAGGGGGAAGGGGAAGGGAGGGGGAAGGGGAAGGATGATGGGCGCGGGGAGGCGGTTGTTGAGGAGGATCCACTGCCCCGTGTCAGGGAGCGGGGTGACGGTTCTGGGCGGAATGGAGGTGGGGGAGGGGGAAGGGGAAGGCGAAGGGTAAGAAGATCCACTGAAATGTGCTGGCGGCAACTCAGACTCGCGCCAATCGAGACTCACTTGTGCCAGTCGAGGCCGAGCACACAAGCACCTCAAAGGTGACTTATGAAACAACTTAAAGCCGCCTAGATTGCAATGATTTTGTTTTTGTGGTTAGATTATGCCATTTTTACATTCAATCGCGCCAATCGAGACTCACTTGTGCCAGTCGAGGCCGAGAACGACTGTGACGAACTGCACCGCAATCACCTCCACGACGAAAGCAAGCAGCATAAATCCGAGGCACGCCAGGAACTTGGGCACGTTGCGAAACTCATCCGCGAAATGCCGGTAACGCTGGCTCTGAACGACGCCGACAATTCCGAGGAACGCCCATAGAGCCAACGGGAATTTCGCCGCGATGCGCGGGGGAAGCCAGTCTGTGCGCGTGCAGACGAACTCTATCAGAACGTAAGCTAGACCGATGGTTCCTAGGTTTAGGACATTCCGCGCGATGCGCAGCAGCGGAGAGCCTTGGGAAGCGGAAGAAGCGGTCATCGTGGTGTAGGCGGAAGCGGGGAGCCTCGAGGAAGGAGCAGAAGCGGGGAGCCTCGAGGTGACAGGCAGAGAAGGAGCCAGATTGGAGAAGATCGTTCAGGTTCGAATTACGTCAACGAAAATCAGCCGAAGAAGATCGTTTGAGCAGCAGGAGGAGTTAACTGCCTGTCAGGTCGATCAGCCAACGTCCTATTTCTGAGGCCCCTCAATATTCGATCGAAATGCACGATAGCGCACGCAGCGTTGCAATCATGACAAACGCCTCCGAACCAAATACCCGCAAAATCATTTTCCGCCAACGGCTATAACGATGGATTGAAACTGTTTAACCAATTGCAGACCACGAAGATTTGGTGTGACTATCCACATGAAACTGAAGTGGACAAGGAAACCGAGGCTTCAGGCGAGCAGCGAAAGCTTGTGAACGACAGCCTGGGCTCGCCTCGCCTGAGCAGCCCAGTCTTAGATAAGTTGCTGAAACACGCAACACAACTTAGTCCCAGGGCGGACCTCTCAACTGTGTCTGTGACGGCTCAACTGTATCTCAACTAGAGGCTGCTGTGGCACAAAATCCGACTCAACACCCACTCCATTCATCTGGACCTTACTGAATTTCGTGCAACCCCAGTGCGATAGCGAGCGTGAGCTGTGAGCCTGATGATCATCTTTTGACATCCCTCGGGTGCCCCTTCGAGAACTCCACCTGGTGCCCCCCGTCAATTCTGTCCGATGACTGGCGGAGATATCAGAGTGGCGGGGATCTCGGAGATGCGAGAAAGTGAAAATAAAAATACAGGGCGACAAAGAATGCTAAGAATGTGAAAGATTTTTTCCAAATACTGACCTGAAATGGATGCGGGGGATTCCTCAAAACAACAAATATTGCACCGTCGAACTCAGGCCGCATTTCAGGCTGTTACGAACAAGCAGCTTCGTAACAAACGACTGATTTGCGACGTTTTGCGACTCTGGGCGATTTACGGCGACCCGAACCTCGTAACAACTTCTTGCTGAAAGTTGGCAGCTTCACAATCGCTGGCGAGGCGATCATGATTCCCTGGTCGTGCACCGTCTATCTGACAGCAGGCGACCGGTTTTTGTCACCCATTAAACGGTGAATTGTTTTGTCGGACTGTTCGAAGTCAAAAGGATGTTGTCTGGTGATGTTGTTTGCAATTGGGCGAGTCGTGACTGCACCTCATCTATATTCGTTTTGGGCAGCAACAACAAAAGTATGGCTCGTAAGGCCGTCAGTTCTGGGCCTGTTAGGCCTTCGCAGACAGAGAAGTGACGCGCCATTTTACTGGCTGCGACCAACCACTGTACACGTGCGAATTTCTCAATCAGTGCTGAACCTTGTTTGTTCGGAGGCATAAAATTCAACCTCATAACAAGTTGGGCCCTGTGCGACGACCAGCTTGTTCGGAAGTCAGTTGTTACGACGCCCGAAATGCAGCCTCATTCGGGCATCGCACGCTATCTTTAAAGCCCGAGGTCAGCATGGTAAATTTTCAAGTTATGTGGGGTTGAAACAGTCTGGCGAAAATAATGATATCGTGTATTTCGAAAATGGGTGTGGGGCGAAAGCGAATTCAGGAGGCGGGTAAAACAACCTTCGCCACGATACTATGCGACGGCTGTTTCCAAGGATATGGGAGGGCCGAACGACTCTGTGTGTGACAGAGCACTGCTCCAGCCCCACCACTGCTGCTGGCGCTTCTCTTGGGGTTGAAATGGTGGGCAACGCGAAACTCATGCGAGTGAGAGTAAGGCAGTACACTGAACACTATTTTTACAATTTCTAATTTACTAAAATGTCTGGATGCTTTTGAGACTTCACTTCAGAAAAAACACAAAATTTCAAGTGCTGAATAGGTGCAGAAAAGCATTGCAAGCAAATTGTGAATAAAAAAAATGAAACATCAATAAACGCATTACCAATACATTTCGGAAACGCACTCTCTCAAGCTCAGATCCCTCAACTCATAAGGATCTCGGCCGGCCACATATCGACATGCCGTGCTGGTCCCTGCAACACTCTGCAGTCCCCCGGCCCACAGCAGCGCAGACCTGATGGTTGCGTTCGTGGCCGTGAAACGTGTGATTTGCCGCGTTTTTTCCTGGCGTGGGATGGGCTGCTGTCAGGACGCGTTGAAAGTAGACGATCGATCGTGGGTGGCGATCGATGTGCGGATCTGTAACCCTATTTACTGTGCTGTAACCTTGCTACAGTATGGTTTTTGGCCAAAATTTGTGCACAGTGTGTGAATGCGACTCATCACTGATCACGGGAGATCAGTGGAGGCATCAAAGCGTCATTGATGCTCTCGAACCGAGCCTACCTGGCGCGATTGATTCTGATGCCTGCGACTTTCTGAAATTTCGCAGAGCCAGGAATCGCTGTCGCCCAAATTGTCCACATTTGGCGAAATCTGTAAACATCACATCGCCAGGGTGGTTGCCCTGTTGGCTGCGAGTGTCGCAGGTGGGTATGGACAACGTATGTGTTTTGGGTGCGAGTCGCTTGCAAGGCAGTAATCTCGGTCCTGGAACATCCACCACAATGTTTCGTTACAACGTATCGGTCTGCATGTTTCGCCAATCGATCTGCCCACTCGATTGTGGGGCTCGATTTATGCTCGCGATCCCGCGATATTTGCACTTTCAACGCGTCCTCAGAACCTCAAAAAGCATTCTGGATGTGTGGCCGAAATGAAAGGAGGTGATCCTGCAAATAGTGATCATCTGGCCAATGAGAACTTTCCTTGCTAAACAAAGGCCCTGATCGGTAGGGGAAAAGATCATACAGGGGCCGAACAGTGCCAGAGGGGTGATCAACCAGGGGCAGAGAGGCCCGGAAATTACCAAACCGCTTCACGAGGAGGGATTAACAGAGGGTCTTAATTTCTTGCACGTAATTATGTTACTAGTGGCATGTGCCGGCTCGCATTTTCGCTCGCGTGTCGTTTAGCGAACCGACTCTACCGGGAACTCTAGGGCAGCAAAATAAACTAAAACCTCGATGGAATTTTGGGATGGATCAACCCTAACAAAGGGGACCTTCCTGGTATTTAGGGATGATCCCTCCCGAGTCGCATCCGTTTCCGAATGGGTAATTTTTTTTTTCTAGTGGTTTCCGATCGGGTAGGTGATATGTATCACCCAGAAAATATATCATTTTGTTACGTAATCACGATTTGACACGCCGAATTCAAATCCAGAAGAAGGCGACGCGCGCGCTATAGTAGACGGCGGTCAAAACTCTCAATAAATAGTACGCACACGAAATTTGGTTTGTTTTAGCAATTTTCTTTGACTCATGGTTCGGCTCGATCGCCGAGTCGTTTGGTCAGCTCCGGCTTGAAATCCTACGGTCCAGATTTTTTGGCCCTACTTTGATCACCTCTCTGGCACTGTTCGGCCTCAATATGATCTTTTCCCGATCGGTAGCCCCTAAGCCGAGTAACTTCCGTGGTGTTGGCACTCGAACAAGGGCCCTGATCGGTAGCCCTTAAGCGGAGTAAGCTCCGGTCGCGTTGGCACACACGTGTGGGCACGTGTCGGTGGGTGCTTCCCTGCTCCTCCTGTAAGTTTCCCAACTCCGAGGGGTGATCGGCACGCCTTCGAAACTCCGCTTAGGGAAGTTGCGAGGGTCGTGAGCGCGATTTCCCTCAACGCACTGTTGCGTTCGGCCCAGACTGCCCCACTCGTGACCAAGAAAACGAATTCCTACAAAGGGATAACTTGGTCAAAAAATGACACCATCAAGAACCACTGGGAGTTGGGAAAATAGAAAGTTTTGAAGGTGATTGAAGGCTTTTCCGAAAAAACAAAAAAAAAAACTGCGGTTTTGTTGGGTTCACCCTTCGAGGCCTTACTCCGCTTAGCCCGAGGCCTATTCCGCCAAAATGCTGGAGTAAGCGGAGTTCCTCCGCGGAGCTAAGTTTGCCCGTAAACGAAACTTCCTGAAGGGCCACTTCGAGTCGTACTCCGAGTAGGGAGTTCAGCGATCGTTTGCTCATTTTGGCTTACTCGGAGTAAGCCACGTCGGAGTGAGTAAACTTCCGTCACACGTGCGAAGCGGAGTAAGTGAGCTCACACGAAGCTCACTTACTCCGCTTAGTGGGTGCTACCGATCAGGGCCAAGAGTACACCGACCCACACGTGTGGGCACGTGTCGGTGGGTGCTTCCCATCTCCTCCTGTAAGTTTCCCAACTCCGAGGGGTGATCGGCGCGCCCTCGAAACTCCGGGTAGGGAAGTTGCGAGGGTCGTCAGCGCAACCTCGTTCAAAACACTGTTGTGTTCTGCCCATACTGCCCCACTCGTCACCAAGAAAATAAATTCTCACAAAAGGGTAACTGGTCCACAAAAAGACACCAATAGGAAGACTTGAAGGTGTTTGAGGAGGTTAACGCTGGCAAAAAGAAAACAAAATATGCGGTTTTGTTGGGTGCACCCTACCAGGCCTTACTCCGAGTAAGCGAGGCTTACTCTCCCAAAATGCTGGAGAAGGCGGAGTTCCTCCGCGGAGCTAAGGACGTGTCTCACTTCGGCTGGTACGCGGGTCCGCCCGTTCCTGGTCCGACGTTGAAATTCGTCACCCTGAAATGCCCCGGACTGGTCCGCTGGACCAGTGTGGACCAGCCTAGCGAACCAGCTTCGGACTCATTGTTGTTGGGTCCGCAGATGCAATCAACAGTAGCGTGTAGGCGAGCGTAACTGTACCTTTTCTTAAAAAACAGGGTTACCATCACGCAGGACTGTACAGAACACTTGCTCAACTGTACCATGACGCGCGTGGGCGTCACCCGTTGACTGTCATTGAAAGGGCGGCGCGCGTGCCCCCATTTGTTTGGTGTCGCACGCGCGTCGCCAAACTCCTGGTGCACCTACCGCGATACCCAAGCAACGGCGGCGTTCACTTGAACCGCGCCCCGCGACTCGTGAGCATCCCACCAACCCAACAACCATCTCGGCAACTCGTTGTGAGCCACCAGAGCTCACGAACCATCCCGCCTATAACAACACACTCCCCTCACGGTATACTTGGCTAGTTTGCATTGCATACTCTCCAAGTCCATTATGGATGATAGGACATGGCTGCTGCAGCTTTCCATTTTATTCCATGGGTTCCTCACCACGCTTATTGCACCTATGCTGCTAAGTCTTGTTCACCATCTCCCAACCGTCGTGATAGCAACAGCGAATGTTATCGCCCATCATCATTTGTTAGCTGATCGACGGTGTTTACGAATTAGATGGTTTTGCCTCATCTACCAGCTACCAAAAACATGGTTTGTGGACCACTTTTGTATGGACAGACATGTCTTCTTCTACATCGTCAAAGAGTACCAACGCCACAAGCCAAGAATCAGCGGCCTCCCACATGACATCCGAGCTGCCATTGGTGTAACTCGGCTTGCTCATGGTTGGAGTTTCCGCAATCTTGCACTCCACTTTGGTGTGAGCCTTGAACAGGCCCGGCGACTATGTTACGACTTCAGCTCATTTGTCATGCGCGTCTTAACTCCTGCGTGGGTACAATGGCCTGACGTCGACCATCTGGCCAGCATGGCATCACAGTTTCACTGGCATAGTGGCATACCTGGCATCGCTGGATCCGTTGACGGCACATACATTCGTTGCCGAGGCTTCGGTGTGCATCGGGATGACTTCAAGAATCGGCATGGCCTTTTCTCTATCATCCTACAGCTCTGCGTTGATAGTTTCGGCATGGTGTGGGACTTCTATGCGGGCTGGCCAGGGTCTGTGAACGACGCAAGAGTTTGGGAGAACTCCCCTGCCAAGCGTCGGATTGAGCGCGGTGACTTACATGAGTATTGCTTGGTCGGGGATGCAGCATACGACCTTAGACCATACACCTTTCCCCCTTATAGAGCATCTGCAAGCGGCATAGTTCAAGGAGATCAAGCTGTATGGAACAAGCAACAGTCTCGGGCACGTATGGTGGTGGAACAAGTGAACGGAAGATTGAAAGCCAAGTGGCGAATCTTGGACCGTAGAATGGAATGCAAACTGGACATTGTCATGACTACGGTTGCCACCTGCATCACCCTCCATAACATTGAGCTAGCCATGGGGAATCGGCACCGACTCGGCCCACCACGTCCAAGGAACCGATGGTGGCTACTCCCGCCAGTTGGTGGGCTGCCACACTATCCATCTACCCATCCGGGTTTCTCTCCCTCTCTAAGGCGGGATCGTCTGACGTCCCACCTCTACGTCGGGTGGCGGCTTGCTCACCCCGGCGAGCGTGCTCCAACTCTCGGGTAAGCCTCTCGAACCTGTCACATCCAAGATTTACTGCACCCTGCACCACTTCCTGCATTCGTGCACCGAGAATGTTTGTGATATTCTCCTCCGGAGTCACGAAACCTTGGGAGCGCGTTTCCATGCCTCCACTCCCCTCCCCACCCTGGCCAGGCGACGACCTCGACCCGCGCAGGCCACGCGGACGGCGCCTCGAACTCGCCGCAGGACTGGCCTGCCCTGAAAGCTGTCCCTCACTCTCCATTGCTAGCATGGGGGACGACTGTGCTGCGCCTGCACATGGTTGGAACATGCTTAGAGAGGGATTATGAGTCTGAATTTTGTCATCCAAGCTATCAACAGAGAGTAACAATATTGATGCATAACGCAGTCACGAGTATGTAATGGACACACCGAAAGCCCATATAAGTCCATGACTATCTTTCTGCCCATCGCTCATAGACCCAGTTGGTAACGCACCTGATGAGACCTGGCGCACGCCTAGGACCCCCATCGGTGGTATGTACGGCGCCATGGTGTAATCGTGACGCGCCTCCTGAAAAGTCTCCTGCACATGGTGAACATTGGGCTCAGGGGAAACCAGACGAATGCGACTGCGTGGAGGGCTGCCACCGGACGGCCGAACACCGGAGTTGTGTGCCCCCATATCCACGCTTGGGGCCGGCTCCGCCTGCTGCGTGCTACCGAGCGGGTTCGGGTTGCGGGACGTGCTGCCTGCCATGCGTGCTGTGCCACCCCAGGCGGTACTGAAAGAGTTGCTTGCCCCCATATCCACGCTAGGGGCCCGCTCCGCCTGCTGTGTGCTACCGAGCGGGTTCGGGTTGCGGGACGTGCTGCCTGCCATGCGTGCTGTGCCACCCCAGGCGGTACTGACAGAGTTGCCTGCCCCCATATCCACGCTAGGGGCCCGCTCCGCCTGCTGCGTGCTACCGAGCGGGTTCGGGTTGCGGGACGTGCTGCCTGCCATGCGTGCTGTGCCACCCCAGGCGGTACTGGCAGAGTTGCCTCGCCTACGGTTCGATGTTGCTGAATTGGCCGTGGTGATGCTTCGGCCTCCAACGTGCGTGAAAGGTCGATTCGGGGCTGCCAGGGACAAGTCAACACGGAACACTTAGCCGGTCACATAATCAACTGCATAGGCGTTTAGGGTTCATGGCTGCGTATAGGTAAAGTACCCCTCACCTTCTTGCGCGCAGGAATTCGCAGGGGGTGTCATCTCAGAGCTCGACACGGTGTACGTGGGTCTCGACGACTCACGCATGCGCATAAATGCGTCAACAGTGTCAAACCATGGCGGCGGAGTTGCCACAGATCCAGAACCAGAAGGATTGAGCCGGCCATCGCGGATGCGCCTCCACCGATCAATCATGCGGGCTAGCTTCGCCTTCACAGCTCCGCGTTCGTGGCGAAACGCAGGGCACCGCCTACGACATTCATTGACAATCAAGGCATTGTAGTTATAGCCCTGCACTGCTCGAACGCCCCTGATTATCCCGTCCATATCATATCGCACCTCAGCAACCAGCATCTCCTCGTACGGGGTCCAGAGATTCATCGTCGCCGAATCTGTCGTACTTGGGACCATATTGCTTGGTGGTGCTGCGGGATGCTCTTCCAACACAGGTTCAGAGTCGTCCACCTGAGGGGCGTCTGCCGGCTCCATCGGGTCGAGAGCATCCCATGGGCCGAAAGGTGCACCAACAGGAGGGAGGCGTCCCTGCAGCTCATCCAAATCGATGATCTCAGTCGGAGGGCGGTTGGAGGGGACTCGCTGGTTGACATGTGCTCGGGCGGGGTTACTGATCACTCCCATCACGATGCCAGCGCCAGCTGCGCGGGTCAGAAGGCGCTGTTGACGAACATGCTGGCCAGACTCGGCTGTTGCTCCCTCACCCCTTTCGACACGAGGAAGAGTTTCCGAAGCCTGGGTGTCGAGCATCACCGTCTGCAGTTGGCCACCGCTCTCCACAGGTGTAGGCGGACGCGCAACGCCATTGCCCGTCGATTCCGAAACAGAGTCCATAATGGACAGAGGCTTGAACTAGATGTGGAGACTGCGAAGAGACGTGACCTCAAGGTGCTGGACAAGGTGACAAGTGAAAATGCCCTATACGCTCGGATTTTTTGTACGTGGACCATAGGGTTGAGCCTAAATGCGCTGCTAGGCCATTCACATCGTCGTGTCGCGGCTAGCCATGGAGAATTGTCGCAACGAGCCCCAAACCGTGGGCAGCCGAAGTCACGAGCATGTTCAGGCTTCGGCGCCTCGACATACGATGCGCCTACATACTAAGAATCGTGGTGCATAGTCCGCTTTGGAATGGTGGCGAAACGAGTCTCGTGCAACCTTGTGCAGCACAGCGGCTCGATATCCTGGGGAGCGCTGGTCCACCTGAGGCGTAATGGCTCTGCTGCAGTGATTCTGTGATGCACCAGCGGCTCGATATCTACGTTCTCGAACATGCCGTTAGTCAAAACTCACATCAAGCAAGCTAAGGAAAGCGACACGGGTTAAACCTCTGGTTCAGCCGTTTCGTGTGTGATAATAGGAGATGCAGATGCCTGGGGTAAGCTCAGTGGACAGCTCAACGTTCTCCAACGGGCTGTGGGTCGTGGCGCTCCTGGTCGTGTGATTCTACTAGTAATAGTATTACTACGATCGTGCTTACAACGCTGGAAAGTCGAAGCGCGAGGGCGTGTGAGCTGCGCCATGAGGTCTTTGTGGGACGTTGTCATTGCTGGGGTGCAGTGTATGTTTAATGTTCGATTTGGCGTTAATATGCAAAGAAAGCGCAGCTCGATTGTGGAACGAAAATGGGCAACGGCCGCCATGGTTGGAATGAACGCTATGGCGTCGACTTAACAGAGGCTAGTGTTTCTATCGGTGCCGTTCCTAGCAGATGGCAGGGCTACCTTTGTTGATCGGCGGTACAATTGAACTACATTTTTTACGTTGTTGCACATCTTAGGTGTGCTGGCACCTCTGGTCAGTCATAAGGCTTGCTGGAACATCACAAGCGCATGAATATTTGAGCAGACGTTTCGTTATCTCTGACGCTCACAGCTGGAGTAAGACAGCTGGTGTCACTCTGATGGGTTGCAACGGGCGTTGCACGAGTCTGCTGCGCGAACAGGAAGGGATGGGCAGCACCAAACTCAATGGACGTGCAAAGTGTGCCGACGGGAAGGACGCACGAATGCCTCCCGTCGTGGTGCGTCGTGGCCAAAATGCACGCGTGTTGATTTCGCACATGCGGTGCGGTTCTGAGGTTTCAATGTTGGCGATTCCATAGGTGCAGGGAATAGGCTTGTCGTCACCTCTCACACCAGTCATTGCCCAGTCCGCTAGCGCGCTGCCAAGCTTTGCGACACTCGCGAGGCAAGCTCGCAAGTGTTCGCAAAGAACATCACTATTCAGGGGTCCGATATGGACTGGTTCGCCGAGCCAGACAAGTCTCCCCGGTATGGTCACATTCGCCCATTAAAACGGGGGTGCTTCCTTCGAACACCTCTGGTCCGCTGCAGCGCACCATCTGGGTCCACACTCAGGTCCACCCTGGTTTGGTGGACTGGCTCACATCGACCGCATAGAACCAGGGTGGACCGAGGGTTTTGAGACACCCTCTAAGTTTGCCCGTGAACGAAACTTCCTGAAGGGCCACTTCGAGTCGTACTCCGATAGGTAGTTCAGCGATCGTTTGCTCATTTTGGCTTACTCGGAGTAAGCCACGTCGGAGTGAGTAAACTTCCGCCACACGTGCGAAGCGGGAGTGAGTGAACTACCTCGAAGCTATATCATACCTCGACTGTGCACACTGGGCTTGACTTTCGGGTGTGAGGTCTGTTTACGACCATAATTGTAACACCAGAAATGCATCTTGTAACTATGGAAACTGCAGCATACATGCCGTTACACATTATTTTAGCACATAGTTAAGCTGGTACAAAAAATGTAACGACCAATTACCAATGCAGAAATGAACTAAACAAAATGTTCAACAATGTCCCTTATTTTCGCCACTTCAAGAAGCCTCCGCCTTCGTCCGCCATATTGAAGGCCGTCAAAACCACCACAAACATCAATAGAATCATCCCAATACCAAACGGCAACAGAAATCTGTTCCTCTGCGCATCCCTCACAGCTTTAGTGCCAGCAATCGTCCCCTTGACACTGCCGGAAACAACCCCTTCCGCTTCATCCACAGAATCTCCCACAGCCTCCCTCACACCACTCAAATCCCCATCCTTCAGCGCTTTCATAAGCGCCGCTTCCCGCTCGCTAAGCGCCGCCCCAAAAGCCTCCCTCCTTGTGGGCGGGGGCGGCGGGCACGACCAGAGAAACCTGGTGGTGCGCCACAGCAGCGGCGCGAGATACAGAGCGATAACCACATCGACCGAATAATGCTGCCGCTCCCGAACCTCCCTCTGCGCAGAGTGAAACACAAGGCCCCATACCATGGCGGAAGCCCAGCCGGGGAACGCCTCCTGCCAGGCGCAAGCAGTGAGGGATGCAACAATCATGTGAGATGACCATAGGCGAGATCGTTGCAGCCAGCCATCATAGGGGCGGATGACCTTTGAAGCGTTTCAAAAGACAAAACGCACCTGCCAGGCGCAGGCAGTGAGTGCAGCGACGATAATGTGCCCGCTGAAGGCGAGGTCGTTGCAGCCGCCGTAGGGGCGGATGACGAAGCTGCTGAAGGCGCCAGAGGAAGCGGCGGCGCCGTGGTGAGCGCGGGCGTCCATGGGACGAAGGAAGTCCACCAGGAACTGGAAAGCGCCCCAGTCAGGTTGATACTCAGGTGGGTAGTGCACCTGGGGGGCTGGGGAAGGGTAGAAAACGAGAGTAGAAACAAGAGAAGAAGAAGGTAACAGGAGGTAGGTGAGTCCATGGGGCTGGGGAAGTCCACCAGGAACAGGAAAGCGCCCCAGTCAGGTTGATATTCAGGTGGGTAGTGCACCTGGGGGCCTGGGGGATGGCACGAGAAGAGGGTGCAGTGGGAAAAGGGATGGAGGTTGGTGCGTGGGGTGATTGCGTTCTGCAAATTCCCAGGATTCGTGAAAGACAATAGGAGTGAACCATACATTGAAAGCGGCAAGGCAGGGACTCACCAAAGGCGACGTCAGTGGAGATGACTTGGTGAAGCAGGTCGTGGTTTGTGGCATAAGGCACAAAGTACTTCGGAGCCCAGGGGTGTGTGCGGGTGCTACTGAAGGTTACCTATCAGCCCAGTGGTGGTGTGTGGGTCAATCTGGTGCGGGTAAATCTGGTGTGGGTAATTCTGGTGCGGGTGATTCTGGTGCAGGTATTTCTAAAGGCCCCTCAACACATCCACTTACCAAATGCCACGTCAGTGGAGATAACCTGGCAAAGCAGATCGTGATTCCTGGCGTACGGCACAATGTACTTCTGAGCCCAGGGGGTGCGGATGCTTCTCTAATGCTTCTCTGATAATACCAAATGCTTAGGAACTCACCAAATGCGACGTCAGTGGAGATGACTTGGTGTAGCATGTCGTGGTCCGTGGCATACGGCACAAAATACTTCTGAGCCCAGGGGTGCGGGTGCCTCGGACTCGTGCTCCCGAACCGAACCACGGCGCACCACGGCCGAACCGCCGGGAGGATCGTCGAAGCAAAGGTTAGGAACCGGAGCAAGCGGCTGAGCCCAATGGTGAAGCAGTAGCGCGCGCCGAGGCCGATCCCCGAAGGGGGGATGCAGTTGAAGAGGACGGAGAAGGCGAGCAGCATGAAGAGCATGAGGAAATCGTGCATTTCGACTAGGCGGGCGCGGAGGAGCGCGGTGAGGGGCGCGGGGAGGTGGTCGTTGAGAGCGAGGAGGAGCCACTGGCCGGTGTCGGGGAGAGGGGGGGTGGCACTGTATGGGGAGGGAGGAGGCGGGGGGGAGGGGAAGAGAGAGGGGACGGGGCACGGGGAGTAGGAAGGTGGTTGCTGAGGGCGAGGAGGAGCCACTGGCCCGTGTCGGGTAGAGGAGGGGTGCCACTGTATGGGGAGGGAGGGATGAATGGGGGAAGGGGGGAAGGGAGGGGCGAGGGGCGCAGGGAGGTGGTTGTTGAGGGCGAGGAGGAGCCACTGGCCGGTGTCAGGAGAGGAGGGGTGCCACTGGGGGAAGGGTGGGGGGGTGGGGGAGAGGAGGGGGACGGGGGAAGGAATAGGTGGTGAGGGGCGCGGGGAGGGGTGCGGGGAGGTGGCTGTTGAGGGCGAGGAGGAGCCACTGGCCGGTGTCGGGGAGAGGGGGGGTGTCACTGGGGGAAGCGGGGAAGGAATGGAAGTACGGGCACGGAAGTAGGAGAGGAGGAAACTGGAGTGTGGGTGGGGGAAGATGGGGAGCAGAGAGGAGGTGCGCGGAGCACTGACAACCGTGGTGAACATGAGGGGGGAACTGGGAGAGGTTCGGAGGGGGAATGCCGGAGGGTCGGGGGGGGATCGGGGGATGGGGGGATAATGGCCAACACGGCAGCAAGACGAGTCGTTCTATAATGTGCGGGACCCTACATTGTATTGTAACGGATTCACCTAATAGCGAGGATACGTACTTGTGCCAGTCAATGCCGACCACTACTGTAACGAACTGCACCAGAACGACTTCTATGGCGAACATCGCCACCATGAAAAGCACACTCGCGAAGAACTTGGGAGCCGCGCGAAATTCTTCCGCGAAATGGCGAAAACGCGGAGCCTCGAAAAGCGCGAGGATCGCCAAAACGCCCCACAGACCGGGCTGTAGCTGCGACGCGAGACTTTGCGGAAGCCAGTTGGTTCGGCCTCTCACGAATTCCATCGCCACGTAAGCTAATCCGACGGTCCCAAGGCCCAGGATCCCCCGCCCGCCAGTGGATCGCCGTTGATCCACTACGGGAGCCATAGCTCCCCGTGAACCTCAAACCAGGAGTATTCTGTGGTAATGTCGGGGACTTTCGAGCTGACTGTATGGAGGGATGGCAAAAAGCGTCAGAGATAATACTGAAACAAAATCACGTAGGAACCAGTGTGCTTGCTGGAAGGGACTTGAGAAATCGAGGTATTCACTGCTTGGTTGGCGAAGGCTGAAGTGATGGATTTCGAGTGGGGACGCTTTCGCATTCGAGGTCGCCAATTTTTCGTCTGGGCGGCAGACAGTCAGAGCTGGGTGGTCAGTCGCCACCTTGATCTTGAGCGCGAGAAATAGCGGTTACCAGGGTCGGTAATGCAACATACGAACTTTTGAATAACTCTCGTGTATAGTCATTCTCATTTCAACTATTAAAGGGGTACTCATAACAATTATGGAGCAGTGAAAGTGAGTGACTACATGGGAGCCTTGTGAAGCTTGTCACTGGTTGTCCTGTTTCACTGGAAAGGTCGATCCACGTGCCGCATCGAGGTAAGGCCACATAACCACAACCGTCACCATCCGTGCTCTATCTTGAAAGTTAAGCTTCGAACCATAACGAGGATATTCGCACACTTGTCTACTGCTTTGTATAACGTCTCCTTCCTTGCCGACTTGTGGAATTTCGGACAATTTTCTTTCAACTGCGTGAGCTCAGGAATCCTATTATTGTCAGCAAGAACTTACCTGTCAGCTCAGCATAATCACCAGACCAGACTCTTAGAACTCAGAGCTAAGCAGCGCGAGGATAATACAGAGTCGGTTTTCGCATCCACAGTCATGAGCTCTCTCGCCGTTTGTCAACCGTCAGCCGCGTCGCTGCACGCTTCGCCATGGAATGCTAGTTCTCCTCGTGCATTTTCTCATCAAGAACTTTCTGGACTAGCCTGCACAGGCAGAAACTCAAGCAAGTCGAATGCGTTAACGTCTAGAGCTCCTTCGTCTCGTTCTGCCGAATACCGTGTTGCTGACGTGTCTCGCTGTCGGTCCAATCGCGTGATTACACGTGCTGCAGCGTCCTCATCTTCTTCCTCGCCCTCCGTGTCCGCCGCTGATGTTTCTGCACCTATTACTCTCACGTACCTCGAAGTAAGTTTTCCGGCCTCCTCTTTCCAGCAACTTTACCTGAAAAACGGTATTGAGAAACAACCAAGAGAACGAGCTACTTATTTCCCACACTTATTGGCAGCGATCGACGATGGCTGGTGGATGGTGTAAAATTGGTAGTCGGCCATATCATTGGGGTTACGGATGCCATTAACGAGTAGCCTCATATCGGGTTAAGTCTCTCCTTTCTCCTCGTCCAACCTCGTATCAATCTCGCATCAACCTGACAGGGCAACAGCTGGCTGTGGCCCAGTGGACGGTTTGAAAGTGCTCGGGTACGAATGCCATTAATGAGTTATCTTATATTGGGGTTAATCTCCCCTTTCTCCTCGCATCAACCTGGCAGGGCAACAGCTGGCTGTGGTCGGTCGACGGCGTAAATCATCTAGAGTACGAATGCCAGTAACGAGCAACCTTGAATTGGGGTTAACGTGTCCTTTATTCTCTTATCAACCTGGCAGGGCAACAGCTGGCTGTGGTCCGTGGACGGAGTGAAAGTGCTCGTCGATCCAATCATCGAGGGTCCTCTAGATTTCGGTATCCCGTGGCTCTATACGGGGTACAAAAAAGTGCTCAAGTCGCTCTCGGTAAGGAATGCCGTTTTTCTATTTCAATTCATTCTCGGTATCCCATGGCTCTACAACGGGTACCAGAGCTCCCATGGTATTTTCTACGTATGAAATACCGTATTTCATCAATTACGTCCAGATTATTGAACTCCCCCACACCACTCCCCTCCCTCACGCTCCCCATCCCCCCCTCCCCCCTCTCCACACCAAACCATCCTCCTTCTACCCTCAGCTTGATGACGTCATCGATGCTGACGTGGTGCTCATTACCCAATCACTGGACGACCACATGCACGTGAGGACGCTCAAGGCCCTGGCAGCCAGACGGCCGGATGTCCCTGTGATCGCCACTCCCAACGGACAGGCGTTTTTGGACTCCCTCTTCTCCAATGTGAGTGTGTGATTGCATGGGGGTTGATGTGAATTGTGTGTGATGGGGGATTGGCGTGAATCACATGCACGCGAAGACGCTCAAGGCTCTCACAGCCAGACGGCCGGACGTCCCTGTGATCGCCACTCCCAACGGAAAAGCGTTCCTGGATTCCCTGTTCTCCAATGTCAGTGTGCGAGTGAGAGAAAGGAATCCGGTCAGAATGGTACATGTCCTCAGATGTTTAGAAAGTACTGAGTTGACCTTTTGAGAGAATTCTGAGAGTGTTTTCTCGCTTACAGAATGGACACTCATTTTTTCAACTTCTGCACTCTTATATGAATGTGACGGAAAAATAACAGCAAGAGGAAATCACATGTTTACATGTTGTAGTCTGGGCATTCCTGCCATTTCACACACCCCTCGCTCCCCACATGTCCTCCCAGGTGACATACCTAGAGCCCGGCTCATCCACCTCCTTTTCTTCATCCAAAGGAGCTAGGTTGTCTGTCAAGGCCGTGCCTGGGCCTGTTCTGGGTCCACCCTGGCAGCGACCAGAGAACGGGTGAGTGGGGAGGAGGCTTCTTATGATAAATTATTGAGATCCTGATACTTTCAAGGGAGCCGGGCTTGCCATTCGAGGCCGTGCTTGGCTATGTGCTGGAACCACTTGGGTAGTGGCCTGGGGCCAGCCAAAGAACGGGTGAGTGGCTGAGGTGTAAGTAAGCAACATTTACCACGCGTATTTTCAAAGACAACGTACAAGCCATGCCTATGTGCCTCTGCCTCTCTTTTTGCTTTGAAATTGATGTTCCACTGTTCAATGCTCTCTGCTCTATGCCGTGTGAAATTGCTCCACCCAACTCCCCTTTTCTTCAACTCCCCATTCCTGTGCCTTGTGCTTCTGCCTCAGGTACATTGTTCGAGGGGGAGCGTCAGGTGCCTCTATTTATATCGAGCCACATTGTGTGTTTAACGAGGCAGCTCTTAAGGAGGGTGGCGAACGAGTGGATGTGCTGGTGACACCGGTGGTGAAACAGGAGTTACCGGCTTTCACCCTCGTGTCAGGGCAGGAGGATGCTGTGAGGCTGGCTCAGGTAGTGGGCGCTAGGTAAGCAACGTGCCGGGCTATGTGATTTAATGCACTTTTTTTTTACATTTGATTGAGTTTACTAATAGTTTGTGCACTGATCGCATTGGCCTGACCCAGTATTGGCTGTATGCATGGTTGTTATTGCGATGTGCAGATACGTGGCGCCTATGGCTAATGCTGACGTGGACGCGTCTGGGATTTTGAGTGCTCTTGTAACTCCTATTGGCACACTCGATTCATTCAAGGTACGCCCCATTCTTTTTCTGAGCCACTTGTTAAGGGCTCAAACGAAACACCGCCTTCTCATTACTGTAACCCCAAATTGTTATGTTTTGCAGGAAATTCTTCAATCGAAGGATGGAGTCAATGTGGAGGTTTTGCAGATTGTACCTGGCCAGGCTGTATCTGTTACGGTGTAGATCTTCTATATTCGCTGTGTTGAGAAACAAATGTTCTGCTCCTGAACGGGCCCAGTTTGATTCTGAAGCTTGTATATTGCCCAGTTGCAGACATTTTGTAACCGGAAGTGCTCCAAATGAAGGGACCGTGTCCCCGCAATGCGACAGTGGGCCGCCACGTCGCCCATCCTAGTTGAAGCAAAAAGTAGGTGTGCTGATCATACATACCTGCACCGAAGACATCTCTGCCGCACCACTTTGAAATCTTTATGCAACGTTCTATACCGATCTGTGACAAACCTCTCCTAAAGCCGTGTCAAATCGCGATCAGTGTTGGGTTCAAATCAGGGCGATACGAAATCCTGGCCGTTTATACACGTGGTGAGAGTTTTCTAGGTTTGGCGGGAACGGTTCCGTTTCTGGAGAAGCGTGGACAACACCCAGCCACACGCAAAACTCAGGGAATGTCTGGTTATTGTCAGATCGCTTACTAACACTGACGTCACGCGTGTTCTGAAAGCTACCAAAAACTAATCGTTACCTCTTAATCTTTTGCTACTCTTGCTGAGTGAAATGGTATGAACGGGTGGCTAGGTCTTGTGAGAGGCAAATAGAAGGCCCGCCAGAGGCTTGAAATTCTCTCAGTAGCTTCCAGTCGGCGACTAGCTCACAGAAGGCGGCGTCAATCTAAACAGAAGCCGTTGGTGCACGATGCCAGGCACGCGGCGGAGGGAGCGCAGCGACAACCTCTTGCAGCGCTTGCAGCACCGCGAGACGTTCCGCTCGCCGCCGTGCGCGCAGGCGAGTTTCGAGTGCAGCCGTTTCGCAGGTTCCCAGTTTCGTAGGTCCCAGTCTCTGGTATCACTGGTCTCTTGCAGCACCGCGAGACGTTCCGCTCGCCGCCTTGCGCGCAGGCGAGTTTCGTTTCGCAATCAACCGCTTGTTCTGCAGCTTCGCATCTTCGTAATGCGCAATTTCGCAGCTTCGCACTTAGCAGTCTAGTAATCTCGCAGTTCTCCAGGTTCACGAGTTTCGCATTAGTGCAGCCGGGTCGCATGTGATTGCAGCATCAAGAGATGCTCCGCTCTTGCTTCACTGCTCGCAGGCGGGATACCTTCGTTCTCTTCGTCTTTCTCGTCTTTCTCAACCTCTCTTTCACCTGTTCTTTCTCTCCCTCTCCCATCCTCAGCTTCTCTCTCTCCTCTCATATCCCTCCCCCAACCTCCCCTCCCCCCAACCCTCCCCTCCCTTCCCTCCCCCCTCGTTCCCCCCCCCATTCCACTAAATTATTCCTGTCAACCCGTCAATCTGGTTTCTCACCCTTTGAGTGTGTTTCCCTAGGCTGCATGTTCCAAAACTCCATTTTGAGCTTGAGAAGTCTCGTATTCCCCCTTTTTGCTGTCTCCTTTCGCCCTCCACAACTCTCCTCCATTCATGGCTCGTCGTACCATCCTCATGTGTTTTGCGTTGACTGGAAACACGCCTTTCCTTTTCTCCCTCCTCCCTTCTCCATTCTTCTTCCTCCCTTCTCCCTCCTCCCTCCGCCCTCCCCCCTTCTCCCGTCTCCCTTCTCCCGTCTCCCTTCTCCCCGTCTCGCTTCTCCCCGTCTCCCTTCTCCCGTTTCTCCTGCTTGACTCCGTCCGCTTTGCTCTGAATTCTTCTTCAGGTACACTTGGAGTTTCGAGCTTCATTTTCCTTTCTTCCTTCTCCCTCCTCCCTTCTCCGGTCGCCCTTCCCATATCCCTTTTCCCGTCTCCTGTTTTAACGTGACGTTGTAACGCTGTAACCCTCCTGCAGCTACACTCGGTGCGCCGCTTATACGAGAACATCATGCCGTCCCATACGGTGTACAACACTAAGCTCACCTATGCATTCTCAGTGCACCTTAAAATTATATTTTTACCCATGTGCTGTGCGTGCAACCCTGTAACATTTTCAACCCTCGTGCAGCTACACTCCGTGCGCCGCTTATACGAGAACATCGTGCCGTCCCATACAGTGTACGACGTCGAGTCACCGGAGCACGTGATTCGCCGGTTCAGCCACGATGGGCAGTACCTCATCTGCTTCTCGCGCAACGGCCTTGAGCTCATTGTGTACCGCTTCCACTGGTTCAAGTGAGTGACTCTGGTTCAAGTGAGTGACTCTGGTTCAAGTGAGTGACTCTGGTTCAAGTGAGTGACTCTGGTTCAAGTGAGTGACTCTGGTTCAAGTGAGTGACTCTGGTTCAAGTGAGTGACTCTGGTTCAAGTGAGTGACTCTGGTTCAAGTGAGTGACTCTGGTTCAAGTGAGTGACTCTGGTTCAAGTGAGTGACTCTGGTTCAAGTGAGTGACTCTGGTTCAAGTGAGTGACTCTGGTTCAAGTGAGTGACTCTGGTTCAAGTGAGTGACTCTGGTTCAAGTGAGTCCCCCAGCAGCTCTGGTTCCTGGATGAGCTGGGTCCGCAGTGCAAGCGTGCTGCCACGATGGGCAGTACCTCATCTGCTTCTCCCGGAATGGCCTTGAGCTCATCGTCTACCGCTTCCACTGGTTCAAGTGAGTCCCGGATCAGTAATGGTCTCTGGATGAGCTGAGTACAGAGTGCAATGTTCAACCAGGATAGGCAGCAGTACCTCATCTGCTTCTCATCTCCCACAACGGCCTTGAGCTCATCGTCTACCGCTTCAACTGGTTCAAGTGAGTGGCTTTTGTCTGTCATTGTGGACGTTGGGAGAGTGCAGCATGCAACGTGCCTGCCAGTTCAGCACTGGTTAGCAGGTTCAACCACAGTGGGGAGTGGGCAGTACCTCATCTGCTTCTCCCGCAACGGCCTTGAGCTCATCGTGTACCGCTTCCACTGGTTCAGGTGAGTGACTTTCGTTCCAGTGAGTCTCAAAGCAGGTGTGGTCCTTCCCTGGGTGAGCTCAGTACATAGTGTAATAGCTCAGCCACGATGGGCAGTACCTCATCTGCTTCTCCCGCAACGGCCTTGAGCTCATCGTCTACCGCTTCCACTGGTTCAAGTGAGTGAGTCTCAACTTATAACAGGCAGGGAAGGACCACTACCTCTTTTCACCTCGCCTCTGCTCTCCCCCTTGTCCTAACTGTTCCCCTCTTTCCCCTCCGCGGCCCTCCTACCCTGCTGCTCTCCCTCCCCCCCACCCAGCTATGGCGCGCAGGGGGCAGTGGGAGTCGCGGAGGCAGAAGAGGACGATCATCTACCTCCTCCCTCCAGGAAGTTTCCGAGCTACTTTGAGCAGCTGTACTGCGCGCCACTGGGGAGGGGCAGCGAGGTGCTGTGCAAGGACCTCTTCCTCTGCTGCCAGGGGAGTGCCCTGGGCGTGTTTGCATCAGCTACTCCTGCGGATTTGGCGTCTCCTCCTAGGGTGGGCGCTGTGAAAGGGGTGCCTGCTATGGAAAGCATCACTCTACACCTCGTCAGGTGCGTTCACTCAGAACTCAGGTGTAGAGATTGTTGTTGAGGTGCTGTGCAAGGACCTCTTCCTCTGCTGCCAGGGCAGCGCCCTGGGCGTGTTTGCCTCGGCTACTCCTGCGGATTTAGCCTCTCCTCCTAGAGTGGGGGCAAGGGGTGCCTGCTATGGAAAGCATCACTCTACACCTCGTCAGGTGAGGTCCAAAGGTTATTCTTGAGTTGACTGGGGAATCGGGTTGACCGTTGAGGTGCTGTGCAAGGACCTCTTCTCTTCCTCTGTTTTGAGGCGCCTCAAAACAAGGACCTCTTCCTCTGCTGCCAGGGCAGCGCCCTGGGCGTGTTTGCCTCGGCTACTCTCGCGGATCTGGCATCTCCTCCCAGAGTGGGGGCTGTGCAAGGAACTCTTCCTCTGTGCTGCTGCCAGGGGAGCACTCTGGGCGTGTTTGCCTCGGCTACTCCTGCTGACCTGGCGTCACCCCCTAGAGTTGGGGCCAGTTAAAGGGGGGCCTGCTATGGAAAGCATCACTCTGCATCTTGTGAGGTGAGCGGGTGGAAGTGCCTTGGGCTGTGGGCACTGTGTGAAGCAACAGAGGGTGAGTTGAGTGGGATAAAAGGTTGAGGTGCTTTGCTGTGCTGTGCAAAGACCTCTTCCTCTGCTGCCAAGGGAGCACCCTGGGTGTGTTTGCATCGGCTACTCCTGCTGACCTGGCTTCACCGCCTAGGGTGGGGGCTGTCAAGGGGGTTCCTGCCATGGAAAGCATCACACTGCACCCCAGGCTGGGTGTTTCGAGACGCCTACATCAATTAACCTCACTCATTGCTCCCCTTCACCTGTCATAACCCCCCGCTCCCCGCCGCCTCCCCCCTTACCCTGCCTCTGTTTCTTTCCCAGGCTGTGGCATGGCAAGGTGGTGGACAGGAGGGTGTTTCGATGCGACTATCTCAACCTCCCCCCTGCTCCTCCCTCACTTATGAACCCCCCTCATCCATCGCTTCTCCCCTCCTCTTCCTCTACTCGCCAGGTTGTGCAATGGCAAGGTGGTGGACAGGAGGGCGTTTCGAGCTGACTACATCAACCAACCTCACCCACAACTGAGGGAGAAAAGGAGCAAAGCACGCCTTCCCCATTCCTCCTTGTTCCTCTACCTCTCTCCTCTCCCTCTCCTCCCCCCTGCTGGCTCACCAGGCTGTGTGATGGCAAGGTGGTGGACAGGCGTGTGTTTCGAGACGACTACATCAACCTCACCCACAACGGAGGGGCGTTTCTGTATGATGACCTGCTCTCCGTGCTCAGCATCCGCTTCCAGAGAATACACCTGTTCCAGGTGAGGGGTGTGAAAGTCACACACAATCGCAACGGTTCAGGACTCTTTCTTTCTGTATGACGACCTGCTGTCCATGCTCAGCATTCGGTTCCAACGAATCCACCTCTTTCAGGTGAGAGGAATCGAAAGTCGCCCAGAGGAGTTGAGAGGAGTTGAGTGAACTCAACTCAACCCTCACTGTGTTTCGAGACGACTACATCAACCTCACCCACAACGGAGGGGCGTTTCTGTACGACGACCTCCTGTCCGTGCTCAGCATTCGTTTCCAGAGGATTCACCTCCTTCAGGTGAGGGGAATCGAAAGTAGCCCAGAGAGGTTGAGTGAACTCAACCCTCGCCTTGTTTCGAGACGACTACATCAACCTCACCCACAACGGAGGGGCGTTTCTCTATGACGACCTGCTGTTTGTGCTCAGCATCCGCTTTCAGAGGATCCATCTCTTTCAGGTGAGAAGGTTAGGTAGACGCCCAGAGGAGTTGAGTGAAGGCAACACTCACCTTGTTGTAGTGTTATAACGGAGGGGCGTTTCTGTACGACGACCTGCTGTCGGTGCTCAGCATTCGCTTCCAAAGGATCCACCTCTTCCAGGTGAGGGGAATCGAAAGTCGCCCAGAGGAGTTGAGTGAACTCAACTCAACCCTCACTGTGTTTCGAGACGACTACATCAACCTCACCCACAACGGAGGGGCGTTTCTGTATGACGACCTGCTGTCGGTGCTCAGCATCCGCTTCCAGAGAATCCATCTCTTTCAGGTGAGTTGACAGAGAAGAAGTTATTATGATACAATGTACCCCTGATTCGTTTCTCTACGAGGACCTGCTCTCCGTGCTCAGCATCCGCTTCCAAGGAATCCATCTCTTTCAGGTGAGAGTCTTATGTTGACAGATAGATAGTGGAAGCAGCGGAGCGGATGTGCAAGTAATCGGCCCTTTTGGGTGTGACGATAACGTGCTGTTACTGCAGTTGCACTTTCACGAGGAGTGGCGCTTTCATCGGCACTTATCAAATTTCTTTCCTGCTATTTTCTCCCTCCTAACCCAACACCCCTCACCACAGATAGTGGAGGCAGCAGAGCGGTTTGTCGACGTGCAAGTGATCGGGCCTTTTGGATGCGACGATGACGAGCTGCTGCTGCAGTCGCACTTCAACCCATGCCTCCCACCCTCCCTCCCTTCCTCCCTCGCCACAGATAGTGGAAGCAGCAGAGCGGTTTGTAGACGTGCAAGTGATCGGGCCGTTCGGGTGTGATGATGATGAACTGCTGCTGCAGTCGCATTTCCACGAGGAGTGGCGCTTCCAGCGGCATTTGGCTGAGCTGAGGAGGAGGCAGGCTATGGGAGGGAGGGGAGGAGGTGGTGAGGGGAGTGGGGCTGTGGGAGGTGAGGAGGGAATTAGTGAGGGGGGTGTGGGGGGGTATACGGAAGAGGATGAGGAGGGGGAGGAGGAGGGGGAGGAAGGGGAGGAGAGGGGGGAGGGAGGCGAGAGGGGAGGACGGGAGGGGAGGGATGGAGAGGCGGGGGGAGGGAGATTGGGAGGAGTGGGGGGAGGAGGTGGAAGAGGGGAGGGAGAGAGGGTGGGTGATGCAGAGAGGAAAGGCAGGAGTACGGTTTTAGAGGGAAGGGGTGATGATGGTAGAACGAGGGGAGAGGAGGGGAGAGAGGTGGATGAGAGGAGTCAGGGTGTGGGGAGCAGGGGTGAGGGGGTCGAGAGGGGGACGGGACAGGAAAGGAAGCGGAAAGAGACGCAAGGATTGGGAGGAGGGTATTTGGATAGGAGGCAGGACGAGCAGGGGGTGAAGAGGCCGCGATTGAGACTGGAAAGTGTGAGGGAGGAGGGGGTGGAGGGGCATGGGAGAGATGAATCAGGGGAGGTTGGAGAGAGGGTGAGAGGTGGGGATGGGGGAGAGGGAGGAGAGAGAGGAGAGAGAAGAGAAAGAGCAGTGGAAAATGCTGAGATTGTAAGAGAGGGAGTGGAGGAAAGAGGAGGAGGTGGGGAAGGAGAAGTGGAAGAAGTCAAGAGAATTGAGAGAGGGGAAGGGACCACTGTAGGTGACGAGGGGGCAAGGGAAGAGAAGGGAGGAAGCGGAGGAGGAGGAGGAGGTGAAGAAAGAGGAGAGGAAACTGGTCAGAGTGTTAGAGGGAAGGAAACGGGAGTAGGAGAAATTGGAGGAGAGAGAGGAGGAGCAAGAGGAGGAGCCGGGGGAGTGGGAGGGGTCGCGATGTATGAGAGGCGCTATGGGGGGGAGGATGGGCGCTTGCTAGAGCCGCGCACAGCCATGGGTCCCCCTGGTGGTGGGGGAAGGGGGAGAAGAGAGGGAGGGAGAGGAGGGGCAGGGGGAGGAGGGCCGGCGGGAGGAGGGGTGGCAGCAGGAGGAGCAGGAGCAGCAGGAGGAGGGAGGGGTGGGGATGTGTGGATGCAAGCGGGGGTTGCTGCTCACAGCCTTACCATGTCTACCTTTGGCTCTAGCCTCTTTAGTCTCTCGTATGGGCCTGATGGTCAGGCATCGTTACAGACCCAGTCACACACCGCCTCGCACACTCACTCCCCGACTCGGTCGCACAGTCACTCCCACGCTCACTCTCACTCGCACTCGCACGCTCGCTCACACACTCACTCGCACGCGCACTCGCACGCGCACTCGCATGTGCATTCGCACGAGCGTGCGGGTGGGGGAATGAGGCACCACGGAGGGACAAGCTCAGAGGGAGCAGCAAGAGGGGGCCTTCCGTTTTTCTTTGGAGCAGTAGGGGCAGCAGCAGGAGGAAGAGGCGTCGGGGGGGGCACTGGGGAGGGGGGAGAGAGGGGAATGAGTGGGAGGACGCTTGGTTCTAGGAGTCAGGGAGAGGGGAGGGAGAGAGGGATAGGGGGAGGGGGATCTGAGAGGGAGAGAGGCGGCAGGGAGAGGGGCAGTAGGAGAAGGCGAAGCAGGCAGACGGGGGAGGGCGGCGGCGGGTCGGGAACGGGCGGCGGTGGGGCGGCGAGGTATGTTGTTAGTGACAGGGGGGATTTGGAGGCGATTACGAGGCAGCAGCTGGGGGGGGGAGCGGGGGGAAGGGGGAGTGAAGGCGTGGGGGGAGCAGCAGGGGGAGGAGCAGCCGCAGGAGGAGGGGCAGGGGGAGAAGGAGGGGCAGGGGCAGCAGGAGGGAGAGGGGTGGGGGGAGGAGGGGGAGCGGCGGAATTGGCAGGGGAAGGAGGAGATGGGGGTGGATGGGGGGAAGCGGATGGTGGTGGGGGACAGAGCAGCTTGGGGCATGGGCATGGGCATGGGCATGGGCATGGGCATAGGGATGGGGATAGGGATGGGGATGGTCTAGAGGGCAGCCAAGCAAATGGCGCTAGTGCTGGTGGTGCTGATGCTGATGGTGGTGGTGGGAGATTAGAAGGTACTGCCGGAACAGGGGCAGGAGCAGCAAGAGTGGGAGGAGTGGGAGGAGGGGGAAGAGGGGCAGGAGGGGGAGGCATGGGGGGAGTGGGAGGAATGGATGGAGGGGGGAGAGCAGGGGCGGCAGGGGGAGGTGGGTTTAGGGGAGCTCCTGGTGGGTCGGGAAGGGAAGGAGGGCGCGGGGAGGCGAGTGGGTGGGGTGACGGGGGGTGGATGTTGAGGGGGGAAGGGGTGGAGGTGGGAATGAGAGCCATTGGCGATTTAGGGATGGTGAATGCTGGGGGGCTGATAACAGGGGGTGGGTTGTTGAGTGTGCTGATGCAGCGGCTGCTGGTGCATGTGTTTGAGTGCCACCTGGGGGATGCAGTGGGGTCGAGTGTGGTGGGGTCTGGCGCGGTGGGGTATGGGGATAGCAGCAGGGGAGACAGAGGAGGAGGGGGAGGCGGAGTGGGAGGAGCAGGTAACCAGCGTGTGAAGAGATTCCTGTACCACTTTCAACACTACGCGGATTTGATTATATGGAAGGTATGTGCGTGCTGCGAGCCTCTGATGCCCCAGCCCCTTGATTCCCCCGCCCACCCATCAAGCCCTGTCCTTGTGCCCTTTCTCTTTCAACCGGTTGCTCTCTCTCCCCACCAGGCTCAGCTGTTGGACCGCTGTCATTTGCTCATCCGCCTGGGCAGCACAGAGGGGGTGGTGCTGCGAGCATCTGACAGCTCCCACCAGAACTCTTTTTTCACCGTTTACAACTTCGTCACCACCAGAGTGCTGTGCTTCTATCAGGTATATTTGAGGCGCTTAAAAGGTGAGATCTCCAATTCTAAAAGGTGAATAGGCGGCATAGCAGTGAGTGAAGGGGTGGTGCTGCGAGCGTCCGACAGCTCCCACCAGAACTCTTTCTTTACCGTCTACAACTTCGTGACAACACGGGTGCTCTGCTTCTATCAGGTGAGACTGTATAGTAATGAGGGGGGTCAACTGAGTCAACCGGGTAACCAGGTCAACCGGGTTGAGAGCATCTGACAGCTCCCATCAGAACTCTTTCTTTACCGTCTACAACTTCGTCACAACCAGAGTGCTCTGCTTCTATCAGGTGAATAGACGGCATAGCAGTGAGTGAGTGAGTCCGAGTCAACTGATTAAACTACCAGCTTAAGAGCATCTGACAGCTCCCGCCAGAACTCTTTCTTTACTGTCTACAACTTCGTGACAACACGGGTGCTCTGCTTCTATCAGGTATGTTTGAGGCGCATTTCAGGTGAGTGCTCTCTGCTTCTCTCGGCGCTTGAGCATTTCTGCGACCACTTCTGAGTCGACTCGAAAGTCGCCTTCTGGTTTCTCTCTCCGTACTTCTTCTGCTGCTGCAGAACTCGTCAGAGGACTTTCTCTCTGCGTTTGAGCATTTCTGCGACCGCTTTCGAGCGGCACGGCACCATGGCTTTTGAGTCGCCTGAAGGCTGAAAGATATTGCTTCCCCCCTCTGTGGTGACTTTTGAGGCGCCTCAAAAGGCTGAAAGATATTCCTTCCCCCCTCGGTGTTTTTATGATGCAGAACTCGTCGGAGGATTTCCTCTCAGCGTTTGAGCATTTCTGCGACCACTTTCGAGCACTACCTCGTTTCAACATCTTCCCCTTGTAACGCATTTCCTATTTATCTTCCTCCCTGTTTTCGCACTGCAGAACTCGTCGGAGGATTTTCTATCTGCGTTTGAGCACTTCTGCGACCACTTTCGAGTGGCACGGCACCATGGCTTTTGAGTCGCCTGAAGGCTGAAAGATATTCCTTCCCCCCTCGGTGTTTTTATGATGCAGAACTCGTCGGAGGACTTTCTGTCTGCGTTTGAGCATTTCTGCGACCGCTTTCGAGCACTACCTCGTTTCAACATCTTCCCCTTGTAATGCGTTTCCTATTTATCTTCCTCCCTGTTTTCGCACTGCAGAACTCGTCGGAGGACTTTCTGTCTGCGTTTGAGCATTTCTGCGACCACTTCCGCGCCCCGCCGCGGTCTCCAGCCGGGTTTTCGTTCATCAGCAGCTGCGCCAACAACGTGTTTGCGCGCGAGGCGTTCAAAAAGCAGAAGGCAGCACTTGTGACGTGCAAGGGAGGGTCTCAGACACAGGTGAGCAAGCAATGAAGCATCCAACGCATACATCCCATTACCAGAATGAGATGTACGAGAGTAGTCAGTTTTCGTTCATCAGCAGCTGTGCCAACAACGTGTTTGCGCGCGAGGCGTTCAAAAAGCAGAAGGCAGCACTTGTGACGTGCAAGGGAGGGTCTCAGACACAGGTGAGCAAGCAATGAAGCATCCAACGCATACATCCCATTACCAGAATGAGATGTACGAGAGTAGTCAGTTTTCGTTCATCAGCAGCTGCCCCAACAACGTGTTTGCGCGGGAGGCGTTCAAGAAGCAGAAGGCAGCACTTGTGACGTGCAAGGGGGGTTCTCAGACACAGGTGAGCACGGAAGGGAGCTTGCACGGGAGGGTCTCGGACACAGGTGAGCACTCAAGGAAGAGTCGCAGAAGCAGGTGACATGCAAGGAGCCACCAACGTGTTTGCACTTGCATGGGAGGAATTAAAAAGCAGAAGGCTGTGCTTGTGACGTGCAAGGGAGGCTCTCAGACGCAGGTGAGCACGCAAAGGCAAGAAACCCAGTATGAGAAAACAAGATGTATGAGAGAAATCACTAGCGCATGTTCTTTCTGAGTTTTCAGGCAAAAAAGTGATTGCGGTCAGCTCTGCCCTGTAGTGCTATCAAGCAGCTGCTAACTTCGAGGTGCCTCAAAAATAGACTTCGAGGTGCCTCAAAAATAGACTTCGAGGTGCCTCAAAAATAGACTTCGAGGTGCCTCAAAAATAGACTTCGAGGTGCCTCAAAAATAGACTTCGAGGTGCCTCAAAAATAGACTTCGAGGTGCCTCAAAAATAGACTTCGAGGTGCCTCAAAATTAGACTTCGAGGTGCCTCAAAAATAGACTTATAAAAAAGAAAAGCGATGGCGGGCAGCTCTGCTCTGTAGCGCAATCAAGCAGCTGCTAACTTCTCTGCTCCCACATGTTGAGTCGACTCAGAAATCACAATTATATGGTCCCACGCTCACCCTCCTCCACATGTTCATTTTGAATTTGCATGCAGGCAATCAAGCGGATGCTGGCTGCTCTGCCGTACAGCGCAGTACCAATCATCTGTCATGTACTCTATTTCTGAGTCACTTTGGCCCCATGCTCACCCCCAAAATTTCTGACTCTGCAGGCAATCAAGCGGATGCTGGCTGCTCTGCCCTACAACGCCCAAACCTACTCTCCTTCACCCTCGCCCATCTGGTCCCACGCTCTCCCTCCTCCACATGTTCTTTTTGACTTTGCAGGCAATCAAGCGAATGCTGGCTGCTCTGCCCTACAGTGCACAGACCTACTCCCCATCTCCCTACTTCGACCAGTCGCTCTTTCATTTTGATGAAAAGGTGAGGGCCAGCATTGATGGGTGGGTGCAATTCTCTTTGTACAGTAACCCAGTGACCCTCATTAGCATGCCTCCATCCTCATCAGTACGCCTCCCACTGCTTCCACCGTCCCAGCTCACATCCGCGTCAGACCGGCACAAGCCCTGTGCGGAGCACCTAATTAAGTTCCTGCAATTTTTTAGTTGACTCAAAAGTAATCATCACCACCATGCCTCCTCTCCTCCCACCATCCCAGCTCATATCTGCATCGGATCGGCACAAGCCCTGTGTGGAGCACCCAATCAAGTTCATCCTTCGGCGCCGGCCAAACGTCCTCAGGTTCAAAATCAACCCAGGTATGCTAACTCCTGGCTCTGTGTTTCTGATGGAACACTGGGTTTTCATGTTGCCTCTGTTACGCTGCACCAGGTCTCTGGGCTACAGCTTGTGTTTTTGAGTCCTGCCTCAGTCGGGAACATGCTAAACCATATTGTGATTTGTTTGACTTGATGCAGGTTACGAGTCCGCAAACCCAGATGCGCGGATAAAAAGAGTGGCAACATATATCTTCCATCCGTTTCTTCCCTTCGCCATATCAGTGCAGCAGACGTTTATGCAGCCTTCGGTTGTAAACTTCCATTTCCGAAAGTGAAGCCAACAATATTGTTGTCATGTTTGAGCAATTTCTCTGGAAAAGTTAGAAATTACAAGATTTGAAGACAACCAGATCACCTACTCGCTTATGATGGGCATAGCCGATACAACCATACGTACGGTACTAAGCACTGCCAACTTGGCAGTTGATACAAATCAGATCTATGAAACAATTTGAAAGTCAGATGGAGACACTGCCAATAGGCACAGGAAAGTGCAAGCCAACCTGCATCAAGACAGCAATAAATTATCTCCTCTTGCGCCAGACTGTGTGACCCTTGTTAATCTCTTTCTTGCTGTCCTGAAGCCGCAGGATGTGCGAGAAGTGTTGAAGCGCTTCGGGTCGCTCTCGCTCCACCAGCGTTAACAAGCAGACACCTTTTGCCTCCTCGGACTCCTTTGACAAAAGGACCCCGTCTGTGGTGGTGCACTGTTTGATGGCCTCTGGTTTGGCGGCTGGCACTGTGTGACTGGCCAATGTCTCCACCATGTCATTCTGACTGCATTCTCGCCGGTACTCGATGCTTATTTGAGCCAGCTCCGAGCTGTCGACCAGTTCCTGAGGCAAACTCTGTAGGGGGAATGATGAGGTTCGAAAGCGAAATGGAGAGGGAGGGAGAAGGGTGAGGGAATGGCACAAGGGAGAGGTGAGTGATAAGACTGGAACGTGAAGGAGGGCAAAACTGGGAAGTGAAAGGGTCAAGAAAGAACATGTATCAGATGTCCATTGTCATGGAGCATGTTAAAATGAACAGGCATAGTGAGGGAGAGTGCAGTTCGTACGTTTACAGTTCCTTCTTGGTGGCTCAGAACGGTTCCATAAAATGTGAAACGGTTTTTGTGCACCTTGACACGACCAATTAGACCGCAAAGAACGTACAAGGAGCGTACGAGTTGGATACCCCCAGAGGTAGCCACCACTTACTTCGAGCATCCATGCAATGTAAGTCACATTATTGACATGCTGATTCATGTCTAAGTCACTTCTTCTGGCCTGCAAGAGGTGGCGGCAGCAGCAATGTGGCATTTTCAGTAAGAGCCGCTTAGGGAGGACTGAATTGATGGGACCGTTCAGACAATAGACAACATACTGCTATTATGGTATTGTGAACTTATGAATAGCGTTGATGCAGACAGCATATTACGGAACAACACCATTTAACAACGATAGCAACTACAGCAACAGCACTTACACAGAGACTCGATTTTGAATGGTCAGCCGGCTCTTTGAGCTTCGGCAACTTTTCCACCGCGTCCGGAGGAAGAGCATACCTGCTCAGAGAGGGATCAACAAATACTTCGCGTTTACTTCAAAACTTCTGTACTTTCGTGGCGTAAAGTTGTGTTGCTAATAAAGTCCCGGCGGGAGAAACTTACAGGGAAGGATTAGGGCAGTGAATAATAATTTCCTCCCACACATCAGACGGAATTCGAGCCAAACGACGTGTGTTGGAATTCATCATCACCCAGGAACTGCACAAAATAGGTATAGACCGATTAGCCGACTATGAGAAAGCGGAAGAGCAAGAGGATCTTGCATACATAGTAAGATAATATTCTTACCTGGTGCCTCGACCAATGACATCACCAGATTTTGACAACCGAATGATCCAGTCTCGCCGTGTCAATATGTTTGACTCTAACTGACACCACGTGTCAATTTCAACAACATCTCCCCTGTTATCAGACAAGAACGGAAGGTGAATTCTACATAAAGTCAGGAAAATGCATCAAGAGGCACAAAATGTGACTGGAATGAGAGGTTAAAATGAGGCTCTGAGCACGTCATTTAAAGAGTTACCAGGTAGGATACTTGTACATCTCGATGTGGATCCGAGTTGTTGCCCATATTAAATTATGTCTCAGCATGCCTGGCGTGGTTGCCAGGCCGTCCTTAGAAAACCCAACGCTGTGAGCATGATTGGTCCCCACCTCCTGGAAATCCAGCAAATGGATAACTTATATGAGCTCATGCCCCTGAATATAAGATTCATAAACTCATACACTTTTGGATTGAATCCTCTTACCTGCAATAAATTGGCGATAGTTTCAATCGACGCGGTCTTATGAACGCCGACTTCGTAACACCTGATGACGAATCTCTCTCGGTAAACGCTCCCTCCTTCGAGAAGCGCACCGAGCTGCTCGGAACCTCCCTCCGTCCAGATCAACCCTTCATCAACGCCAGGTACATTGAATGAAGACGCATGCTCTTGGATCGGTGAGGAGGGTCGGCCAGCTATCGCGCCATTCTCCGACTGTAGTAGCGGCGCTTTGATACTAGTCGCGGACGTACTGTTTTTTTTCGAGGATGTGTTGCTCTTCTCCAAAGACGTGACAATGGGAGAGGAATTGCCAGTGATAGCTACAGCGACAGACAAGGAGCCCTTTATACCTCGTTGAGAGCAGATCCGTCCTCTTTCGATAAGTGGTTGAGGTTGCGGAGCGATCGGCCGGGAAAGCGTTCCTACAAAGTCCATAATTTCAGTCGATGAACGAAGCCAGAGCACGGATACGACGAGACTGCTCAGTCACCAAGATCGGTCCTTCCAGACGCTGGCCAGACTGGAGATCTTCAACAAGAAGAGAGTAGGAGAGAGCCAACTGAAATATTTACCCTTCGAAGCCGATAAACAAACCAAATGGCGCTCATTCCTCGATTTCCCTCCTTTAATGATGTGCTTGTTGGCCCCTGGTTGCACAAGCTCCTCAGAAAACAACCGCTAGAGCAGCCATGGTGTTTTTGAAACCGAAACGAAGGGGCTGGCTTGACTGCAAATACGTACTGAATGAGAAAAGGGATGCAGTAACAGAGCGACCAGATCGCACAGGTCCACAACACCCGATCGCAGCCGTCCATTCGACTAGGAGGAATCTCTAGGCCGGTGATCCAAGCAGAAATGGCTGGCCCCTGGTGATCCAGCATTTCCGGCGACCGAGCCTAGGGGAGCTGGTGAGTGGAAGTATGGATCCACCAGACCTGATGGTCTGCGCCTGGGATTCACAAACACAAAAACATTTCCTAGATTTCAGCGAGTGCTGGCTTTGTGCAAATATCGAGGGAGATCACGGCGGTGGAGGCACGTGTGATTTCCCTTTCCCCGCAATCTAGTGGCTCTGGGCTGACGGCTTCCACACATTTCCTGTCTAGCATTATTCGCCAGCCAATCAGTCGAACCTGGAAGGCTGAGCTGTCGAGAAAGATTTGTATTTTTTGGTCGTAACCATGGTCACAGCAAAACTTCCCTGCCTACCGAGGCCGCTACCGGGGGCAAGACGATGCTACCGAGTGAAATATATTGGTGGAAGTACCCATGGTCACAGCAAATTCAATTCCTTGATACCGTCACCATATGCTGACGGAACTATTCCTGCCTACACCGCTCACGCATCAAGCAATAAAACTATATATTTGTGCAAGGTTGTTATTCTGAACAACTCCTCTCTACACAGATGTCAAAGCTTAGTGGAATGCAAAAATGCTGTCATGCGGGCTTTGCTAACCAAACAACCATGCCTACAAGCTGTATGCGTGACGTAAATTCCATGATCATCACAGCAAGCACAGCACCTTCTGGATGACAACACATTCACAAATTTCAGCCGATCCTAACACTGCGACTGACGGTGGACTTGATACCGGTTGATTCACCACCGTAAGGAGCAGTTTCACGCTTGACGTCTCGCACCTGGCCCTTGCGACGAACCACAGCATTCGCATGCTTGAGCTGTAACCACGAATTATTGAGAAACAACATAAGGGTAAAATAGTTTGTTTGAAGGAGGAAGCGAAGTGTGGTCAAGGGAGGGGATAATGTATTGGCATTTGCAACAAGGATCTAGTGGGGAGAGGGAGGGAGCAGGAGGGGGCTGGGAGGGGTTGAAGTGGGTGGGAGGCTGCTTAAAATGTGTGATACTGCACCAACAATTGCATACCTTGTACTTCTTGCGAGGGTTCTTGACCGCCTTGTTGCGGTGTTGGAGGGGTTGGAGTGGGAGGGGGCCTGCTAAAAAAAAGTGCTACCTGCACTAGCATTTGCATACCTTGTACTTCTTGCGAGGGTTCTTGACTGCCTTGTTGCGGTGCGCTGTCAGGCCGCGATTCCTCTCAATCTGACACACACGAAGGGATGGATGCGGGTAACGGATGTTGGTTGCATGGGGTGACCATCCTTTGAACTCGTAAGTCACAGCAAGAGACGGACGAGGAAGGAGAATGGTGCATGCATGGGGTGACAATGGTTCAACCCAGACATCACAGCAAGGGATAGACAAGGGTGGAGAACAGTGGGTGCATGGGCTGAGATTTGAATCGGGCCAGAAATCACAGGAAGAGACAGGCGAGCGAGGGTGGGTGGAGGAAGCATGGGGTGACACAAGAATTGATGAGAGAAGAACGATAAGAATACAAGCAAGGATGCGAAGGACAATACCTGGTTGGTGATTTGCCGGCGCCCATCCTCGTCCACCGAGGGCTCAGCTTCAGGAACAAGGCCAGAGCTGACAGGGAGGGGAAGGGGGGATGGGTGGAAAAAGTGGGAGGAAAAGGGGGGGGAGAGGGGAGGGGAGAGAGAGGGGGGGGTTGGTTTGCATAGGGGTGATTTGCCGGCGCCCATCCTCGTCCACTGAGGGCTCGGCTTCAGGAATGAGGCCAGAGCTGACAAGGACAGACAGGGGGATGGGTGCAGGGGGGGTGGGGGTGGGGAAGGGGGATGGGAAGGGAAAGGGGGAGGGGGAGGGGAAGGGGGTGCACAGGGGAGGAGGGTCAGTGATTTTTGAGTCGACTAGATAGTTATAGAGGATTTTATCTTCAGAGGAGGGACAAGGGGGGATGAAGCAGCTGACAAGAGTGGGACCGACGAGAGGGCAAAAGGACTCACGAGGAGTATTTGGCAGCCTTGGCGGACCGCCGAGCCTCCTGCATCTTCCGAGCCTCAGCATAGAACTCGTCCTCCTCCCCTCCTTCTCCTCCCTCTCCGTCTCCTCCGTCCTCGTCTCCTTGGTCGAACCCTAGGTCCTCCGAGCCTCGCTTCCGAACCTGCTTCGCCACCACGCCTGCCTCGTAGGCTCGGCGGCGCTCACCCAGGTCGGGTTTCAAGGGGAGATCAGCGTCTCCGGATATAACCTGGAAGAGAGAGCACGGTGTCAAGGGATGAAGAATTAGGGAACCTCTCTACTTGACTCCCTGACTCTCATTAGAGGTCCGGCTTCAAGGGGAGATCAGCGTCTCCGGATATCACTTGAAAAAAAAAAGAACATGGTGTGAACGGATTAAGATTCAGGGAAATAATCAAGGATTTTTCGCTTTACTACTGGATGAAAATCAGCATTCTTGGAATGCATCCACCCTTGGGGCTTCAAAGGGAGACCAGCGTCTCCACATTTCAACTGAAAGAGAGAGCATGATGTAAAGTGACGCAGAATCAAGACATCTTCAACGTACTTGTGGATGGGAATCAGTCAGCAGTACTTTTAATCACGCCCTATATCCTACAACAACACTTGATACGCTCGCAGCATGATTTGGGATGTCTCAAAACATGCTCGCAGCACGAAAGGGAAAGGGATACCTTGCCCTGTGCGCCCCTGAGGGACGTCATCTTGCCCGCCTCGTGAATCGCCTCTGACAGCTTGCGCGGCCGAAGCAGCGACTCCAGCATACCAGCACTCGTCAACCCTCCTATTCCTCCTCCCCCTGCTCCCCCTGCTGCTGCTCCTGCTGTGAGGCCAGCCTGTGCGCCCCCCTCCTCCCCTGCTGCCATGATGCCAGCGATGTCATCATCGAAATCATCCAGCATACCAGCAAGCCTGGTGGATGGAAGAGCACAGGGTGGGGAGAAAGAGGCAGGTGGGGAGACAGGAGGCAGGTGGGCAGTGGAATGAGAAAGCAGGGTGTTGCCAAGTGGCCCCCCTCCTCCCCTGCTGCCATGATGCCAGCGATATCGTCGTCAAAGTCATCCAGCATACCAGCAAGCCTGGTGGATGGAAGAGCACAGGGTGGGGAGAAAGAGGCAGGTGGGGAGACGGGAGGCAGGTGGGCAGTGGAATGAGAAAGCAGGGTGTTGCCAAGCGGCCCCCCTCCTCCCCTGCTGCCATGATGATGCCAGCGATATCATCATCGAAGTCATCCAGCATACCCGCAAGCCTGGTGGATGGAAGAGCACAGGGTGGGAGACGAGAGGCAGGTGGTTGGAGAGTGGATGAGAAAGCACGTTGTCAGCTGCTGCTCCTGCTGTGAGGCCGGGCTGTGCGCCCCCCTCCTCCCCTGCTGCCATGTTGCGATCGAATCCGCCCTTAAACAACATCACTGTGCGCCCCCCTCCTCCCCTGCTGCCATGAAGCCAGCGGTTAAAAGACACGCGGGAAAACACTCGCTCGTCTACCTCCCCGAACCTGTCACAATCCAGTAAGACCTCTTACCTCTCCCACAACCGAGCTCACATGTTCTGGCTCCTCTTGACGGCCTTGAGTTGCTGCTTTCCCCCACGATTCAGAGGCACACAATAAATAAATAAATAAATAAATAAATAAATAAATAAATAAATAAATAAATAAATAAATAAATAAATAAATAAATAAAAATCTCCTCCTCACCCTCTCTCACACCCACTCCCCCTCCTCTGTCTCAGCCCAATCCCAAGCCCACCTCAAGTGAGCTCACATGTTCTGGCTCCTCTTGAGGGCTTTGAGGCGCTGCTTCTCCCCGCGGTTCAGAGGCACGCGGGAGAACATCCTCTCCTCCGCTGCAGCCCTCTCCCTCAGCCGCTCCACCTCCCTCTCCATCTCCTTGCCCTCCACCATCATCGTTGAGGCACCCTCCACTCGCATCTGTGTGGGTGTGTTGGGGGAGGCAAGGGTAGGTCAGTGTGCGTGTGTGGGGAATGAGCCTTTCAAGCCGCTCCACCTCCCTCGCCATCTCCTTACCCTCCACCATCATCGTTGACGCACCCTCCACTCGCATCTGTATTGGGGAGGTGGGGCATGGAGTAGGGCATGCGAGTATGGGTCAAAGTGAGTGTGAGTGTGCACTTAGGCCTATCTAAACAGCTTCCCTCCCCTCTCAGCCGCTCCACCTCCCTCGCCATCTCCTTACCCTCCACCACCATCGTAGACGCTCCCTCCACTCGCATCTGTGCATTGGGGGGGTTGGGAGTGGGCGACGGGGAGGCCAGCAAGTGGGTGTGAGTCTACACTCAAGCCTATCTAAAACAATAGCTTCAATTTCCACTCTCAGCCGCTCCACCTCCCTCGCCATCTCCTTGCCTTCCACCACCATCGTTGAGGCTCCCTCCACTCGCATCTGTGCGTTGGGAGGGGGGACGGGTGGGTCAATAGTGAGTGTGGGCAAATGTTAAAAGCAGCTGCCCTCCTCCTCCCTTCTCAGCCACTCCACCTCCCTCGCCATCTCCTTGCCTTCCACCACCATCGTTGACGCTCCCTCCACTCGCATCTGTGCGTTGGGAGGGGGGACGGGTGGGTCAATAGTGAGTGTGGGCAAATGTTAAAAGCAGCTGCCCTCCACCTCCCTTCTCAGCCGCTCCACCTCCCTCGCCATCTCCTTGCCCTCCACCACCATCATCATCGATGCTCCCTCCACTCACCTCACGAGGTCATTCATCCCTCCACGTCTTCAGCTAGCTCCTTCACAAACACGCTCCTAGCTGCCCGCCTCCTCGCTTCCCGCATCGCATTCCCTCAATGCGTCTGCCTGCTGTATACACACTGTCACTAACGAGTGTCTTACCTCACGCGGTCGCCCCTCCACGCCTTCAGCCAGCTCCTTCACAAACGCGCTTCTGGCCGGGCCGCCCCCTCACCTCCCTCATCGCATTCCCTCAATGCGTCTGCCTGCTGTATACACACTGTCACTAACGAGTGTCTTACCTCACGCGGTCGCCCCTCCACGCCTTCAGCCAGCTCCTTCACAAACGCGCTTCTGGCCGGGCCGCCCCCTCACCTCCCTCATCGCATTCCCTCAATGCGTCTGCCTGCTGTATACACACTGTCACTAACGAGTGTCTTACCTCACGCGGTCGCCCCTCCACGTCTTCAGCTAGCTCCTTCACCAACGCGCTCCTAGCAGCGCGCCTCCTCGCTTCCCTCATCTCCCTCTCCTCCCACCTCGTCCCCACCCTCGCCTCTTGCCCACCCTCGCCTCTTGCCCACCCTCACCTCTTGCCCACCCTCGCCTCTTGCCCACCCTCGCCTCTTGCCCACCCTCGCCTCTTGCCCACCCAACCCAACACAAGGGTGTTAAATCAAACTCATCTCTCTCGGTCGCCCCTCCACATCTTCAGCTAGTTCCTTCACCAACGCGCTTCTAGCAGCGCGCCTCCTCGCTTCCCTCATTTCCCTCTCCTCCCTCCTCGTCCCCACCCTCGCCTCTTGCCCACCCACCCAACCCAAGGGTGTTAAATCAAACTCACCTCTCGCGGCCGCCCCTCCACATCTTCTGCAAGCTCCTTCACAAACGCGCTCCTAGCCGCGCGCCTCCTCGCCTCCCGCATCTCCCTCTCCTCCCTCCTCGTCCCCACCCTCGCCTCTTGCCCACCCACCCAACCCAAGGGTGTTAAATCAAACTCACCTCTCGCGGCCGCCCCTCCACATCTTCTGCAAGCTCCTTCACAAACGCGCTCCTAGCCGCGCGCCTCCTCGCCTCCCGCATCTCCCTCTCCTCCCTCCTCGCCCCCACCTCCCCGCTCTTCTTCCCTCCCTCCTTCTCCCCATCCATTGCCATCGGAGCAATCTTAGGAGGCTTGTACACCCCACCAGCAGCAGCACCATCCAGTCCAGCAGCATCACTCCCACCCTCTCCCCCACCGCCGCCACTTCCCCCGAGCTTCGACACTAGGAGGTTCGGGTTAGGGCGGTGTTTCAGGTCGTCTAGTGACCCTCCCGCCCCGGCCTCTGCTGCTGCTGCGGACTGCTTGCCAGGTGTCGCGCCGCGATTGGCTGAGGAGGCCAGCTTGAGAAGCTTCTCAATTTGGTACTGCAGCTTCTTGTCAATAGGGCGGATCTGATTTGAGAGGGAGAGAGGGTTGGGTGTGCGGAGGGGGGAGGGAAGTGGGGGAGTGGGGAGGGGGGGGGTAGGGGGGGGGGGAGGGGGAGGGGAGAGAGAGTTGGGACTGAAAACGGATGAGTGGGTGGGAGGGTGGGGGTGGGTGGGAGGGAGGGTGAGTGGGTGGGAGAGAGGGTGAGTGGGTGGGAGAGAGGGTGAGTGGGTGGGAGAGAGGGTGAGTGGGTGGGAGAGAGGGTGAGTGGGTGGGAGGGAGGGTGAGTGGGTGGGAGGGTGGGGGTGGGTGGGAGGGAGGGTGAGTGGGTGGGAGAGAGGGTGAGTGGGTGGGAGAGAGGGTGAGTGGGTGGGAGAGAGGGTGAGTGGGTGGGAGAGAGGGTGAGTGGGTGGGAGGGAGGGTGAGTGGGTGGGAGGGAGGGTGAGTGGGTGGGAGGCAGGGTGCAGAGCAGCAAACCATGCAACAGCAATAGCCCAAATAAAACCAACCCACCTTTTCCAGGAACAGTCTGAGCTCCACCACGAGTCGAGACACCACGGGGTGGTCCCTGACTGGCTTGCCCTCCGCCCTCAATCATGTGCCCAGCCAGCTCACAACCCCAAAACCCCCAACACTGAACCCTCAACCAACGTGTTCAAAGCCGACTTACCTTCTCCAGGAAAAGCTCCACGAGGCGGGACACCACTGGGTGGTCCCTCACGGGCTTGCCTTCCGCCCTGAGCAGCAGGAAGAGGAGCAGACAGCAGCAGTAGTGCAGCAGCAGTTGACGGGCAGCAGCAGCGGCGGCAGCAGCGGCGGCAGCAGCAGCGGCAGCAGCAGCAGTGCAGTTGTAACTTGTGCTCTCACCTTCTCAAGGAAGAGTCTGAGTTCCACAAGCCTAGACACCACGGGGTGGTCCCTCACGGGCTTGCCTTCCGCCCTGAGCAGCAGGAAGTAGAGCAGACAGCAGCAACCCGTGCAGCAGCAGTTGACGGGCAGCAGCAGCGGCGGCAGCAGCGGCGGCAGCAGCGGTGGCAGCAGCAGCGGCAGCAGCAGCAGTGCAGTTGTAACTTGTGCTCTCACCTTCTCAAGGAAGAGTCTGAGTTCCACAAGCCTAGACACCACGGGGTGGTCCCTGACTGGCTTGCTCTCCGCCCTGAGCAGCAGGAAGTAGAGCAGACAGCAGCAACCCGTGCAGCAGCAGCGCAACCCATCCAGCAGCAGTAGCCCGTACAAACAACAACCCACCTTCTCAAGGAAGAGTCTCAGCTCCACGAGGCGGGACACCACTGGGTGGTCCCTCACTGGCTTGCCTTCCGCCCTGAGCAGCAGGAAGAAGAGCAGACAGCAGCAGTAGTGCAGCAGCAGACCGTGCTTTGCCTCCAGGTAGGATACTCCATTCTCTGTCGCGTATTCCCCCTCCCGCACCTGGCAGAATGGAGGGCAGGGAGAGGTGTGAGAGTCAAGGGCTTAGGGTAAGGGTGTTCGAGCAGCAAGAATAAGAGCAGACAGCAGCAGTAGTGCAGCAGCAGCCCGTGCTTTGCCTCCAGGTAAGACACCCCGTTCTCTGTTGCGTACTCTCCCTCCCGCACCTGGGGGAATCAACGGGTAAGAGAGGGAAGGAAGGAAGAGGTTCAAAGGAGTGAGGAAGAAGAGCAGACAGCAGAAGTAGTGCAGCAGCAGCCCGTGCTTTGCCTCCAAATAGGATACTCCATTCTCTGTAGCGTACTCTCCCTCCCGCACCAGGTCAAGTCAAAGGGGGAGGGGGAGGAGTGAGAGTCAAGGGCCTAGGGTGAGTAAACAGCAGGGAGAAGAGCAGACAGCAGCAGTAGTGCAGCAGCAGACCGTGCTTTGCCTCCAGGTAGGACACTCCATTTTCAGTCGCGTACTCTCTTTCCCGGACCTGGTCATAACAAGACAGTGGAGGGGGTCAATGAGTGAGGGAGAAGAGCGGACAGCAGCAGTAGTGCAGCAGCAGACCGTGCTTTGCCTCCTCGTTTGTGCGGTAAGAAACCCTCCTCTGAGTTGCAAACCCCGTTTGTGCGGTAAGAAACCCTCCTCTGAGTTGCAAACCCCGTTTGTGAGTGAGAGTGCTTCCAGACTCCAGTTGGCCCTCTCTCATTCAGGCTCACCTGCTGCAGCAGCGGCAGCACTTTTGTGTTGAGCTCCTTGAGGGTCGTTTTGAGATCCGAAAGCAGACCCACCAGCTCTGGGGCGTCACTGCATGTAAGGAGATTAGAAAGGCGGGGGGCGAGGGGGGGTGCGATGGGGTGAAGGGAGTGAATGAGAACGAACACTTTTGTGTTGAGCTCGTTGCGGGTCGTTTTGAGATCTGAAAGCAGACCCACCAGCTCTGGGGCGTCACTGCAAGTGAAGGCAAGAAAGAGGGCGAAGAAGCAAGGTGCATGCATGGTAACTTGGTAAGCAGCAAGAGGAGGGTCGTTTTAAGGTCCGAGAGAGCAATACTGTCACCCCATCTCACCTCGTCTAACCCCGTCTTACCCCATCTGACCACATCGCACCGAACCGCACAGCACTTCACCGCAGCTCACCTCATCAGCGCTTCCATCTGCTCCTCCTTGGTCGGCAGACTCGCATCCTTCACCACCCGCTCCTCAGTACTGCCCTCACACCGCAACACAAACTCATCCTTGCTGACAAGCACCGCACCTCACCGCATCTTACCCCATCTGACCGCAGTGTGCCGAATCTCACCGCATTCTATCGCATCTCACCTCATCAAAGCCGCCATCTTCTCCTCCTTGGTCAGCAGACTCGCATCCTTCACCACCCGTTCTACCACAGCCGCCCCACTCCTCTTCTGAGGCGCCGAAAAAAACTTACCGCATCTCACTGCATCCCACCGTGCTGCACCGCATTTCACCGCATCTCACCTCATCAGCGCCGCCATCTGCTCCTCCTTGGTCAGCAGACTCGCATCCTTCACCACCCGTTCTACCACAGCCGCTCCCCTCCCCTTCCTCTCCAGCGCCTTATCACTCCCCTTATCGCCCTTATCACTCCGCTTATCACTCCCCTTATCGCCTTTATCACTCCGCTTATCACCCCCCTTATCACCCTTCTTCCGCCCCTCCTTCTCCACCTTTTCTAACATCGTTTCCTCTCCCTCCTCCCCTTCGTCCTCCTCTCCCTCCTCCTCTTCTCCCTCCTCTCCCTCCTCTTCTCCCTCCTCCTCATAATCCTCCACCCTCAACCCAGCTGCGATCTGCTGCTGCAGCCGAAGAGCTTCCTCCTCCTCCTCCTGCGCCCCTGTCTCCCCATCCATATGCAACTGTGCGACACAGAGGGAGGGGGAAACAGAAGAGGAAAGAACGGGAAAGAAGGGAGGGGAAGAGGGTAGGTACAAGCGCTCAGGAAGTCTCTACTAGACAGTGTTGACTCAACCCAGCTGCGAACAAGGGGGGAGAAAGGGAGAGAGAAGTGGAAAGAAGGGAGAGGGAAGAAGGTAGCGAAAGTTGTGAGCAGCTGACACACTTCCAATTATTAAGACACAATCCCATTAATCACAGATCCGTTATAAGCAAGCTGCCTACCTCAGAACATACTTCACATGATCCGCACACACTACACTACAGTACTACCGCTACTTCAGAAACCCAACACCATACCCACTTGAAGCAGACCCGTTAAAAGCCCCTTACCTCATAATCCACATTATCCGCACTGTAGTACTCCCGCTTCTTCTGCCCCCAAAGCGCCCCCTCTCCATCCTCCTCCTCATCCTCATCCTCCTCTTCCTCATCCTCTTCATCCTCCTTCACTCCCCCAAGCTTCATACGCATGTACTTGGCCTGTTTCTCCACTGTAGAAAAACAAACACAAAGAGATTAAACACACATACATCTGATATTAATAAGGCTCACTCCCCCAAGCTTCATCCTCATGTGATTGCCTTGCTTCTACACAGTATACAAACAAAAATTACGGGTACATGAACATGTATGTATGTATAATTTGTATATACATGCATGTTTGAAAATGTATGTACCTGCATACGTATATGTATGCATATACTGAATTCGAACAGTCTTCTCCCTCATGCACGTCATTCGCTTTTCCTCAATAGATGGACGTCCAGAGTCTCACATGTGAAGCTACTCAATAAAGGGGATGGCAGGGTGACTCGCTTTTAGCAGCAAGGCTCGATAGATGCATATCCGCCTCCACATCCTCGTCAAAATAATCCTCATCCTCTTTATAGATTATCCATGCAAAATCGTTAGGGGATGACAGGGTGACTCACTTTTAGCAGCAAGGCCAGAGAGCTGCATATCTGCCTCCACGTCCTCGTCAAAATCATCCTCATCCTCTCTATAAATTATCCATGCAACATTGTAACGGGGATGGCAGGGTGACTCACTCTTAGCAGCAAGACCCGAGAGCTGCATATCCGCTTCCACGTCCTCGTCAATATCATCCTCATCGTCATCATCATCCTCCTCACTGTCTTCGGCGCCCTATAATGGAAGCGAAGGGTAGGGTAGGGTGAAAGGGAGGGAAGTGAGTGAGAGGGAGGGTGGTTGGGATAAGGGGGAGGAGGAAAGGGCGGGGGTGTAGGAGGATGAGAAGGACGGGGTTGGACTGAGCAGTTATCAGTGCAAGAAGGGTAGGGGAAGGGGAGGGAGGGGTATGAAAGCAAAACATTAGGTTATAGTGAATACGAAAACGCTCGTTATTGTCACAAACGAAACCTACCTTGATGTCCATGACAGCCGCGTTAAGGTCGGCCTCGATATTATCATCATCCTCCTCGAATTCTGGACCACGGGGAGAGGGGAACGATTTAGCTTGACGATAAAAAAAAACCCTTACGAGAAACGTGGTTTTTTCGCCGTACTGGAAGACGTAACAGAGTAACACGGTAACAGGGTACGGGATAATAGGTAACACTGTAACCGCGAATCAAACGGGTGTGAAGTGCTGTGCGGCGCATCAAGAGCAATAACAGGGGACCAGGACTAATAACGAGGTAAAAAAATCCTCGAGTCGACTCACCATCATCTGCGTTAAGAGGAATGATATCCCGCTGTTTGTGAACTGCGGTTGACAAGAAAGGGCGGGTTGGGGCACAAGAAGAGAAGCCAACATGAAGAAAAACCTACCCGCGAGGAAGGGAACGGAGAAGCTAAATTAGGGTTTCAGATAACAACGTCCATGGAACGAGGATCAGGGTTTGGGGTTCTGGGAGAAAAATGCGCGGGGAGAATTTCAGTAACGACAGATCAATAACGAAGGTTTAGTAGCGGGAAAGGAATAGTATGCTTCTAAGGCACCTCGGAAAAGAGCTGACAAAGGGAGCAATTTCTATAGGAATGACACACGTTGCCACGTGGCAGGGTCTTAGAGCTTTCTAAACACTAGTTGGGACACTAAAAACCGTACAGTCGTCAATCTCGTCCTCAAAGTCTTCGCGAGTCAACCCCATGTTCAGATCTCCGCGCCTCCCTCCCCCTCCGCCTCCCCCCTTGGCCACCCTCCCTTCCCCTCCCCTTCCGCCTCCCCCGCGCTTCTTTCCGCTTCCAGGACTCTTCGCCTTCCGCGCCATGTTATCGGCGTCTCAGACTGAAAGCAGATTAATGACCAACGATTCTAAGCCGAAGCAGCGTCAAAGCCGAGCTTTGCGTCACCTGGCGAAGGGGTTACTCTGAAAAACGAAACACGAGCACTGCACGTGGCTCGCCAAAAAAATACAGCAAAGCGGAGAGTGCGTGAAGGAACGTGGCTGACGCTAACGCCCCGCTGGAAATGCGGGAATACGCGAAACTCGGCCTAGACGATAGCAACTAGTGTGTGCGGGAAAAACAGTCGTGAAGACTGGTTGCAACCTTGCGCGAGAGGTTTAGGTTTTGCAATCCCAAGGGCTTTATCGTCTGCGGTATAAGCTTGACGCATGAAATTTTGGACTTTGTAGCTGTGCATAACAACATGTTAGTTTGTATGACCCTGATTTGTATATTTGAAAACAAATTTATCACTCCTATATTAAGTTTCAATAGATAATGCTGAATGACAGGCTACCAGACTGCCTTTAAAAAACGAAATGCGATCTTCTTTTTAATGTTCATGAGGAATGAACAAGATGATATCTACTAAAAAAACTGCTATTGATAGAAACACTATCACATAATACACTCTCACTTTGAGGATTTCCAGGGCCTCCACCTCCAAAACGCCCTCTTCTTCTCCCCAGCACCAGATTTCCCTTCCAAACCCTCAAGCTTTACTCCTCCCATAGCTTGGGTTTCCCGAGCCTTCACAACCAGCGGAGGGGCCTGCTTTGCACAGGATTTCTCGCTAGCGCAGTCTGACGGCGTGGCGGGACGGTTGTTGCGCGCATGCAGAAAAGACGTGAAGGAGCCTGCGACTGACAAGGGCGATGGCGGGCTCACCGAGGGTAGTGTGGTGGATGAACCAGAACCTGTTACAAGGAGGGGCGGGGAAATAAAGTAGACAAAACAAAACAAAGCATATTGGTGGGTTAGCACTTTTGAAAGGCAGTCGAACTGGAAAGGCACGTGAAACTGGAAAGGCATGTGAAACTGGAAAGGCGTTTACCCAAGATACCATCATTGCATGCACATTGTAGTCTGGGTACAAGGAAAACACACCTGAATTTTCGGTCTGGTCATCTGAAGCGATGGAGGCAGCAGTTGGAGGAGAAACAGAATCAGGAGACGCAGAAGCAGGAGATATGGAAGCAGGAGGAGACGAGGAAGCAGGAGAAACAGAGGCAGGAGGAGACACAGAAGGTACAGAAGAAGAAGAAGCAGAAGCAGAAGCAGAAGCACCATCAGCATCAGAATCAGCAGCAGCATAATCATCAATGTCAGCAGCAGCAGCAGCAGCAGCAGCAGCAGCAGCAGCGGCAGCAGCAGGATTAGCATCAAGAACAGCAGGCGCTGGAACTTTCGTCTTCACATCAACCACCACCTCCTCCACCGCTTCTGCTTCCTCCTCTATCTCCCCACACTTTGCGAAGGTCACTTTAGACGACCTGCGCCGGCCTCCCCTCACACCGTCACCGCCACCGTTGCTGCCTGTGCTGGCATTGCTGCTGCTGCTGCTACTGGCTCGAATCATTGCCCCACCACCCTCTCCTCCCCCACTCTTGCTCCCGATAGCCATCTCCCCGCTGTCACCAACACCATCACCTCGACTGCTGCCGCTCTCACTTGCACTCCTGCGCAGCACCGTCCCTCTGCTATGAGGGTTTGTGCTCGATCCTTTCATCACACTCCTGAGGGCCACTGCAGCAGAAGCAGCAGGAGAGGCAGTGCCAGAGGAGGCGCTTCTGGCAATAGAAGTGGAAGGGAAGGCACCCCGGGCAGGCGAGGAAGAAAAGGCAGCCCGGGCAGGTGAATTCGCGGAGGAGGCATGGGCTGGGGAGGAGGAGAAGGTGGATCGAGAAGGGGAGGGGCGAGAGAGGGCTGAGTGGGCAGGGGATGGGGCGTAGGGTCTCTGGTTTAGAGGGGTGGCGTTGGGTGCACTGTGATTTCCAGAGGTGTAAGGAGATGCACAGGCAGAGGCAGATGAAGACGCAGATGTATTGTATTTTCTTGAGAAGCCGAGCGTGTTGTCGTCCTTGTCCTCTTCTGAGCTCGACCCCTCGTCATACTCACCCTCTCGAGAATCACTCTCATCGCTATCACCACTCTCCCCCTCCCCACCTGCCCCCTCCAATCCTCCCTCCTCCACACTCCACACCACCCCAGCACCAAAGAATGCCTTTTGTCGCAGGGTGCTTTTAACTCCTCCCCTCTTTGCTCCCCTCTCCCCTCCTGCCTTACCTGCCCTCACACCAGTCTCCCTGCCAGCCGAAGCTGTTGCCGAACCTAGACGAGCTGGCTCGACAACGGGGGGTAAGGTTTGGGGGGCAGGCGACGGATAGGAGTGATACGAGGGGCTTGGGGACTGGTAGCCTCCACCACTGTAGTGAGATGGGCTGGGGGTATAGTAAGGAGGATTTAATGTACCTGTGTGGGACGGACTTGCAGCGGTATAAGAAGATGCGTGGTGAACTGGACTGTGACTGTAATGGGGGGAAGGGCTGGGACAGTAACGGTGGGAGGGGCTGGGACTATAAAGAGAAGCAGAGGAGGAGGCTCCTGGGTGTCTGGGGCTGGAGCTGTACAGGCCAGTGGTACTAGAACGAGGGGTGGAGGGATTTATCACATATCGTGGGCTGGATGTGCATCTATTGGGAGAAGATGGAAATTGAGCCAAATGAGGAGCTGTAACTTGATGCACTGTAGAATATGCAGTACTGTGCATACCATTATGCGAATACGAACTGTTACTGTAGTGAACGGGGGTGGACGCGTAATGAACGGGGGAGTTGGGGGGGTGGAGGGGGGAACTCGGAACCGAATTTGACATCATCCGCGATGCCGCAACCGCTGCCGCGGCAGCTGCGGAGGCACCCCGCCCTCCCCCTCCCGCTCCGCCACCCCCTCCCTCTCCTCCAAACCTCCCGCTCCCACTGTATCCATACGCAGCACCACTCGGGGTGTATCCGTTGTTGTAATTGTGGTAACCAGAATTAGCGATAGGAACCCCTGTAACACTTGCACTTGATCCTCGCCTGTCCAAATTCAGCAACCCCCCGCTGCTTCCGAGCGTCCTTTCCAGATCCCCATTTAGTGACATCGCGGTAGGAGGTACAGTAAATGCACTGTAAGCGGAGGAAACGGAAACAACCGAACCTGGCGCAGCAGGGTATCGACTCGCACCAAATCGCGGACTTTCGGGCGCAGCCGACCTACCCCTTTCCGAACGTGAGTCCGAGCCAGCTTCGGCAGCTGCAGCAGCGATCGCTTGCAGCCGAGCCGCTGCCGCTTCGGCGTCCAGAGCCCCTCTGCCTGACCGCGCTCGGCGCGCCGCTCCTCTCGAACCTCCCCCCACGACTCCCCCCGCGTGGTGGGCGGGGGAGCAAGGAACCGAGCTGTAGAGCCGAGAAGAAGCAGGAACCGCTTTGTTCGCGTCGCCCGCTCCTCTCTGCTGCTGCTGGACTTGCGCAGATATTACCGCCGGTGCACGCGGTGACGTCAGTCCCAGCACAGTGCTCCCCACTCCGAATCCCCCCTCTCCGCTCTTCCGCGCGGACCCTGCGCCATCCTTGGGTTTGCTCGCGGCGGTGCTCTCGGTGCTGCTCGCGCGGCTGCTGTTGCTCCCGCTCCTCCCCCCGTCCTCCCCTTCCGCAGTGCTGCCCCCTTGCGCATGGGCGGCATTACTGCCGGAAGAAGCAGTGGACCCGGCTGACGTGGATGATTCCGGCGATGACGTGGACGATGACGTGGGAAGCAGTTGCTTCGGGTCGACTCCAGTTGGCAGCGACAAACTCCTGGATTCGGGGGAGAGTCCTCCGCCTGAGGTAATTCCGGGCCCGGAAGCATTGCTTCCGCCCCTGGCGCCTGTTGTAGCGTTCGCGCCGACAGGAAGCGCAGCAGCAGCACCAAGAGACGCAATCAAAGCACCAGCGACTCTCGATATAAGCACGTCCGAGCTACTAACGGGAATGGAACTTGGTTTTTTCCCACCCACCCTTCCGCCTTTCCCTTCATCTTCCCCGTCGCTTCCGCTGCTGTCGCTCTCGCTAGAGGACAAAGAAAGCGGAGATCTCGGCAAACAGCTGGAAAGCGGGTCAGGAAGCGACAAGATTGAAGAAATTTCGTGGAGGCTTCTAGGCCCGCTGATTCCACCAGGTCGCTGGTTCGAGTCCAGCCGGGCGCATTCTTTCTCAAGCTCGTTCTGCACTCGGCCCGTTTCGACGTCCCACAGAATCCGATCGATGACTCCAGCAGCCACGCGTCGCACGTGCGCATCCGCGCCGCCCGCCATCCGCAGAACCCAGCGGCTCGCGTCTGTTCCGCTCAGCTTCACCGCCAGCACCAGCGCTCCGCGCGTTCCCGTCCCGTCACTCGCGCGCCTGCGCCACCGCTTCACCAATTCGTCTTCCGCTCGTTTGCCGCTTGCCCCAGCGTTCGCAGCTGCTTCTTCCTCCTCGTCAACAGTTCCGGTTACCACATTCGCCAGGATTTCGTCCATCCGTAGCGCCAGCAGCATCCGTGACAGGACCTCGAAAAGCGCATCGTTCTTTTCCGCGTCCCACGCTCCATTCAAACCAGCAGCCTCCCGCTTAGCTTGCGCCTGCGCTTGCGCGCGGTCACCAGGCGCAAAATCCTTCCCCGCGCCAGCGGCGACCACGCAGAGATCCAGCCACTTGGCAGCGAGTTGCTGCCTCCTCAACGCGGCTCCCCCGTTATAGTCACCACTCGCTTTACTCACGCCTGCTCGATCGGTTGTGACCATAGCTCCGAGACTGCTGCTTGTAGGAACGAACTCCGCTGCCCAAGGAAGCGCGAATCCTTTAAACGGTAGGCCCTGAGGGCTTGTAGATCGAGCCTCAGTGCCGTCGGCAGCTTCTAACGCGGACAACAAGAGGAGATCCAGCAGCATCTGCCGGCAAAAGCGGTAAAACTGGATAAGGTGTGGCTGTAATCGAGCAAGCTTATAACGAGTCCTTTCGAGGACGGACGTTGGGCTTCCCGAACTTCCGCCACCTTCCGCTGGCAGTCGCGGAACCTTCTTGGATGCTTCATGGCCGCCTGATGCGATGCCCCTCGATTGCAACCGTTGCTTGAGCGACTCGAACTTGGACGGCCAGGTTGCGTTCTCCTGAAGCTGACGTGTCAGCTCCTCCAATGTAAGAAGCTGAAGCTTCCGCGAAGCGGCGACGTAAGCAGCAAAAGCGGGAGCGCGAGAAGGGAGGCAAATCCGCTCCGCCAGATCCTCCCCCGTCACTGCCACGTCAGCTAGATATCCATTCCGATAACGTGTCGCCGAGTCGGACCGGTTACCGAGCTGGTAGTTGCGGCGTAGAGTGTTCGCGATAACAAGCGCCCCGCCTTCCTCGGCGCAGTGCTCGTCCGCCGCAGTTTGCGCGTGCTGTGCGCCTCCCGCGGTTTGCGCGTTCTCCGCGTGATGGCCCTCCGCGACAGAAGCACCGCCCTGGAACGAATAAGCTCGCACGAGCAGTTCGCCACCCGCGCCATCGTGGCGAACCAGCGACACTTTTGGAGAAGCTCCTTCGCGAACTTCGCGAAACTCGCGATTATCGCCGTCGCTCGCTGACCCGGGTAGTCCGCGGTTGTAGAGAAGTAGACTCCCGTGTGCCTTAGGGCCAGACAGTTTGTCGTTTAACCACGTGTTGGGTAGAGGAGAAAACACCGGCGGCGGCGGAATCGAAGCATTGCGCGGAGTTTGCGGCGACGTTTTAGGTGCCGGAGCCGCCGCGACACTCGGACGCGGAACTTTCGGAGACGCGAGGCGGGGAGGCAGAGGCGAAGCGCCTAATGGCCGAGTGGTTAGCCCGCTGGTACCCGACTGTGTGCCGTTCGACGGAGACGTCCTCGGAGCTTTCGGCGAAGCTGCGGGAGCTCCAGTTGCAGCTCCGTTGGCGCCTCGGGGAGCTCTAGGAGAGGGACCTGAAGACGTGGCCGCTGCTGATTGGGAGTGGCTGCGGTCCCAGCCCATGGGAGTAACCGCTGTCATGGCTCCAACTACGCAATTCACTCGGAAAGACAAGACCACGGGCTCTTACCCCAGTGGCGGGAATAGCGGGTTATATATTTTTTTCTCTTAGTATCGGGGAGTTGAGAGCATCAGGCTCTGGCTGCAGCAGAAGATGGAACTATCGCTATGGGAGTAAGTTTGCCTTGACAGAGGTGCGGACTACACATCCTAGCGGCAACCGTTTCATCTCGGCAGCACTAGGGAAGAGACCATGGATTGCAAATATTTGTGGAAGAAAAGGCCAATTCGTAACTCCCACAACAACCTATACAAAACGATCGACTGCGGGGAAAACGTGACAAGAGAAGGTCGGCAAACCCGAAGCTGAACTAGACACGACACGACAGCAACAGGTGACGGGTTACGGGAGCGATCGGATTGAAGAATTCAGCGAGGAGAGGGATACAGGGAGAAGGCGGATTGGTTTGGAGGCGGGGAGGGGACAGGAAAGGTGGGAGGAAAGAGGGGCTGGATTATGAGCCACGGGAAAAGCAGCAGCTGGTTTACAGGCGTAGCCCTTGTTTGCAAATCGCGTCGCGCCGCAAGGGGCTGAAGGAAATTCGTTGGATTGCCGCAGGACAGGATGGGGCCGCGCCGCGGGCAATGTTTTGGGAGATTCTACGGGCAGGAGGAGAACATCGAGGCGCGCCAACCAGAACCACAGCGCAGGGGGGTGCCTGCATTTTGTGCTTTCTCGCCCAATCAGCGTCGCCCAGGTGCTGTCAAGTCAACAGCACTGTGATGGGCGCAAACATCAAGGAAACTCGGCTTGGAAGGCATGTGCGTCCACATCAAGGCCATGCTTTCTCGCTTGCAAGAGTTACATCAATTTTCGCGATTGACGATTGTTTTCCTGCAATAGCCGACGGTAGCGATTGCAGGGTGACGGCGCTGTACGGCTGAAGTTCGAGCTGCACGAGAATGTGTTACTCGGTTTCACACAACAAACCCCACTAACCGCCCTCGCCGACGAAGGTTGTTAGGCTAAAAGCGGCGGAGGCGTGGTTCGTAGGAGTCCGAAGCAAGAGGCGCTTGGTGCCCCACCAGCGGCACGCGGTACGGGGCAAGAACAAGCGCAGCCGTCACTGTGCCGGTGCCGCGTCCCAACAGGTCGGGGATGAAAGAGAGCGCAGTGTAGGCAATGGTGTATAAGACCAGCACTTGATTGCTCATCCTTATAGTGATTCCAAGTAATACCAACTACCAGCTGAGACATACTTGCAATGCATGCTGAAATTGTGTATGCAAAAAACATTTGAAATTAGTTCTCTAGTAAAAAATATACTTAACATATCCATGAGTTTATTTGTTAGTGTTGCAGGTCAGCATCAATTAGGTGTAAAGAATCAATATAATTTATAACTAGATGGAGCAAAGAATTGAGTTAAAAGTGGGTGGTTGGAAACGGTGAGAGATTGCCGCCCCCGGAGAATGGGATACGTGGACATTCTTTGGCAGACCAAAGCAGCCGCTGGGCAATCAAACCTGCACTTGGACGGGTTATGTCAGAATTACATCCACGTCAGCACAAACTAGCACCTCATTTCAGATCAGACGTCGGGCCGCGGATGGTTTCAATGCGTGAAACGACGCTCCGAAGTTCACACGGCCACAATAACCAGATTGCCGAGCAGGTGCAGACAGATGGATGGGCTTCAATGGGAGTTGCGGTGGATTCAGGATCCAACCCAAACAATGCGGAGCCGTCTGTGGCACGCCAAGCCAAAGCTATCCACCTCGCTTCACCGTAATATATCGTACTCAAACGTCCAAGACCTCTAAGCTCTACTCTCCGTGAGGAAAATTCCTTCGAAGTTGGGCGGATAATGCACTATTACCATCGGCCGTGAACTCACACCCCACCCTAGTTCCTTTCATGCTAGGCCATACCTTTCTGGCTGCTGACAACTTCGACTTTCGATTCATGCATCTTATGTGTTGACGTGTAGCACACAGCTTTTGTTCCTCCACATCCGTTCTCTGAGTTCCTTACTTTTGCTTTTCCGCTGCGTTGCGTTTTTCGCCAAGAGAGAAGACGCACTGCACGCTCGCACTCAGAATCTGGTTGTAGAAGCTTCTGCGTGAAGAGTTTGCAGGAGTAACCACGTTTGTCGTGTCAGAAGCCGTGATCTCGGGTCGAGCTGCTGTTGTTTGTAGCGATCCCGCATCAGCACCTCGCATTTCTGTCACATTCGCTACAGTGCAATCATGGCCGATAACCGCGTGTTACAGCCGGGGACTATCAATGCGAATGTGGAGAAAACAGTCTACGCGGTGCGAGGAGAGCTTTATCTGAGGGCGGCTCAACTACAGGCGGAGGGTAAAGAGGTGAGGCTCTGAGTTGACTCGCTATAATCACATTCGATGCAGTGCGATCATGGCTAGTGATTCGAATCAATTTCAATAGTATGGAAAAGACGCAGTCAGACGGGCGTCAGCGTTATCCGCAACCACTAAATCCCGTTTAGCAGCTTGGCTTGCTAAGATGCAGGTCGGAAGGGAGAGCGGTAGTTCGCGACAATGAATCGACCGAAAAAGCTGGGGCTCAAGCTGCCAGGTTAGATTACGAATCCTCGCGACAACTGCTACAGAGATACGTGCGACAGGTTCCTGCACGAGAAACGCACGGATCTGACAGCTGTCGTCGCAAGGATCCTGTCTCACGCTGTCCATTCCGGCGTCTCAGGCGCTAAGGTTAACGGCATTCTCTGTCAGAGTCTCTGCTAAAGGCGTTAATGAGGATGCCGAAGAAAGGCTATCATTTTCTGTCGGAGCGCTTGTCATCGAGAGGTGCATTTGCGCGTAAACTAAAGCATGATCAACAATCCCTAAACCATCTTTACGCCCTACAGGCCGTCTCATCACTCTTTTTCCTCATGTTCTTCCTTTTTCTTATTCCCACCTCCCCTCCGCTACCACCTCCCACTCCCCCCAACCCCTCCGCCCATCGTTTCCTCCCTTTGCCCCTCCCGGTCAGATCGTATTCACGAATGTCGGCAATCCCCATGCCCTCGGGCAGCTGCCGCTCACGCTCTCCCATCCCCTTCCCCATCCCCCTCCCCCTTCTCCCCCCTTTCCCTTCCCCCTCCGCCAGATCGTATTCACGAATGTCGGCAATCCCCATGCTCTCGGGCAGCTGCCGCTCACGTTCCCGCGACAGGTATGTTTGACAGTCCTATCTGCGACAGGTACGTGCGACAGTCCTATCTGCGACAGGTATGTGCTACAGTCATTTCTGCGACAGGATACGTGCGACAGTCGTATCAGCGACAGGTATGTACGACAGTAATTCGTTAGAATTCTTGTCCCTGTTTCCCATTCCCCGCCGCATTCCCCGCCCTCCTGTTTTCCCGCGCCTTCTTTTTCCACTTTCGCGCAGACGCCTTTGCCCACGCTGATAAGAATCTATGTGTTTTCTCACTCCCTCTCCCGCTCCCCCATCCCCATCTCGCTCCCCCTCCCAATCAACCCCCATCCCCCTTCCCCCAGGTGACGGCGCTGCTCCAAGCGCCCTTACTCATGTCGCACCCCGGCGTGGGGCGGAAATTAACATCTCTGACCCTCCCTTTTTCCGCTCCCCCAACTCCCCTTATCCGCCGTCCCCCAGGTGATGGCGCTGCGGCAAGCGCCCTTACTCATGTCGCACCCTGACGTGGGGCGGATATTAACATCTCTGACCCTCCCTCTGTCCGCTCCCCCAACTCCCCTTATCCGCCGTCCCCCAGGTGATGGCGCTC